CCTCACTTCCCCCCCCCTTTCCCAGCCCCACCCCATCACACACTACACTCCTCTACCTCAAAACAAGGCGCATCACTGCACCATACCAGCTAAACTCCCCCCCGACACCCATACACACACCGACACACACACCCATACACACACCCGCAGCCGCTCGCACCTGGATGGCAAAGGACACGTATCTCAGTGCCTCGTACTGACATGCCGTGGCGATGACGTTGGTCAGCGACACCGCCGCGTAGCTGCGCAGGGGCGCCGCGGGCGCAGTGGCGGTGCGGGTGAGCAGCAGGTAGCCCAGCGCCATGATGCAGGTGACCAGGCGGTTGCACAGCACCAGGAAGATGGAGTGCTCAAAGACCTCCTTGTCGCGACCAAACCCAAATGTGACGATGCGCTCCTGAGGGGAGTCGGTTGGGGTCCGTTGGAAGTCGGTTGAGGTTGGTTGGCGTAAGGTAAAGTGGTAAGGTTTAAGAGTGAGTGGGTGGGAGGGGAAGGGAAGGGGGCCCCCAGGGGGAACCCAATGAAGCAAAGAAGTGAAGAAGGAACAGCTGCAGCTGCCGAAGTGTGTTCCAAAGCACCAACTAGGGGGCCAGAGCAGTGACCCGGGAAATCCAATGGATGGTGGGGGTGAGGGGAAGGCACGGGGGGTCGTTGGGGGGTGGGGTGGGGTGGGGAAAATAAAGCGAAAGAGAACGATGGCGCATGGGACCCAAGAACCACACGGCAAGTAACGGCGGCGTCGGGGGGGAGAAAAACGATGCATGGGCAGTGGCCGCCTCGTCCCCCGTTCGAGTCCTGTCTGGACCGAGTGCTCTCCCCGCCCACCCACTCCCCGTAACACATATACACACACACACACATCTCGCTGTTGTTTTGCAACTCCTCTCTCCTGCTGTGCTGTCCTTTTTCACACTTCTTCCTCCCGGGGCACCCGTCTGAGCCCCTGCTGTGCCGGGGGGTGGGGGCACCGGTCTGAGCCCCTGCTGTGCCGGGGGGGGGGGCACCGGTCTGAGCCCCTGCTGTGCCGGGGGGGGGGGGCCTGTGCACTGACCCCTTCCCCCCTTCCGCGGCAGGAAGGGGTCCCCGGCAGCGAAAGTGCGGTTAGGGTTGCTGGGGCTGCTGCTGCTGCTGCTGCTGTTGCTGGGGCGGCTGCTGAGGCTGCTGGCGGCTCTGACTTTGCTGGTTCCGGTGCCTGGTCGCTGCCGGATAAAGCCTCCCGGCATCCAGGCCCCCAAACACACACACGTTCGGCAGGCAGTCCGCGGGCCGCCGCTCCCTCTCCCTCTCCCTCCCGTACTGGCTGCCGTACTGGTCATTATCTGTTGGCTGTGCAGCTGCCGTTAGTCCGTCGCTGCTATGAGGTGGGAGGCCCTGGGCATGGAGGTCCAAATGGCTGGCTGCATGGGCTCCTGGGAGTATGGGAGGAGGACTGCTCTCCTCAGCTGCCGGTGGTGGTATCCGGCGTGCGGGTATTCCAGCTCTTCCCTCCCAACACAGATCAGGGAGGATATGGCGGAGAAGATGTATACATGCGGCTATACAGCTGGCTGGCTTGGGGATGTCGCAGTCATCGCTCTCCTGCAATGCCCGTTGTTGGCCAGTATAGGGACCCTTTCCTTTCCCCGCCGCCCAATGACACCCCAAACGATTTTTGAAATCTTTAAATGATACCCAGTTCACTTGTCCGTGCTGGAGGTCGACCTCCGCTGTAGGTGGACATCGACCGGCCCTCGATTGCCCCCTCTCTGTCGCGGGGTCGCACCCACCTGCAGGACGCCATAGACAAGAAGAGCCCCCGTGGCGATGATGATGCCGCCGGTGTCATACAGCATATCCCTGCTTGAGCAGTACGCCCAGATGCGCCCTCCAGCTGTTTGGTGCGCCGACTGCTTGGCCGTTCGCCGATGCTTCGGATTGGATTCGAGGAGGAATTTGTGCAGGCCATTGCGATCCATGACTCTCCGCTCCGAACTTGGCAGCTCAGAGTACGCCGGACACAGCCGCAGAGAGCCGACAGCTCAGCCCATTGCAAACAGCCATAAGCTACAGGTAATAGCCACTTAAAGTGGAAACATTATGTCGGCCCCAAATGGAGCTCTCTCGGATCAGTACAGGAGCCGGCTGTTGTGTGCTATAAACCGTGGATGCCTATAACGATGGGAATCTTCAAGTGTTGCTGGATCAAATCAGTACAGATGAGCTAGTATTAAAGAATGAAGTCAGTGCCTGAATTACAAGCAACAACAACTCCGCAGGAAGGGTGGGCTGTATCCTTTGATTTTCTATGTGTAAGATGTCCAGTCCAGTGATCCAAAGGTTGATATTTTAGTTGGAAAGACAAATGCTAATTGCTGGGCAGGCCTGATAGTTGAGCACGAACGCATTAACAGTACGGTAGCTTCCCTTGTCAACATGAAATTTAATTGCTAAGATCAGGCAATAGAACACAGTGCCATAGCAGGCAAAAATCTCAAGGTTGACAAACTTCAATCCGCAGAATCACAGTACGGAAAACTGTATACCCGCATCACAGTAACGACTTACGACGTGAGAAAGCACTTCAGTGCATCCCTTTACACAGGAGCCGTCCTAACATATAAGGATAATGGAAGCGCCATGCAAAGCCGTACTGCGCATGGCTCCGACAACACCGTTAGGAAAGCCCAAGAAAGAATTTAGTCCGGACATCCATCCCAATCAATATAGCCTGACGTCACTAACCGAGTTATGCATAGGCATCTCTTACCGGTTTCGCACTACTGGCGGGCGGCCCCGAAGGCTTCGCCGTAAAAGCTGCCATAACCACTAGTAGGAGCTGCTCGCAAAACGCCACGAGCGCCTCGGAGTAACAACACTAAGGACTTCCCATGTTTGCGTCGGGGCAAACGTATCGCAGGGAGTGTAGAGACCCTGCCGTTTTACCCAATTCGCTGTTTAACGGCGACCAGCATGATACACTGTCCGCCCACTAGTCGATGACTGACCCCCGGACATCATTTCTCTACAAAGTCTGTATTCGCGTTGACCTTTCACAGTCGCGGGCAGGAACTCCCTCATGCACGGTGCACACACCTAAACCTGTAAGAAACGGATTCTCCACTACCACGGTCCCCTTCCCAATTCACAGAACCCAAAGAACACGCAAACAATCACGTCTCATTAAACAATACAAGAATCCGAACAGAACGAATACTCGCATCTTCACAAGCACATCCACGCCAGTCTATGGCCGTAGGTGAGGACCTCACAGTTGAGGTGGGTGCTAAGAGCTAGGAGTCATAGGCCTCAATCCACAAATGGTGTTATCGGCAGATACCGAATGAGGCAGAGGGGCAGAGGGACAGAGGGACAGATTTTACACCCCAAGCTTAGATATGGGCCGTCGTGTGTGGTGTTGGGCAGTCTTGGCCCCTCGGAGCAGTTGGGCGGGATGGGCTGGAGTTGCGGAATGTGGTGGAGCTGAGCGGCGTATATTTCATTACTGCTGGTGGTTGTGGTGGGTATTGGATTCGCGATGGTGAGTTCGCGGCCGGGGGCGCCTGTTAAGTCAAAGCCATGGCACGCGGGAAGCTATCTTCGCACACAGATTTATGTGAATGACTTCCTTCGGCGAATATCGATAGAGGACTGCGGTAGCTTTTGGATACAATTCTCAGTTAAGCGTGGCATGCGAGTTCATCATGAGACACGACGCTGACTGACTGACAGCGCTTCGCGCCCGGGGCTTCGCCCAAAACGCAACGACGTGCCCTACGCTGTGGTTAGGCAATCCGAATTTTCGGCGTGACGTTATCGTATCCTGTGCTGCTTGCGAGTATTTTTTATACAGACGTGTAACTTTGTTGGTTATATTCGGCCGTAACTAGAGGCATCACGTTTAACGTAGTCCTAGGAAGGTAACCAACGGCCAAGAGCCTTTTAGTTACGCTGCGGTGTTGGTACAATTTACTTCGTTGTATTATAATCTTAGATTAACCAATTCGGCTTTATTTTGGGGTGGATGTCGTGAGGATGCTGTTGGATACTGTTGTACAGTCTTGTACGGTCAAGGTCCGTACGGTCACCATCCGCCAACCCACGGCCGACGTCCATAACGTCGAAACGACACCTCGAAGTCCCACCGCGCCGCCGGTCAACCAGCTGTGTGTGACCAACCACTACCACCACGTCTTGAATCCAACCCCAATAATCCCTACAATAATCCCTCTTCCACCCTGCTCGAGACTCGAAACAACCCCAAACCTCACTTCACTTTCATATCCCTTCCCTCCCCTCCCCTGCAAGGGCTCTTCCCCTCACCCCCGTTGGACTATTTAGGTCCCCCTGCTCCTCCTCCCTCCTCCCTCCTCCTCCTCAGTTCCTGCCTCATCACCCCGAGGGGTTATTGCTTACAGCGATTCGGTGTGTTGGTCATTTCAGTCGGCAGCTGATGACTCCTCGCTTTCTGCATCACATCATATATTTCCCTCCCCACCAAGGTCTGCACATCACATCACATCGCAAGGCATCACAACGGAACAGAGCTCACACGAGGCAGGATCCGCAGCCGCCCTAGATCCACGCCAGATCCGCCCACAATTTCGTATGACAGCTTGTACCGATCCAACAACCGGATCTGTGCCTCCAACACGGATGGCGCCCGGGGCATGAGCTCCACCGGCTGGTGAAGGGGGATGACAATCTCTGTGACCGCCACCTGCGCCTCCTCGAGAGCCTCTTCCTCTGCCCAGGCCTTGTAGCTGTAGCCCTTGCTACTACTGCTACCGTTGTGAGGGGGAAAAGGTGGAGGTGGTTTCGCGGCATCGCGGCCGTCGTCAAATTCGTCTTGAGAGCCAAGAAGAGCAGAAGAAGGCGACTGTGCAGATGGTATGTAGGTGGGTGTAGCTGTGGTGTTCATGGGAGGTCGTGGAGCGGAGACGGGTGCGTCTTCCGTGTCGGAGGCGGTGGCTGCTGCTGCTGCTGCTGCTGCTGAGGGTCCGAAGGTGCCGCCGGCGGAGGGGTCAATGCCCATCAGGGTGCGGAAGGCCTTCACCAGGTTGGCTGAGCCACTGGTCTTCACCGCGTAGATAGGCACGCCGTTCTGACAGTGGTGTTGGTGGTGGCAGTGATGATGGTGATGGCGGTGGCGGTGGCGGTAGGAGATGTCGCAATGCGGAAATGCGAGGTACAGCGGAGAAAAGGAAAGGATGATCAATAATCCGTAACGATTAGTAACGTAGAAGGAAATGTGTAGATGTTGTGGTGATGGTTATTGTTCTTATCGCCACCAAGAATGGCGGTGGCGGTGGCGGGTGTCAAGTGGTAAAATGGTAAAGGACACGGGTGAGAGGACACCTCATCATGCCCACAACCCACAACCCACAACCCGCCACGCGGCACACTGCCCCCATCCCCACCACTCACCTCCCGGGCCATGGCCCTGAGCTCCGAGTTCTGCTTCACCTTGGCTCGTAATGCCAACACCGCATCCGCCTTGGACAGCGAGGTAGTGATGAACACCTGCACGACCCCCGCCAGGTGACACCACCCGACATCAAGCGGAGGGTAGGGGCGACATGGCGGTGATGGTGGTTATACGAATGGGACGGGAGGGCAGGTGGTGTGGATGCGGGTGGGTGTGATGGATAGGGTTGCATGAAGATGATGGTGATGACGACGATGATGGCGATGGTGATGGCGATGTGAAGGTCGAAGAAAGACACTATCTTAAGAGAGACATACCAAATGCATACGTACGTACATAAGTACTCGACCCACATAAGTACCCCCCCCCACCCTCAACGCACCTTGCCCAGCAGCCTCATGTCACACAGCACATCCCACAGAACGTCCTCGTCCAGCTCGTACGGGTACAGCCGCAGCTCCGCACCCTCCGCCGTCACACCCGCCACCGCCTGACGGGAGGTCACGCGGCGCAGTCGCTTGCCTGCGCCGAAATCGCCGTCACCAGCTGCCGCCGCAGCGGCTGCCGCTGCCCCGTCAGCATCCGCTTCATCGAGTGACATGGAGGCTACGGGACTGCGGATGAAGGAGCTGCCGGCGGGCCGAGTTGCCGCCAACATATCTGGCAGGTCGCGGGGCGGGCAGTTGGGGAGGGCAGTCGGGGAGAACAGTTGGAAAGGGAAGTTGGGGAGGCGACAACATTTTTGTATTGCGAGAATGGAATACGCGAATGCCAACGTCCCAGGTACAAAACTGCTTTGGGAGGGGAAGGCGGGGGGAAGAAGGGAGGGAGGGCAGAGGCATCGAGAAACGGGTATGACTGTGTGACAGCAGATAGGGCAGACGCAGGGAAACGCTGCGAGAAGTGGTGAACGTGTATGAAGCTGCGTCGTGTTATGTTACGTGGGGAACGACTTTGCGAGTCGTGTGTATGTGCATGCCTAAGTGTGCATGCACATACACGCGTGTGTGTGTGTGTGTGTGTGTGTGTGCGTGTGAGAGTGAGAGAGTGTGAAAGTGGTCATTCCACTCACCGCCATCACGGCTGGCCATGGAGGAGGAGGAGGCGCCGCCACCGCGACCAGCCAGTCCCTCCCCTGCCTCGCTGCTGCTGCCCGCCCCGCCCCCAGCAGCTCCAGCTGCTCCAGTTCCTCCACCCCCAGCAACCCCACTGCCACCGCCGCTCCGCACCGCCCCCCGAATGACCCCGCTGATGGCAGGGTTGTAGTTGTACTTGAGAATGGTGCCGTCGGCGGCCCGCTCGCGAACCTGACCGCCGGCGTCGCCCCCCGCCAGCACCACATCCACCGCCTGCACCGCAACCATCGCAACCACCATTGCGATCAGGCACTGAACACAGTCGGACACTGCCGTCACTCTCTCATACGGGGGGCAGCAGCTCCCAATGGCAGCAGCAGCTGCAACGCAACGCTAGCAGCAACACAGCGGAATAGAAGACATCCTCGGGTTCCAACTGCTCAGTCTCAAACACGCCCAGGTATCGCAGCTACCCTCATTCGCCTGATGGCTACCTCATGCAGTCGGCCCCCACGTTGGCAGCAACTGTTTCCCGCAGCCAACGGACCGAATGCGGCTGGCCGGGTGGTCGCTGTGGCCCCCTCCCCCCGCGACCTCCAGCATCCCTCTGTGCCCCTGGAGCGGCCCCACCTCCCAAAAGTCCAACCCACCCCTCAGGCCCCACCCCAAAATCCGCCAACTTTCCTGGATCTCTTTCCTTCGCCCCCCACCCACCCACCCGCCAAACCACCTAACCACCTGCTGCAAAGATCCGGATCTGGGTTTACCTCTTTGCCTTCCGTTAAACTGACACTCCGGACCACCCCCCGTCCTATCCTACCCCCTGCGAGTACATAACACCTGGCTCCAGCCCGGCTTGCCGGATCCATTCGCGCCCCAGCCCCAGCCCCAGCACCTCCCGGCCCCACCTGCCCCACGTCCAGGTGCACGCGCCACTTAGTCCGCTCCAACATCTCAATACAAACGTCGAATGTGGGCGGTGCGGCACGCTCGAGGATGCTCTTCTGCACCCCCCGCCGCTTGGCCTCCTCATCACCCAGCGTCACAGACTGAATGCCGCCCACCTGCGTGTGTATGTATGTATGTCATTACAGGGTGGTTAAGCTTCACCAGCGGCCCCCTTTCTCCAGGCAGTTCCCTGATCTCCCCTGCTAGAGGGGCACCCTAATCCGTTCACCCCATCCGACTTCAGAATGTATTCGTTGGGTTCAGCAACTCACCACCAGCATCCAACTAAATCTAGTGGATCAACGGCGCCTCAATTTTGTATGTATATATATATGTATGTATGTATGTATGTATGTATGTATGTATGTATGTATGTATGTATGTATGTATGTATGTATGTATGTATGTATGTATGTATGTATGTATGTATGTATGTATGTATGTATGTATGTATGTATGTATGCATAAATCTAGGTGTGTAAGCTATAACATCTGTCTGCCCCGGATCCGAGATTGGAACCCCACCCAGCCCAGAGATCCCACATTCTTCCAGTACTAGTAGACCACCCCGACCACCCCGACCACCCTGGTAGTACCGCCAGCCACACGACCCACCCCGCCCCGCGGAACCCGGTAGCTGTACCCCCCACCCCCCTGGCCTCCACCCCACCACCACCCCATCCCTCCGATCCACCCGTAATTCTTCTTAAAGATGTTCGCCCCCACCCCCCTGGTCCCCTCGGACCCCACCAGGTCCGCCAGCTGCGGATTCTTGATCACATTCTCCAGTTGGTTGCCGTGCGCAGTGGCCACCAGCTGCACCCCCCGCTGGGCTATGGTGCGGGCAGCCGCACACTCCTCCGCAGTGCCGATTTCGTCGATCACAATGACCTGCGCACGAGGCGGAGGAAAGACGAGCCGCAGAGGAGTGAGGCTGATACCACGAGGTTTGGAGGGGGGGAGAGAGGGGTGCCGGGTGGGGAGTTATGTGATGCCGAGGAAAAATAACTGCCGTCGTCCAACGCATCACCAGCTGGTGCTCTCGGGGGAGATGGGGGTCAGGGAGGTGGTGGGTGGCCCCCACGGCCCGGCGCGGTCCGGGTGAGTGCGGGCGCGGGCATCTATCGGTGCGTGGGCAGTGGGCAGTGGGCGGGAGTGAGGAGGCGCGACGGTGGTTGATCCATTACCATTCCGGCCTCGTATCTATTATTAGTTGGCCTCGAATATCACTTCACCTTCTTTTCGCACATACGGCGGCTGGGAGTTCCGTCCACTTCCCTTTCACCCGGTCACACGAACTCGCCCCTTGCCATTCCCTACGCGTCCCCATGCAGACAGACGTTCCAGTTCCCCCTCCCACCAAGCACCCCCAAGTACCTGCGGCATGTGATTCTCCACCGCCTCAATCATGACCCGGTGCTGCGCCTCCGGTGCCGCCACCTGCATCCTCCTCGCCCGGCCGATACCGCTGTGGGGGATGTCGCCGTCGCCCCCAATTTCATTGGACGTGTCCACGATGACCACCCGCTTGCTGCACTCGTCAGCCAGCATGCGGGAGACCTCCCGGATAGCGGTGGTCTTACCCACACCCGGGCGACCTAGCAACAGGATACTGGCGCCTGGGGCGAGGGGACGTGGGTGTGGTGCGGGTGGGGGAGGAGTTGTGGGAGGAACCATGTGACAATGATGCAATAAGGACAGGGCCAACATGGATCAACTGCCGACACGTCCAAAGCATCCGCCGGGGAAGAGGGGGAAGGCGGGCGGGAAGTGCGGGACGCGGGCACGCGTGGCGGTGGGTACGGGTCGAGGGTACGGGTGGATGGGTCGGATATCCATATCCATATTTAAACATTAACTGTACACCTATTTGCTATAGTCTAGGCGGTTAGGATGCGAGATTTTCACTCTCGAGACCCGGGTTCGAGTCCCGGTAGCGAAATGTCAACCATTCAGGGGGGACTCATGATCAACACCTATCGGGGTCGAAATCTTCTCTGATGGAGAAAGGTAATGTGCCCCTAGTAGGTGAACGGTTATGACCTGCGATAAAGTTGACTCGCGAGCCGACCTGGAATGAAGTTGATCCACCGTGGACCGGCAGATTCTGTTGGATGCTGGTGGTGGGTGCGGAACTAAAGCGACCCACTTAGAAGATGACTAGGGTGACTGGATGAGGGTGCCCCGAAATACCGGGTAAGGCAAGGTCTGCCGGGTAGCGGCCACGGGTGAAAATATGCCCCCCTGTCCCATACATCATGCATACGATCTTACCCGGCGCTTATACCCCGTCATGGTGCCCCCTCCGCCCACATGCGGCCCCAGGGCCCCAGGTTCCCTTATCTCCTCTCGCCTGAGAGGCGCAAACACCAGCTTGGATCCGTGCCCTCGCCCTCCCTTCTTCTCTCCCCCCTTCGGACGTCGACTATTGTTCCCCTGACCTTGAATATGTTTTCCTCTTTTCCCCCCTCCTTTTCTGGTTTCCTTGCATCGGATTTCCCCCCCTCCCTGCCTGCCTCCCTCCCTGCCTGCCTCCCTCCCTGCCTGCCTCACCGGATAGCACCAGGTCCCGCACCATCAGCGCACTGCCCTTCACGGCCCGACCGACACGGCACGTCAGACCGATAATACGACCAGTCCGGTTGCGCATGCAGGAGATGCGGTGCAACGTGCGGTCGATACCCGCCCGGTTGTCTCCGCCGAATTCGCCAACCTGCGAGGCGTGACGTGGCGTGACGTGACGTCATGTGACGTGATGTGCGGAACATGGTGTATTGCCGGAGGGCAATCACCAACCCCCCATGATGGTGAACGGAACACATCATAGGGCATAATTACTTGAAAAGTGTGTCAATGTCCGCAGAATCTAACCGCAAAACCAATTGCGCAGTATGTTCAGGAGGAGGGGACACTGGGGAAGAAAAAACACCCTTGCGTTCTCTCCGCTAACTCATCATGTCCACGTGGTCGTGGTCGTGCGTGTGCATGTACGTATGTGTGTGTCCCTTCCTCAATCCTCCATCTCGCCACCTCTCAACACCGCCCACCTTCCACCCGCCGCCACCATGACCAGCCACCCACCTGCCCATTACCACCCTCCTGCCCATTACCACCCTCACCCACTAACCCCTGCTACCCCCAGCCCCACCCCTAGCTACCTGCCGCACTGCGAACTCCAGGTCATCCGCGGTGATGGGCTGCTGCGACAGCTTCTCATCCCCCGTGGGGAACCTGGCCAGCGGCGGCCGACCCAGGTCCATCACCACCTCCAGCAGCTCCAACATGTCCGGGTGGTCCTCCAGAGCAGACCGCACCGAGGAGGGCAACAGCTGAACCAGCTTCATGAGCTCTGAAGGAGGAATCAGAATCAGCCAGGCAGGCAGCTCGGGTCGGGTCGGGTCGGGTCGGGCCACGAGTCAGGATAGGTTCAGGCAGGGTGTCAGGCAAGGCTACGGCGGCCGGGGACGAGGAAGGTCACAGAAAGACATACTCCGGTGGATGGGTTCAGGGAGGAAGCGCCGTACAGTCAGTTGGCCAGGCAGGGGGGTAGAGAGAGGGAAGAGGGGTGTGTGTGCTAGCGGGTGCCGTAGGTGCCAAGGCAGGCAGACAGGCAGGCAATCAGGAGGTAGAACAGCAGCGACCCACGGCCGGTTCACGGCTCTCACGGCTTATGGAGCGATAAGGTAAGATAGAGCAAGTACGCATATGTCTAATCCCAAGAAGCTCGGGTCGGCTTTTTGTTGCAGAGTGGCTCAGTAGTGTTAGGACGTGGTAAGCGGTGAAGGGAGAGATGGGGGGTCGATAATTGTGGGTTGGCGTGTAAGGGTGAAGAGGGACATTGGTTTGGAGGTCACACGCTGCTGTTGGGATATCGAAGGGACAGGACCGGATTTGGGATCAGCTGACGAAGCACCAGCTCATCAGCTCAGGTGAAGGAGCGCACACCGCTGAGAAGGTGAAAGAACGCACAAAGTCCTACCGTCAATCTCTTGCTCCCACTCTTGCTCCAGCTGGTCACTTGCGGCAGCGCCAGCACGTGCCTCTGCAATGGTCGCTGCCCGGGCTGATGCTGGTCGCATGTGGATACGCCAAGAGGTAAAGGCAGGCGACGCCGTTTGGACAACCCGATGGTGACAGCCCCAAGCGCGTAAAGCCGCTGCTGTAGTCGCCCATGGGGCTGTGGAACCGGTGATTGCAAACGTATTGTTCGTCGCTGCAGGACCGTTACCAGCAGAGGCAACAAGCGGTGCGCGATCTTGATGCTCGCGTACGTAGCGAAAGCATATCAGATGCTGCTGCACGGATGAGGCCAGCTTCGGACCCTGCGAACAGTTGCTAGATCGCTGCCGGGATGAAAACTTTTGCATCCTGCTTGGGAGGTATTACTGCGGGCATGACAGCGATGATAACACAAGGCGCAGCGCTTGAGCAACACCCGGGATGACAAAGTTAGGGCTTTAAACAAGCAGCCGCAGGCAGGCGCACAAACATTTTGGGGCCTTCCCCAAACCATTTCTATGGCTTAACCACGGCTGTCACTTACTTGTCTTGCAGGTAAGCTAGTCCGCGCCAACGCAGTGGTTAGGCCGCGCTCCAAACCAAATGGATTCCTAACGCTTATGCAATAGGGTTCATTTCGTATATATAGCTCTTCTCATATCCTGGAGTGATAAACTAAGCAGGAGCGAAATAGTTGCCAAAGCAGGTAGATACCGACTGTCCTTGATAGACGAAACCGCTGAACCGCTGGTCGCGTTGCACGTGCAATTACATAACACCACAAGCGCGGCAAATGGCTCGCAGAATCGATCACAGGGCTAAGTGTCAGGGCTACGCATAGATAGCACTAAGCGGCAAGAGCCACATCTAGCAGAAGTTCTGTGCCCAAAAACACTAATAATAAAAACAATCGCGCCTACTCAAGTATGCGCATCTTTCGTGTGATCCCAAATAGCCAGGCATAGGGCCCACAGCAACCCCCAAATGCAAGCAAAGAACGTGGCTTGCTGCATCAGGCCAAGATGACATGAATAAGTACCGCAGACGAGGACAGGACCCTATCTCAAAGGTTGTGCGTACACAGTCAGCACTGCCCCTCCCACCTCAACCAACACCGTTACCTTGACTTCAACCGTCCGCCTTCTAGGCACATTATCGCAGCCAAGCAAATCCTCATCGCGAGCTCACAGCCCCCGCTTTTCACCAAGCAGCCTGCTCGTGATCACAAACATCGCGGTCGCAACTGTAAGCTCAGGGGCTCCCCCCACAAAACCGCCTATCCGGCGACCAAAAGCCCCGAGCATACGAACACAATAAACACACCCGCCATGAATGCCCTCCTCTGTCACCACCCAACATCCCACCACTTACAATAAAGCCCAATGGGTTCACAATGTGAGCTGGCAAATAGATATATAAGATCAGCCACTGCGCATGGCGCTTGGGCTCCTCTCCCCCTCCGGAGGTGGGGCGACCCAATACAAACGGACTCCATGACAAAGGAGGATGGTAAACGCGGGATAGTACAGGCACAACACGAAATGATCACAAATCCTCCTCTTCCAGCTCTCCCCCTCGCCTTCGAACAAGGTACAAGAGCCTTCGAAAACCTGCAATTAGCAAAGGGGCCTATCCTACATGTCCAACCGTCCACTGTCCGGCGCCAAGCTGTGTCGCTATCGTCACGTACTGATGCAGCAACTGTAGCTTGTGCAGGTGCAGCATGGAGACCAGATATCACGTTTTTGTCATCCACAGAAGCAAGCGTGCCCCTCCTTAAAGCCACTTCTCGCCCCTCCGGCCTACGCGTCATCCGCCGCCAGCTCGATGCCGAGCTGTGCTGCGTTGGTGGCGTCCAGGTGCGGGTCGGAGCCCTCGCGCTGCCTGAAGCTCCCCCTGCGGCGGGAGAACGACCTGAGCGGGGGCGCAACGCAACGCAACCAACACAGGAAGCAGTACACGGACATTGGCATAGCGCACAGGCACGCCGCTGTTCCCAGAAGGGACCACAAAAGTTTTGGGCCAGTAAAAGACTAGGAATGTTTGTGCGGTAAGGCACGCCGCTTTTCCAAGACCACATCAAAGTCCCAAGTGCATAATACTCCGCCGCTCAAGCCACACCCGGCCCACCCCACCCCACACCCTGACCCTGACACAGGGTGCGCCCACCTGGGCGACAGCATGGCGGCTCGGATGGGGTCTCCGCCCAGTAGGATGTCCTCCGGCCCCACCCCGGCCCCGCCCATGCCGGTGTTGGCGGGCAAGCCGCCTCCGGGGTGCGCAGCCAGGTGCTGTTCCCACTTCCAGTGATCGGCCATGGACATGACCAGCGAGGAGGCGCGGCGGGCTGGGGCCATACTGGAGACCTTGCGGCAGTGGTGAATCTCAATCTTCTCCGCCACACCCTTGAGACGGAACTGCCCCAGGCTGGTGCCGGAAACCTTGTTGGACAGCATGACCTTCGCCGCGTTGGTTGGTTGTTGGTTTTCAAATGTTGGTTTTTCATTTGGGGGGTGGAGCAAAAAATGGTAAGATGGTAAAACATGAGGTATCAGGTATCAGGCCAATTAGGTGGTTGCGGTGAGGAAGGGGGTTTCAACTTTCAATAAGGAAAGAGACAAAAGTGAGCCTTCGCGGCAGCCTGCGAGGAGTATTAATTCGCAAGGCGAACATCACATCTAACGTGGAGCGAGGGCAAGGCACGTGTTGTGTGTTGGGGTAGTTGTAAGCAGCGGCGATAGGTTGACGTAAGGAAAGCAACCTGGGCACCGCCCAGCCCCTCCTCTTCCCTGCGGCCCACCTGCGAGTCCGCGGTCATAGCGAGCTGCCAGCTGTCGCTGCTGCACAGCACCTGACCCGTGGAGGCGGTGGAGGCGATGCGCGCGGCGCGGTTCATGACCTTGCCACGGTACGTCATGCGGCCCGTCATGGCGTGCACCTCGCCCAGCACCTGGCCCGTGTCCACACCAGTTTTGAGCCGTAGACCTCTTCAAGCCGGAGCAGGACGAGTGGGGGGAATCGGAAAGGGCCGGGACAGAAAAGTGCAGGGGAAGGGCACATGCGGGGCAGCAATGTCACACGTGGTGAGGCTGATGTTCTGCAAGCCTGGTCCTTGCGCCGAGCCCCTGTGGACAGCCTGCACCTCAGCGCCTGGGATTACATTCTAGCACCGATGGGTGGCTACGTAACAGCGGCCTTAATAAACACAGCGTCGGCCCGCACCCTGGAAATGACGCCCTAAGCCAGCTAAGCCAACCCCCGGAGAACACGCCCTATAAAGCGCTACGGGAGCTGCTGCTCGCCGCCCGGGAGGCGAGGGTGAAGTGCTGCTCCTCCTGCGAGGGTTCGCAGTCCTCACTATCGCACCTGAAGACCACCGTGTTAATGACCTCGCCGTCCTTGGTGGGCGCCGAGATGACCAGCTCCTCACACAGCTCGTGCGCCAAAAGGTCCTCCGGCCAGTCCTGTACGTGTAGGTGTTGGGGGGTTTGCGAGGTGGGCGCAGAATTGGGAGTCGCGAAGTGGATATTTGGAGGCATTGATGAAGCAGTGCTGGGGATATATAGGCATGCGGGCGTGAGCACACAGGCGTGGGCGGAAAGCGGGAGGAGGCTCTTGATGTGTCGTTCAGTCGTCCAGTCGTTGCCTCGCGCCGGTTCTATCCGCCAGGTTCCCGCCGCTGTGTGCACCCCCCCTCGTCCCCCTCCCCCCACCTGCTTGATCATGGCCTCGTTGCACTCCAGGGCCCACAGGATGGCGTCCGAGGGCCGCTGGAAGGCCGCCAGGAAGAGCCCGTCCACCGCCTCCACCTGGAGCGGGACATGGTGGGAAGGGTGCGGGGGCGGAAGAAGGGTAGGGCTGGGGAGGAGAGGAGAGGAGAGGAGAAGCGGATGAAAGGCATTGTTGCTGTTGTAAGGAATTCAGGAAAGCGCCGCACAAGCCGGAAGGCACACTCAATGCGCCGCGCACGACGTCCTCTCCTCAAAAGGTCGTATCGCTCTCAAGAACCCACCAAGTAGCCCTTGCGGCGCTTGAGCTCGTCTCCCACCACCGTATGGAAGATCTTGATGGCCTGCTGCGCCACGTCAGCGTTCCAGCTCAGAAGCGTCTGTGCACCCACCACGTTCATGAACGCCACCGTCACACAGCCCACTGGCGCATCCAATACGCCCGGGTCAACCTGAAAGCAGCCGCAGCAGCCGCAGCAGTAACAGTAGTAGTAGTAGTAGCAGAAGCAGTAGTAGTAGTAGTAGTAGTAGTAGTAGTAGTAGTAGTAGTAGTAGTAGTAGTAGTAGCAGCAGTGGTAGTAGTAGTAGTAGCGGTGCCGGCAGTGGCAGTGGCGTCAGGCGAAGCACGGTGAGGCAGCAGCAGGTTCCTCAGAAAGTGTTGGGGATGCCTAGATGGGGATGCCTAGATGGGGATGCCTAGAAAGGAGACACGCCAAGCGCCCATGGACCTGAAGTAAAACCCGAATCGCCGACCGACCCCGCAGGCATCCGTCGCTCAATCCGCGGCTGCACCCTCCCCTCCCCTCCCCCCAAGCGCACCACCCCCTCCTCTCCGCAGCAAACCTCCTCATGCGTCCTACCCTACCGCAATCCCCCCCTGCAGCACCCAGCCACCTGCAGCAGTGAGCTCATGGGCCCCACGTAGGCCAGCCTTCCCTCCAGTCTACGGTTGAGGGCGTGGTAAAGGTTGAGGTTGGGCAGCGCCTCCTGCAGCCGGTGCTCCCCCATGTGGAGGACCTGGACCCCCATGTGGCGGAGGGGGGGTACGGACACGGACACGGAGGAAGAGGGAAGGCGGAGGGGTTGGGTGGCCGTCATCGTCCGGGACGATAGTTCCAGTTCGAGGCAAGAGCTAGGGTCACGCGGGGCAAAACGAAGGCTAGCCGGAGAATTCACAACGCCCACCCAGATTGTACCTTACGCCCCGCTCCCCTAGCAACAAGGGGTGCAGCCACCGGCCGGCTGGAGTTACCCGGGCCTCCGGTGATATCACATTTGGCGCACACACACACACACAAACATACACAGTTCCTGTCTGTGGCTCAGACCATACAAGTACACCCAGGCACGTACCCCAGCCACGCACCAGGTACTTATCCCACAGTCGCTCCAAGGGCAGCTTCTTGTAGGTCTCTTCTGACAGCAAGACGGTGCCGCCCTGCGCCGCCGCCGCCACCGCCCGCGCCATCACCACAGTGTCGCCGCTGTAGGTGGTGCGGCCATCCGTCCTGGAGTGGCTGATGTCGTGTTCGCTGTGCACCCCCGCGTGGAGTCCCATGCGCACACGCGGGCCGCTGAAGATGAGCACCTGAGGGGGCAGGCAGGGGGGGGGGCGCGGAGCGGGAGTGGGAACGGGAGTGGGGCAACGCAGAAGTGACACGACGTGTGTTAACACATTAAAGGGTCAATAAGTGTCATTTAAGAAGACTTGAAGCTTACTGGAAGGTCGTCACGACCCACGCACCCACACACCCAGGCACACCTTATTGGTGTCCTCCTTGCTGGCCTCCTTCCAGGCCTTACGACAGGCGTTTGAGAAGGTGTATGTCTCCGTGGCTGGCACGTTGACCAGGGAGGGCAGCGTGGCGCCGCTGGAGCCGAAGTGGGTGCTGTGGCCGTGGTGGCTGTGGTGGTGGTCGTTGTGGTGATGGGAGCCTAGGCCGGGTGTCAGGGCCTTGATCTTGGAGGCGCCCGTCGGGATGGGCTCGTCAGAGCCGTCCAAGAAGTCGTCCAGCTTGGGCTTGGCAGTGGACATACTGCCCGTAAATCCCCGGGGCGGATGGAGTGGGATGGGGTGGGATGTAAGGAGCAAATAGGGAGGTGCAGGGGAGTGAGGAAGGATAGGCGTGAAAGTGAACGGGGAAGTGAAAGAGGAGGGGAATCGATTGTCCGGGCAGGAAAGCCCTCCAGGCAGCCAGGGCCGCTGGCGCGCAGCGTGCATCAAACGCCTTCATCCACCCCTCTTGCCCCCCGGCCCCTTGGCCCCTTCCCTACGACCCTGCCTCCCAACGCTGCCTCGGCACCCAAGCCGTCCCCTGCCGGTACACAGCGTTTCCCACATGCAAAACATACACCCACATACACACCTACACAAACAGGAACACCCACATACACACACGCGGCTCACTCGCCAGTTCCTATCCGCGGCTAAGTCCATTAAAAAGATTTACAAATCCATTAAAACGCACATTGCTCAGTTACTAACACACATACGCACACCTACACCTACACCCACATACACTCCTTTCCACACTTGGTACACATACATACATACATACATACATACATACATACATACATACATACATACATACATACATACATACATACATACATACATACATACATACATACATACATACATACATACATACATACATACATACATACATACATACATACATTCACGCACTCACATGCCCTGAACGAAGAGTGGCGCGCAGCTGCCCAGCGCCAGCACCTCCCCGGGCCAGGCCACCTGCAGCAGAGCTGCCTGGGCCTCCATGGCGAACAGCAGCGCATCCTTGGGCGAGTGGAAGGCCAGCACCAGCGAGTCCGCCTCACTGCCACCCTCGTAGCCGCTGTGCCGCAGCAGTAAGCGGCGCAGGCAGTCGTGGTAGTCCTTCAGCATGCGCTCAACCACCTCGGTTGTTAGCGCCTCGGACAGCAATGCATAGTCCTGGTGGCAGACAGGGTGGTGGTGGCGGTGGTAAGGGTGAGGTATGGGGAAAGGGGGAAGTTGGCGGCGTAGAGGTGATAAAAGCGGGAAAGCGTGTGAGGTGAAGACAGACGGCGTAGGGCTGTAGCTGGAATCCCCGACATGAACTCCCTTTGGTTTCGTGTCGTTTGCCGCGTCGGCGTCCAACCCAATCCAATCCAAGCCTAACGGCACAACCTTCCTTGGCACCCGCTTCCCGCTTCGCTTCCCCCCCACACACTCCCCCCTTTCTGCCCCAATCCACCAGGGTGCGACAGTCCGATCGGGTCCCGACAGGAATGGCACTTGTGCTGAAAATCCCGACAGGCTTTGAAAAATGCTTTCGGGCGGACCCGACGAAAAAGGGGGAAAATGCCAAACGGCCATCGGGAGCCCCCGACGGGGCCCGGAGGGCTCCCGTCGGGGGACCCGACAGGGTTAGGGGCGCTAGGACCGCCCGATCGGGTGCCGTGGGTCGTCGGTGGGCCCTTCGGCGACGGACAGCTACAGCGATACATAATGGCATTCATAAAAATATAACTGGATGGAAATATGTAATGTAGTGGTAGCATTCGTTCTTTTCGTTCTTGCGTCACCCGACAGGTTTTGGGATGGGCTATCGGGGCACCCGACAGAAATTGAAAGATATGCAAAAACGCTATCGGGTGGGCCCGACGGGCATGGGAAGGGGAAAACCGGCAACCCGACCATTTCAGGAAGGTCCTGTCCAACCCTGCAATCCACCGTCCATTTCGTCCCCAAGTCCATCCCCAAGGGCCCCGCCTTAACCCGCTCCCCCCTCCACACACACACTCTTACCTGTATTTCGCTGACGAGGATGGTCGTGTCCGGCCCCACACCAGGCGGCACAACCTTGCCAAACAGGTTCTTGTGTTTGCGGTTGTTGCGCACCTCGTACACCACACCCGCCGCGATGAGCAGCAGCGCGCACACCGTGGGCAGCACGATGGCGATGGGCAACCAGCTGGGCGAGCCGCCGCCGCCGCCGCCGTCCTGCGTGTGATTGGGGTTTTGGGTATGTGGGTATGTGTATATAATACCCAATTCCGGTCATTGATATGATCCGAAGTACACGTATCATTCAATCACGATTGGGGATCCCCCAACTGCCCCATCAATGACGGTAGTGGCAGTAGAGCCCTCTGGCCCTCTGCCTGCATATGATAACCTGCATGATACGTGTATGGTGGTCACAGGTAGCCATTAGTATGTTAAGATTTTCGGTGGAGTACGGGACGTAAGGCGCATCCGGAGAGAGGAGAGAGGTGGTGAGAGGTAAGGGGGCGGGCCGATATGGGCCCGATATATTTTTGTTTAACAAGAGACAGAGGGCAGACAGACAAGAGTCAGGTGGACAGCATCAACCCGTGTGTGTGTGTGCGTGTGTGTGTGTGTGTGTGTGTGTGTGTGTGTGTGTGTGTGTGTGTGTGTGTGTGTGTGTGTGATGATGGCGGTGCTGCATGCCGGCACTACACCCACAGACCCACCCCGCCCATGACGCCGTTGAGGTTGTTAATGTTGTTATAGTTGATGGTTGACAGGTAGATATCGGCCAGCAGTTGGCGAAACTGCTTCTGTTGCGGGTCCAAAAAGATCTTGGCGGTGGTGGTGTTGAGCATGAGCATGGCGCTCTCCACGCTGGAGGAGCCGGAGGTCAGGTTGGCGACGGCGCTCTCAAAAATGTCCCTACGGAGACGACCGGGGAGAAGGGGAAGGAAGGAAGGAAAGAGGATTAGCTAAAGTCCCCAGGGATGGGGACAGGGAGAGAGGGTTAGGTAGGGGTACGGAAGGTGAACATAGTATAACGCAGTATGATGGGAAGAGGAGGCGGGTCAGGGGAGATGGGAGATGAATCATGTACGAATACGAAATGAAATGGAAATTCCCACCTGAACATCTTGGTGTTCGGGACACGCAGGTCCAGAGCGATGTTGCGGTCGTTAAAGGAGTTGTTGGCGGCGGTTAGGTAGTTGAGGGTGTCGTTGATATTGTAGCCGGCGGCTACCCAACGGCTGATGTTGGAAAAATGGGCCAGACGGTAAGGGTCGAAGGCTGCAGGAGGGAATAGGGGGGAATAGCAATTGCAACAACATGCGGCATAAATCACGACGAGGGAGGCCGCCGCCAATGCAACAGGGACGGAGACGACCACCAACGGGAAGTTGTGTGGTCAAACAAAAGCATCCATCAGTGTGCAACCGCAGTATCCAGCCTGGGCGGGAAGCTACAAGAACAGGAGGATCTTCCAAGTCGCTGCACCAGGAGCTGCCACAAAACCACGAGAGGGACACACAGCCAAACCCATCAACCCGCTGCATTTCCAACCACCAGCCACGAGCCACCCTCCCCACCACGAGCCACCCTCCCCACCACGCCCACCCACTACCCGTCAGCCGTCGCGCAACCCTCATTAAAGAGCACAAAGCATTAGTGTGTCTGTGTGTGCATGTGTGTCTGTGTGTCTCTGTGCACCGCCCTGAATCCCAACGCCTAAACCCTTTTCTCCCCAAGCCCCTCTCAGCCTCTGCACAGCAGCAGCAGCAGCAGCAGCCCACAAATCGATGGTTGCTTTTCTTTCCCACCGAAACCCTCCTGGTCCCCCCCGGGCCGCCTGGGCCGCCACAAACCTCCCACAACTTACGGCTGTGGGCATCCAGCACCCGAGTCCACGACTCCTCCGGCCCTGCCAAATGCAAGAAAAACGACACGGACAAATTGCGATAATCCACCTGCGTACGCGCGTTCACGGCTGCGACCCAGCCGCCGCCCGCCGCAAAGGGCGCCCGGTTCAGCCAGGCAGTGTTAGTGGTCGAGGGGGCCTGCGGCGGCGACCCAGGCGGGGGGTAGCTGCTGGTGCCCCCAGCAGCACCGTCGCCGCTGGCGGCCATGGTGGTCGTCGCGGTGGCATTGGCGGCACCGGCCGCGGTCGTCAGAACGCTTGTGGCGAAGGGGCACAGCACCGGGTCGCAGGGCACCAGCTGGTTGGAGGTGCGGTTGAGGACCTCGAAGGATCCCGGCATGGGCGCAACGCCCAGCTTGCCGCGGAAGGCCGACGCGTTGAATTCCTGGGGGGTTGGAAAGGGAACACCCACCATCGCTTACATGTGCACATCGCCCCGCCGGCGAACCGAACAACGGATAAAGGACGATATTTTGGAAGGATGCCCAGGGAGTGCTTACCTTGAAGAAGTCGCCCAGGCCAAGGCCCATAAGGCACGCGCCATTAGCAAACTTCCTGGCCATGCTTCGCCCAGCATCCACAGGTGCCGACACGCTGTCGTCACACTTGGCATCGGAGGAGTTGTTCGGTGACAAGTCGAAGAGCTGCTTGTAGATATCCAGGGCGCGGGCCATTGCTGGGTTGTGCACCAATGCGGGGTTCTTCTGCAAGTTATGAATGTCGGCGGGCTCGAAAATGACGCCCTGGCTGCTACCGTTGTACTGCATGTAAGGCGCCAGGATTGAGAGGAGGTCGAAGTAGCCCTGATGGCAGTCTTGAGGGGCCGGAAGGAGAGGGGTCGGAAATAGCACGGCACGGCGAACAAGTTGGCGTGGGGGGGGGAAGGGAAGAAAGGGAGCAGGCTGTCATCCAATGAGCCGGGAAACGAAGGGAGCGTGAAATTGGCCCGCACGCAATGAAGTGGCGATTCCGGGGAAAAAAGGGCAAGGAATGGGTAGAAAGGGAAGGCAGGGCAGGGCAATGATCTCAGCACACGACTCCTGCTCGTCGTACTAGCGCGTGACCACTGAGGAGGGTGGCCCAAATGGTTCTTTTTCTCCTTTTCGGGCCTTATCTGCAGTAAGGCCTGAAGGCGCACCCAGGCTGCAGCAGGAAGCCGCGAAACTGGGAGTAGTAAGACGGCGAGAGACGTACCTTTGCGACGATCAAAGCAAAAGGCGTTATCCTGCACGGTATCATTATTAAGGTCAAGGTTGCGGGAGTCCAGGAACTTGGCAACGGTTAAAACCTCATCCCACGTGCGAGGGACTTGAAGGTTATACGCTTCAAACACGTCTTGTCGGTAATACAGCAGCTTGACGTTGCCATCGAGCGGCAAGACAACGGTGAGAAACTTGCGGAGGGCCTTGTCGTAGTACCGAGACGTGTTTTGAAAGTAAGGATGGACGTCGTCCCACTGAAAGTCTTCCGTCTTGTTGCCGATGACGACGGGGATGTTCACGTACGAAGTCAGGTCTTCAAACCCGTTGAAATTGTAAATGGTACCCAGCCCCATTGGGTCCAATATCCAACCATCGTGGCTGTAAGTCAGGTTATGCTCCAGCTCAAACTCAATTTCTGAATTAATTTGTGATGCAGGTATGAAGATCGGGACCACCTCCACGGCCGTTCCAGAGTCGAATAGCTCTGATAAGCGCTTCAAGCTCGCAGAGACGCCAGTGCCTAATTCCGGCAACATGGTGTGAAGTGCCTGCATTCCCACACCGAATCCGTTTAATTTCCAAGCAAGCACACTTGCATTCCGGAAGGGCAAGACACACCCTGCTTGAGGTGAAGTTGGTGTGAAAGCATTTTCGGAGGTAATCCTTAAGCGAACTCTCCAGAGCCACGTAGTATCCTTGCACGTCGGGCTTTGAGCAACTGCACATGCCAAAGCACCAAAAACAGGGAGACATGGCACAATCGATGACCTCTCACGCAACCCATCGCCGTTGATCCTCTTGTGCATCCATTACCTAGATTCTATATTAGACACCATCTCCGCCATGCAAAGGAGTTTGTTGTCGTTAGTACTCTGCGTAGTGTCTTGCCCGGCGGCCAAGCCGAAAGAATATGCAAGTATTGCAAACAGTAACAAGGAGAATCCTAATGGTCTCATCCTGCCTTCGCCTTGCTCAAGGTACCGTATCCTAACGGCCGAGCGGCAAGACGAGTGTTAACTCCTCAAACCATTTCAGTTTATTCAAGATCTCAAATGAAACGCAGCAATCCGGGCAAGCCAGGCGACGAGTCAACAGTAACCCAACGGAACAACTTGTACCGCGTTACTGCCGGTGTCGTACAGCAAACTCCATTCACATATAACCTCGCCAAGCTAACGCGAACTGATTCGCTTTGCAATTTACCAGGAGTTGCTGCCAGGAGTTACTGACAAAAATCTGGCGTGGCTTACACCTGGAAAAGTGGGGACCCCAGGCTCACCCATCGCGAGTCACTTGTCCGCTGCCGAAAGGTCAAATGGTTCTCTAACATTCCGAAAAGAAACCTAAGCTTTGGCCGAATACTACCATTGCGTTCATTTCCTGAACCCACTATAATCCTGTACCAATTGGATTAACCTTTAGTCCCGTCGCCGTGTCCCTTGCATGCGTTACAGGACGGCGCTTTGGCTGTCCATGCCAAACCGACCAACGTTGGAAAACAGCAACTTGTGCGCCCATCGAGGCCCATCTGCCGCTTCAGCATGTGCGATTTCAGATACGGAAAGGGGGCCCCTCAAAAGGGCCACTAATACTTGCAATCCCCTGTTACCCGGCAATGTACTAGTATAGGTAATGGATCCCGCTGGTCAGCGTATCGATTACAATTATTGCCAGCCACATTTGTCGTAGGACTTGGCATTTGTCACAGCAGCCACAAAAGCCAAACCATTTTCCGCCGCGGAAGAAACTTAAGCCCACAAAAGGTGGCCAACACACCTGCGCATGCGACAAAGAAGTTCCGCGTCTCGCGTTCTGAGCATACGTCGCTAGTTGTGGAACAAGCCAGCTGGAATGGGTCCCAGCCCACAAGGGGCATGGCCTAATCATGGGTCTAGGGTTTTTCGATGCTAATGGTGCCACCCCAGCATCCAGCATCCCCGTGGTTCTAAGGGAGTAATGAATCATTCAAGATATCAATCAGAGTTAAGATGTCGAATCAATCAACTGTTGTGAACTCGTCACCTACTACTACTAAATACCTCGCAACGAGGACTAAAAACTGCAAAACCTGCAGCGAAGCAGCATCCGTCCTCCCAGGCAAGCAGACACACATAATACGTTGTTCGGTTTGCACGCACGCACACATACTCGCACATACCCTAATTCATGTTAGACGCAAGGCATATGCCGCGCACTCACGCACGCAGCACGTGAAGAGGCAGTACAGAATGCAAAACACACATGCAGGCCATGCCAACCGCCCGCCTATGTTCCGCCGGTATGATACGACAATCTTAGAAGAGGGATCAAACAAAAAACTCAAGGCCTCGGGACTCATTGCGGCTGCACGATACATCGCACGTGCGGCAACGGCTAATGTGGTCGCGTCGCGAAAATGAGCCCGGCCACGACTATGAAAAAGCACGAGGGAGGTGTAGCAGGAGGATTCTCGCAGCCGCAATGGCAGGAAGGAATTCAATGCCTGAATGTGTTGACGTGCTTTTCCACGTCCTATGCACCGTCATCAAGGAGACCTAAAACCGCTGCCGCCGTCGAGAGCGAAGAAATGGCTTCAGCGTTAGCATGGGCCTTCCCGCACATTTCGCCGCGCTTGGCATCCATTCCCTCAAGTCATGTCCCTCCAACTCTAAAAATTTAACCACCAGCGCAGCCGCCGCATGTCCTCGACAACCGGTACCACAGCCACAACCCGCAGCGAAAACCAGCCCGAGAATAACCCCCGCACAAGTCATTTTGTGCACGTGGTCAACGCGCACATGGCCGCACAATACCACCAGCGCACACCCACCCATCCGGCTGCACAAAAAGCCAGCAAAACAGCACACCCGCATTCACAGCACAAATCTCACGCCACAACTGAAGGTCGTGCCTGCGATGCAAACGGCGAACTCGACGACCGCTGCACCACACGCCCGGCAGCAGCCGCTCCTGTCTCTGGGGTCGGTGTGCCTGCTCTCCCGCTGCTGCTACTATTGCTCAGCAATGCCTTGATCTTGTGGTATCGCACGTACACAGGCCGCAGCGGTTCCTTAAGAGCCTGTGTTAGTGGCCGACCGGCAAACGCCTCGTATGAGGAAGCAACGTCTTTAAGCTGCCGTTTGAGACGCTCTTTCTCGCTCTGCATGGCGGTCGTGCTCATGCCTCGGATGGGCACGCGATGGGCCATTGCCTCCGGCGTAGTCAGCTCCCGAACCATGAGGGTAAGGGAGCTCGTCAACGTGACGCGCAGGTGGCCAGCAACGCCCAGCTCCGCAACACAGCTGAGGCCCTGGGAGGACGGCGACGTTGTGGCGGTCGGTGGCAAACGGTCCGAGGGCACAGGACTCGTGCCTCCCCCACCACTACTGCTGGAGCCGCCACCGCTGCTGGAGCCGCCGCCGCTGCTGCTACCGCTGCTGCCGCTCCCACCCATGGCAACTCGAGCTCGAATCTGCGGAAGGTGCTGATACAAGGCATGAACGGCGCTACCCACGCCATGGGGCAGCTGCGGCGGCGACTGCTGTGTGGGATGCTGCTGCTGCCGCAGCTGTTGCGGGCTAACGGGCGGAGGCGGGCCGTCACCTCCGCCCATGGTCATTCTTCGTTGTCGAGAGTCCGCAGCCGTTCCGGTGGTGCCAGGTTGCCGACTGAGTGAAGAACGCGCAGACCAAAATTGCTCCTGGCCTTGCCCCTGCCCTTGACCGGGGTGGGTCCCTTGCTCACGTGACGCCCCACAAGCCTCACTGGCGGCACCACCTTCCGTTGGACGCCTAGAGCATGCAGATCGGGAGACGCAGGGCGGTTCGGATGGCTGCTGCTGCAGCTGCAGCCCGGACAGCGCGGCTTGGACACCAGCCATTTCCGACGCTGATAGCTGCGACCGCTGCATATGGGACGCGGCGGCTGCACCCTGCTTTCCATCGCTAGGCGCGTCACAGTGGCCGGTGGCGGCTGCACCTGGCGCCGCGGCCAAGGCCACGATACCGGGCTGCGCGGAAATGATGCAGAATACGCTCCCCTCAGCGACCTCACGTTGCGCCAGCTCTGCAAGTGCTGCGGTTGACACGGGGCCCGGCGCCGCTTTGACCAATGCAGCAGTAGTGCTAGAACCCTTGGTGGCCATATCTTCCGCCTCCAATGGAGCTGCTAGCCGACCCTGTTCGCTGCTGTCCAGAGGGGCTACCAGAACCGCGCGCGGGCTGTACGGCGCGTCTATCTTTTCCGTCCCATCTCGTGCACTATTGCTGCTGTTGCTGCTGCTACGACGACATGTCCCAGAATGTGGCGCGTTCGCGCCGCCTGGGTGTTGGTGATGATGATGGTGTTGGTGATGAGAATGCTGATGGGTATGCTGGGATTGATTTTGCTGGCTGACTGGCTGTACTGGGTGGCACGGGTCGCACTGGGGAGATGGCAAAGGCAGCAATGACATGCCGCTGCAACAGCTGGCACCCCCACCGCTGCTAGCTGCGCCACCGCCGCTGATAAGGATATTGGAGCAGCTGGAGGCCATGCTGCCGCAATCATCATCCCCGCTCCATGCGGCGGTTTCGTGTTCGAGGGAGTCATCGAAGGAGAACAGTGCGTCAGCGACGCAACTTCCAACCATGTCGTGCAGAGTTGCCAAAAACGGGCCGTCGTCAAGATATGGCTCGTATGCCCCGTCGCCTACCACCACCGCATCCTGCTGCTCTGTTAACAGGGACAAGTCGGAGGGCGCGTGGCGTTGCAGTAACTGCGAGGAACCCATTGCGTCCGCGCGGCCGGGCACGTCACGAGAGCCCTGCTGCCCTTGTTCCGGTCCTTGCTGTTTTTGCTGCTGCTGTCCGGGCCCCTGTTCCTGCGACTCCATTATTTCCGCCGCCGCCTCGCACAGCGCCTGCGGTGTTACCACCGGCACGTTAGCAGCGAGCGAGGGGTTGAACACGTGGAGGGCGTTGGACACTAAGGTAGCAACCGTCTCCTCAGCGAGGCGGAGTTCCGTTGGCCCCGCCGCCAGTGCAGCGGGGAAAAGGATGGGCGCGAAGGCCACGGCCACCTGCAACAGCTGTTGGTCAAAGCGACGCTGACGGAAGCAGTACTGCTGCAGGAAGAGCAGCAAGGGCTTGAGCGTGCCCAAGGCGATGGGGTCGACCTGTGGAGGATGCGCGCGCAAACACCGATCCGATTGAGCCAATATTGTAAGCGAGACCCGTTGTGGCTGAAGGCGCTTGCTTTGAATGCAGTAACCAGGGACAAAGGATTTATCTGTCTTTCAAATGAGAGAGTTCGCAGCACCTTTGCAGCAGACGTGTTCAATGCCTCGTATCTAATAGGGGGTTTGAATTAGAACAACTTACAAGAGCGACTGCGTCGTTGAGGCTAGCTATCCTCGCCTCGATGCAGCCCTCATCTTTGCAAGCTGAGAGAAGTTCAACCTGTTGATTCCAGTTAAGCAACGGATCTGGAAGCTCCTCTAGCCAGCGCTTTAGCAAACTGCCGACCTGCAGCCGTGGATACCCAGGCTGTCAAGAGGTCGACCTAAGTTTGACGCAGGCAACGACGACAGTTCTCACCACTGCTGGATGCGTTCCCTCAACAAGCTCCGCAAGCGAAGCACCTATATCAATAGCACTCTTCAAATGGCTGGTTGCTGCAGACTTCGGCGCCTCTGCAAAGATGTCCGGCTGGGCCAGGGCGTGCGCCGCGAGCCACCGTAAGATATCGCCAAGGATGAGAGGAACCTCGACGCCAGATCGTTCACAGAGAAGCTGGGGTCGGTCAGGCAAAGAGAAGGAACGTTGGCCAGGGTCTCGCCGGTAGGCCATGGCTAGCTACAGAACATCTGTAGCAACATGAAAGTTGAAAGCTACGATATGCGTGCTCACCGTCAAAGATATCCCAAACGTGGGGCCGTCGTAATCATGTTTGACAGCGGACATTATTGATGCTTGAAGGTGAATGCTCCGCTCTACGGCAAATGATGAAAAGGACGCTGTGACAGCCAGGTGACCCAATTGGACAGGGCCACCAGAAAGAGTTAGTTGATAGAAGAAGGTTTACCATCGGTTAAGGTGTCGTCTCGTGTCTTTGATAAAAAATCATAACTGCCAGTTGCGGATGCCGTACGCGCATTCATAGTGTGGCTTTCCTAACCTGCATTCAGGATAAAAGACGAACTCAGACACATACAGCTTAAGTTAATCGTCTGGGGTGTCGTCAGTTTCATCTAACGTCCGCGCTGTGACTTCTTCGTTCGTCTGTCCCCGATTGTACGGCAACGCAACAAATAGATGTCAAGCAACATCGAAGCTGTACGGTGGCGAGCAAATTTAGGCTCACTTGATGATAGCACCGTATCCATCTTTGCGATGCACGGAGTTACGATGTGGGCTGTCGAACTAAGGAACCCATAATGTCCCGTGAACACTTGCTCATTTTTCCTACCAAATTTTCAAGCATCCACAATCAGCAATAGGAATTCTGAGGAAGAGCGGATTGGTCACGTTGAAAGCTTAAATCTTTGGTCTGTGTCGAAGCATGTCTCCGAACCAGCATCCTTTCCACTAGGAGAAATTATGGAACCTTTACTTCATTCATTCAGACAGCGCTTGGTTGCTTGACAGGAACCGAGGGTCGTGCACTTGATTGGAAAGCTGAGCACCCGTCTGCAAAATTCGTACCTTACACTCAGGTCCTTTACCTGAAGGACGCCGCCGTGACTCAGTAGGCAGCTTTAGGGCCAAAAGTTAAAGTTGCGCGTCGCCATGATGTACTGAACCCGCGGCCTGTAAATCAGTTGCTTTCGTAAGTTACAGGTGGTTAAGACAGGGTCGCAAACCTACATATGTACCCAGTTGATATATGTACACACAGAATAAAAAGTTCGGGGAATGAACAAATGACGGAGTGATAACGAAACCAAACCTCAAAACAGCACTAACACAAAAGTTCCGACGGCTTGCAACGCACATCAACGCACATCTTCATGCAAGCTTATCCGTGTATGCGCGGCCGCCTTCTAACAGGGGATTTGCATGTACATTGTCTGGCAGCGTAATTTCCCTGGTTTGCGGAAGCACCCTCACGCCCAGGCATGTTCCAGAAAGCCAACTCGGCCCCAAAGCCCCGCCTGCCATCGTTGTCTCGGGATGTGCCATCACCTACCTCCGATGATTGGATGATTTGACATGCGTGCATGCTCACACTTGACTACGGATGCCATTTTCGGCACGTGCGTGCGCTTTGGCCTTACCAATATACTCCTGCTCGGGTCGAAGCCCACCGAAGCAGTGCAAGCAACAGAAACAAACCATCGCTACCTTCTACTCGCCATTACCATGAAGTGTTCCACCCGTGAAAAACATGTGCGGATAGGCTGCCAACCTGTAGATGAGAAGCCTCTTGGGTGGGCGGCAGCTGAGCTTCGCTCAATGTGGCAGCCAAGCACCGGCGGTGTAACCCCCAATAATAATCGCTATACGTTATCATGCCCTTCGCACCCTACGCATTGGCGTGTGGTTCCGTCCGGCTCAATGGGAGCCGGTGAAGATTTCACAATACAACATTTATCGTCTCAACTATTGTCCCTTCTGGTTACTATTACGAGCCCCTACCGAGCGAAATCCGGAGAGGAAATGCTAGCAGCAGTCACTGCCCCAGTCTCCCAGTGGAACGCCACTGCATCCAACCAAAATTCTGTGTCAACAAGCCCGTTTCCAACGCGCCTTCTGCCAGCGCATGGAGGAACAGGGCCCACCCCATACCTCGAGACGACCACTACTGTCCATCACCACACACGACTCAAGGCTACACAAGCCAATTGCAGCTTTGATGCGCCGTTGGCTTCAGCATCGTCGCATTCCCTCCTTTCCGCCCCACCTCCAGCCCGGCGAAACAGTGCGGCTCTACCTCCTGCTGTGAACGCCGTACCTTGCCAGGCAAACACACCTCCCCATACCCCCAAACCGCCGAGCCCATCCACCCATCGGTAGATAAATTGCAATCCCCCAGCAAGCATGCGCAGAAGACGATACATGGCAGGCAATGTTAAACAATCCCTACTCTGCGGCCATGAGCTGTGCAAAAGATGCAGCCAAGAAGCCCAAGTTCTGGCTGATAACGCGAACAAGGTATCGGAACAAGCGACAGAGCAATGCAAATTGTGCTCACCGCACAGCGCGCTTCGTCTGCTGCGTGGTGGAAGGTCCGGAGAACGTCCGCCTGCTAACAGCGACGCAGCAAGATCAGCGGCAGAGCTCCAAGGGTTACAAGAAGCATGGAGAGGAGCATCGGGCGCTACGTCAGTAATCGCATTGCGATACCGGAAACTTCCACATGCCCCTGTGCAGTGTCCAACCATCTGCCCCATACCCACCTGCTCGAGCGACAGGTGTTGAATAAAAAATCATTCCCATGTCAATGCGACGCGCTACGAGGAATTATGGCACATAGGTTATCCCTCGCATCCACAGGTGCAATTGGGTGTGATTCGCGCCTCTGCTCAGCCGCATTTTCATACGCATATGTGCACAAAATTCTATTCAATTTTCGCTATGCGCAGGATTGCTAAGGAGTGTCAGGGCGGCAGCTCCAACCTGCCCGCCATACCATGCCTTACCGTACCACTCCCCGATGCCAGCGCTGTCAGGCAATGTCATACACATGCTGGCTGGACTCCTCCATGGCAAAAGCGGAACCAATCGTTAAGACAATATGCCCCACTCCAGCGTGGTCACCACGACATCGCGAACGGTCTGATGAATATACAAAAGGCACCACCCGCGGCTGGCTACAGAACGGTCAACACGGTGGGGATAACCCAGCCGTTTAGTGCCACTGGCCGCCTCCTGCACCATGCCTCGACTCCCCTAATAGTTCCAGTGCCAGCTCCAGCTGCTCACGCGTGGGCCCGGCTGCACTGGCGACGCCGATGCCGCCAACATAATCCCCCAGAGGCGGGCCAACGCCAAAAGCGGCCGCCGCCGCCGCGGTAGATGCGGCAGCAGCTCCCCCATAACTGATTCGCGATGGAGGCAGAGGCGGCGCAATGCCGAAGGCCGCCGCCATTGCAGCCGCGTCACTACCAGCATCGCCGCCAACCCCGCCGCGGCTGCCTGGCCCCGTAGACCCCACGCCGACGGCCCGAAGCCGACTCTGGCCGAGGCAGCTGCCCTCCGCTTCACTTGCATTCGGATCTTCGACTTTCGTGCCTTCGCACTCGCTCGCGTGGCGTCGCGGAGATAGACTTGCCGCCAGCGCGTCGCCGTCCGAGCTAACGGCCTCTGCGCCGACGCCGCGTAGTCCCACGCCTTCAAGCAACGCTATCAGAGAACCGGCGCCGGCTGTACACTGATTGCGGTGGTTGTGGTGATGATACTGCTGTGTCGGGTAGCGCAGTGGGTGCTGTGGCGGCCCCGTCGGTTCAGACCCGACACTGCTCGCCACAGCTGACGAGGTCAAGGCGGTGCCGTTCAGGGCAGCGGCGGTAGCGGCCGTGTTGTTGGTGGTAGCGCTTACAGTAGAGCCACCGCTTACCCAGGTGCTCGAAGGCGACACGGCCTGAGAGGTCAAGTCGTTGGAGACGCCGCTGCCTGTCCGGTTGTTTGGGCGCAGGCGGGTGCCGCTCCCGCTGCCACTGCCACTCCCGCTGCGCCTCACGGCACCGCTGCCGACAAGGCTGAGGCGGCTGCCGGGGCCGCTGAGGCCAGCAGCGCAGCAGCTGTCGCGCGCACCGTTGGAAGATCCAATGTTCATCGGCGTGGCAGACGACGACGTCGTCACGGCTGCGACGGCCCTAGCCGCGTGGCTGCTGTTTGAATGGCTTTCGGAAGCAGAGATGACCAAGCTGCCAGACGCGTCGCCAGAACCGTGTATGTCAACAGTAACGGCACGCACGCATACGGGAGAGGAATTCCCAGAGGCGGCGTCCGCTGCCGATGTCACTGGGGCTCCGATGCCCGAAGGCACCACATCGGCGGCCTCCGGGGCAGGCGTAGATGTTCCTTCCGCCGCCGCCGCCACCGCTGGCAGAACCGCTCTCGTGGACTGGCACGAACCGCGAGTGGGAGACACACCTGAGCGCGGTGACTGGCGACTCACCGCCGCCGCCGATGACTCCGCAGCCACCGCGGCGGCGACTGCTGCTAGACGGCCATTGTGTGCAACAGCCAAGTGCCGACGTGGCAACAGCGTCGGTTCCGCGACGGTCGACTGTCGTCCCTCAACCAAGTCGCCGCTGCGCGTCCGCACATGCGTCTCCGGCTGTCTGTTCATTACCGCTGACGCCGTGCTGGAGACACTGCCACCGCTGGCCGACGAACCTTCGAGAGCAGGCGAGCATAACCTCGTTGCCAATGCCATGCAGCCGCTCGATGAGCGCACGGTGCCACTGCCGCCACCACTTGGGGCTCCGCCGCCGCCGTCGCCGCCACCGCTGGCGACACCTAACGGGAACGGAAGATATAGGTCAGCGCTATTGGCGGATCCACTATGCCGCCCCGCCGTCGTCCCTGCGCCCGTCAGGCCGTGTGTCTCCCCTTGCGGCGAGCTCGACATTGATACGGAAGCGCGCCATACAGCAGCGGATGAGGGCCGCACCGCTGCTAGGTGGCTGTGTGTTGTGTAGGTGGCGACCCCAAACCCACTCGACGCGCAGCTGGATGGATGGGAGCCGGCACCGCCGGCGGCGCCACCGGCACAACCAGCGCCGCCGGCGATAGTGCCGCCGGGACTGCTGACCACCCCACCGCTGGGGCTTAGTGCTAGGTAGGATATTCCGGCGGTAACGGAGCCGCAGCGACTGATAGAGGCGCCTTGTGAAGAGCCCAAAGCAGCGCCAAAACCAGTGCTGGATGCACCACCTGAAAGCGCGCCGCGGACAATCCCCGTCGCAGAAACAGTCACCTCAAGGGTCTCCACCCTGGAGCCGTCATCCAACATGCCATCGGCGTCGTGGCCTGTGCTACGGCCGCCACCCGCAGCCGTGGCGGCGGCGCCAACGGCCCCGAGGCCCTCCGCTGACGGGGCCGCGTCCTCGTCCAGCGTCTCTAATGCAACCAGTCGCTCAAAGTGGAACGGCGGTAGTGGCGGCAACGGCTGGAGCTGCGGTTGCTGCTGGTCATGCGGCTGTACGATAGTGCAGGAGCTGTCGGCAGCGGCAGCGCAGCCAGTGCTGCTATAGTGCCCATCAAACAGCATATCTCCCACGCAGGTTGCAATCGTGGCCATCATTTGATGGTCCTGCGGTGATGCGTCGCCGCCGCCTCCGTCAGGAACAACGGAAACCATTGTATGGCCGCCGCCGACGCTTCGCATCTCGTTGAGATGCTGCATATCCGGCCCAAACGCACAGGACAGTCCCTGTGCGTGCGCCGCCGCCGCCGTACTGCCTGACGACCCCCATATACCCCCAGACAGCACCACGGACGGCAGCATTGCGTAAACCGCCGCATTAGTGGTCGCAACGTGGCATTCGGTGCTGACGGCGCCGCCGCCGCTGACACCTGACAGTCCATTAGTGTGCATGGGTGCACCATCGCCTAGGTGACCATTGCCAGAGATGCCTTGAGGCGAGTTAGAACCGATGTTGTTGGTGGTACGCTCGTGCACAGCGGCAACGGCGGCCGCCGCGGCCATGGCGAGCGACGGCGTCGCAGATGGGGACGTCGCCATGCCTGCGCTCCATTTCGCAGCCGCTGTCGCTGCTGCAGAAGCCGCAGAAGCTGCAAACCCCGGCGGCGGAACCGCCACCGCGCCACCGACGGCAGCCAGGGAGACCTGCGACTCAGATGCCGCAGCCCCGCCAGAGAGGCCCATGGGTCGGCGGGTCCGCGCGGAAACGGAGCGGAACGGCGCTACACTACTACTGGCCTGTATTGCGGAGGCAGAGCGCGTACGCGACTGCAGAACCGCCGCCAGCGCTGCGCGTGACACCATGACGCCTGCTGCGGCAGTGGAGGCTACACCGCCGACACCACCATTCACGCCGCTGGCGCCGCTGCACTGCGAGCGGTGGCTGCTGCCCGTTTGGGACATGTGTCCCCCCGGCGCTGCGGCAGCGGCGGCACCGTCGGTGCCGCTCGCACCGCCGCCAACCACCACCGGCACGAACGCCGCGCGGTAGCGCGCCGACGACGCGCCGACGCCGTTCACGACGCGGTCCGGATCAGATCCACCGACCATCTGCAACATTTCCGATATTTGCCCGCCGCCAAGGCTAGCTCGGCCCATTAGCGCCGTAGACGAAGAGGCCTGAGAGCCGCGGCGGCCGCCGGTCACATCCGACGTCGACACGTGCTCCAGGGCAACGCTGTTATGGAGGCTGGTGCGGTACGAGGTGGTGTGATGGGATGCGTGCGACATGGATGACAGCACGAGCGCGCTCTTGCGTCGGTTATCGGAGGAACTGACCAGGCCCACACTGACGGTACTGCTGCGCCGCGTGGAGCTGGGCACGTGGCGCTGATAGCTGCGTGGAAAGACGAGGGGAGAAAGGCACGGGAGTAGAGATTACATACGGGACAACGAAGTTATAGAAAGTAACGCAGCAAGCACCGCAGATCCCAAAAAAGACTCAATAGGCAGGGGAGGCGGCGACTGTGTAGGAAATACGTGGACGACCAGCGGTAAGAAGTCATCTCCCAGGCCCAGGCCCAACGGCCTTCCTTACGTGCAATGGAACACCTCGATCCGTTCCTGGATGCCCTTCAGCTGGAACAGCCCCAGGCTGGTGGCGGTCACCAGACGTAGGGCCGATGCGGAGGCAGCGCAAGACTCCCAGGCCTCCGAGGAACACAGCACCTTCAGGGCGACGTGGGTAGAGTGAGATACAGCGGCATAAATGAAGATACCCAGGAAGGCATTAGCAGGTTTCATAACGGATTTAATCACACGACAGTCACGAGAGCGCACGAGCCTGGCAGGCCATCGGACACGTTGCATGGGCAGAATACACAACGCCAACGGCACACGACGCGCACACACACACACACACACACACCAAACGCACCTGCCCGGAGCTCGCAGCTGCAGAAATGCGTGCCGCTCGGTTCATGACCTACGGGCCCAAGGGACAGGTGAATTGTAAATTGCCGTTAGAGATAACCTCGCAAGCAAGCCAGTAATCCCAAAACTGCTCAGACATGATGGCCCCCGATGACCAAGTTGTGTTTCCCAGCTTGGGCCTGCCCGGCCCAGCCCAACAAAGTGATAGGAAAACGGGAGGATAGGGGAACCCCCTCACCTTGCCACGGTACGTCATTCGGCCCGTCATGGTATGCAGCCGCGCCAGCACCTGACCAATATCGATGCCCGTCTTGAGGCGCGGACCGCGAAACACAGTGGCGGAGGTGACCTCGCCACCGCGCACGGGGACCGTCACCGTCACCTCCTCGCACAGCTCGTGTGCTAAGAGCTCCTCCGGCCTGTTTTGTTGTTTGCGGGAGGAAGAGGTCGCGATGATGGGACAGGAATCAAAACTGTGGTGGTGGTGGTGGTGGTGGTGGGGTGTTTGTGAGGGAATTGGACGGGTAGGAAAAAAAGCACCGCAGACCGCTGTCCGGTGCTCTGGCAGGACCTGCAAAAGGAATCCCTCAAATCACCGCATCAGCGGTTATGACAGGGTGATAGGAGAGGCAAGGAAGGACCGTTCAAAAGACGCAGTGCAAAACACACACGCGAGTCGGCAACACGCGAGTCGGCAAGCGCACGTGCGCGCACCAGTCCTCCTTGAGCATCAGCTCCTGCATCCTCAGACCCCACAGAATGGCATCCGCGGGGGAGTGGAACGCTGTGAGCATGAATCCCTCCACGTGCTCCACCAGGTAGCCCCCAGCCTGCTGCAACTCCACCTGGGCCAACTTGGTGAATGTCTCGATGACGTCCTGGGAGGACAAAAACGCGGCAACAGGGCGGCAGAAGACAAGCCCTTACTGCCCAGGCCGGAGAGCAGTTTGGTACGGCGTGCAGTGGGGAAAAGAACACGGAGAGGAGGGAAATACATGCATTAATGTTGCGTTTTCTTATCGTCCTCCCTCTCATTTTCTCTTTCTCGTCGGTTTTAATTCCATCTTTTCCATGTTGCGTGGTTCTCTGCCAAGTGCCGTTAGGCAAGCGCTAAGAAGACTCAAGAGCCCCTCATGGCTCGTATCGGGCAGCAGGTTTGCAAGTACGCGGGCCATGCACCCCGTGTGGCCATGAATCACACACTCAGATGTTGAAGCATGTATATATCTGAGCAAGAAACAACGCCAACCGCCGAGGTCCCAGCATCACACAGTGCCCATACAGTCTCCCACTCCACCCCACTCCAGCTCCCACCCACCTGCATCAGGTCGTAGTCCCAGGCCAGCAGTGCCTGTACCCCCACCACGTGTGTGAAAACCATGCTGGCGTTGTGCACTGGCGCTGCAAAGGCCCCCTGGCTCCACTGCATGTGGCAGGACAGCGGCCCGAATAGTGCCAGACGGCCCAGCAGCTGCCGGTCCAGAGCCAGATAGAGGTCCATTGGGGGTAGCTCGGCCGTGAGCTGGTACTCGCCCAAGTGGCAGAACTGACGAGGTTCGCGAGGCACGGAGAAGGGTGAGGGTGACGAGGGAGGAAAAAAAGAGACGACGGGGGAAGGATGGAAGTAAAATGAGGCGGGAAGAGGCCGCTCAACTGGAGGTTTTGATCTTTTGGAGGCTACTGTTCACATCGTGCATTTTCGCCGCGCATCCGTCCTTCCCCGCCTGCGATGTCGGCAATTCTGTTTTCCTTTCCTTCCCTTCCATCCCTTCCCCGTCCTTACAGCTGAGCGGTATCCAATTCCCCCCGTCCCCCACCATCATCCCTTACTGTGTTAGTCATGACGGAACAGCATTTCGGGGTTCCCACAACAACCAAACAGATCCCTCTCCATCCACAACCACCATTCCATTCCCTCCCCACACCCAACCCCCTCCCCTCCCCACACCCCTCACTACACAAGCACCACCGCTTCTCACTCACAAGACACTGCTCCGCCAGCACCTCCAAATGCAACTGCCGAAACGTGTTCTGCGGAATGAGCACCATGCCGCCCTGCGCCGCTGCCGCTGCCGCTGCCGCGACCCTCACTGCCTCGCCCACAAACCGGAATCGCCGCTCGCCGTGCTCCAAGTGCATGGCGATATGCGAAAAGCCCACCGCCGCCACGCCCACACGCGCGCGGATGCCGCAAAACACCAGCTCCGCGTCCGGTGTGAGGGCGTCCGCGGGGCCCCATGAGGCGACGCATTGTTCGCCAAAGCTGCGCACGTTCTCGGTACCCGTGTCGAGCGTAAACAGCTTGTCATCATCTTCGGTCTGAGGATGTGAAGTGAGATCGCGTCAAGGGCGTCCAGCAGCATGTGCTGGTGTCATGTAAGGAGAGAGTGGACGTGTGGATGCCATGGTGATGCCGTAAAGGAATTTAAGTGGGGCTCAGGAACACAGTCGTCAGGGAGGTCAAATGGGTGGGGTGGCCCGAGAATACATGAGCCCGCGTGGGGCAGGGGCATTGTACCTAGAGAGGAAGAGAGAGAGTATATTGGTTGACGTTAAGAGACAGCATGGACTTCACATCAGATATATCAGAGGAATTGAAGACGTCAAAAAGACCGCGGGAGGGAAGCGTTCGTGTCGCGGGCGAGGGGGGGTGCACTCCTTACCGGCATAGAACCTGAGTGCGGAGGCGACATGGGCGCACGAGCTCCTTTGCAGCTCTGATTGAAGCTTGCGGCTCGTCTGCTGCAAAGAGGGTAGGGCCCGGGACAATCGGCCAGTCGTGCGCAGCGAACGGGTAGGTTTTGGGGTAACCCGGCTAACGCAAAACCTTCAAGTGCCGAGACGAAACGAAGCCCCAAGACATGGGGACGGATGGGGGCCCTGAGTCTAAAGGTAAACGGCCAGGACACAGTCCGACAGCTCACGTGTGCGTTTCTGTGTTTTCCTGACTCCCAGCACTCCCTCCCTTCCAGGCTCCTCCTCCCCTTCCCATGCCGGCCATCCGCGCGCTCATTCGAATCCCTGCAGTCCAGGCCATTGCCATCCAGACCGTCTCGTGTCCTCTTCTCCCAAACCTCCCGGCTCACCGAACCCCTCTATCGCCCAGCTCCATCACCGACCCCTTTTCATCACAACCCGCGCCTAAAACCAAGCCAACTTTGCTCTCCTCTACTCACGTCTGCACCAGGTACTGCGGTCTAAACTGCTCCATCTCCAGCACGTGCTTAGGCCACTTGAGCTGCAACAGCTCCCGCTGGAGCTCCAACGCAAACTCGCAGGCGTCGCGCGGGCAGTGGAAGGCAGCGACCACGTCCTCTTCTTCTTCGCTGGGAGCGCGGTAGCCGCTGTGGCGGCGCAGCAAGCAGTCCACCAGATCGCTGAACTGCTGCAGAGCGCGCTCAGAAGCGTCCGATAGGAGCACCTCCCACAGCTCGTCAAAGTCCTTTTGAGGGGAATGAGGGTGAGATAGTGAGGAAGCTTGCAATCAGGACGGGAAGGGATTGAATGAGAGAAGCCAATCTGCTAAATGAAGACACCTTGACATGCAGGTGGGAAAGGACAGGGATGCTGAGGGACGTACGGGCAAGGGGTACAAGGCAACCGGACCTAGACATGCCAGTGATCCAGGAACAATAGACAGCTGAGGACAGCTGCATGGCAGAGAGGGAGCCATGTAGGAGTATAATGAGTAATAATAGTAACTATATTTTGATTTAGGTTTTCTGCCGGTCAAAAGTCGCAGGTGGTTCGAGACATGATGTTCTTTAGAGATTCCTATTTTGGGCCCTGGCCCTTCCCCTACCTGTATGGACGTCACCACAATTGTGGTGTCCGGATCCCCCAGCGGCGGCTTTACGCGGCCCAGCAGGTCCTTGTGGCGGCGCTTGTTGCGCACCTCCAGCACCACCACCGCCGCCAACAGCAGCACCAGACCAATCACCACCGCAATCACCACGACCGTCTGACGCGACACGCCTGAGGAGCTGCTCGGCTTAGCGCGTGGCTACAGCTCAAGCGCGATGCACAGGAGGGAAGAAGGAAGCGGGAGGCGGGACGAAATGCATGACGAGCTACGAACGATGGACGGTGGAGGAAGGGAATACATGCAAGAGTCAAAGCAACAGTTGCCGACGGTGGCCGGGGGTTAGGGTAACAGGGAGAGGCAAGTGAACCGCCAGCAGCAGATAAAGAAAACAGCAGACAGGAAGAAGTAACTCGCACCAACCCCACGCCTAACTCACCTCAATGCTACTGCTGCTGCTGCCGACATACCCCAGCTGCTGGCGGTACAAGCTCAAAAAGCCGTACGTTCCATTTTTCATGCCATACCGGGCCAGCAGCGCCGCCTCCGCCATCGCCTGCAGCGCCGCTGCCACCTTCTCCGGTGACTGCCCCGCCGTCAGGTTAGCCAGGGCCACCACCAGCGCACGACTCACATCACCCTGCCCTGGCAGTCGCAGCTGCGGAGCCAGGTTGGGGAAGGCGTGCAGTGATCGCAGCACCTCCAGCATCTGCGTCACGGCAGGCTCCGGGTACCCCGCATCCGTCCAGTTGCGTTTGGCGGCAGCACTCCAGTGATCCGCACGAAAGGGCGCAATGTCTGAAAATGGCATTAGAGGTGGTTAAACCTAAATTGGAGTAAACCAAGGTTAAAAATGCAGAATATGTAATGGGAGGTAGTTGGGCCAAGGTTGTGCTGCCTTTCCCATCGTAGTCCCTCTGGCACGAACGCCACGTACATGCACACGCGCCCGCACACAGACATGTGCTCAAGCTACGTTTCCATAATGAATGACGGGAACATTGAATCAAAACCCAACGACTACCTTATGGGACTGAGGAAAAATTCCGTAGTTTGCAAGTAATGCTTATGTAGTGAGGTTGATAGGGGGCACCTACGTGATCCCCTCCTCAACACGTTGTCCAAGCTGGCGCTGGCAGTGATCCTCGCAAAATAGTGGATCACCTCGTCCTGCACCGAGGATGGGTTGCGAGCGTTGACCATGCCCACAAACCCTCCCCACATGAATGGCGCCCAGTTGACCAGTGCAGTCGCGTCGCCGCCGCCACCGTTGCCGTTCGGCGACGGGCCCTGTGCAAATGCAGTGACAGACACGACACGACATGAGGCGACGCTACGCAGCCACCCAACGGGTCGGTTGCAGATACGGGTTGCCCTTCAAGATGACATGCCATATATTGCCAAAACGAACTGCAGCAGACCCAGAGAGCCAGACCGACTCAGGCAAGCCGGACGAGGGCCGTAGGTCCCCTTGCCCACCCATTTCGGAAGCTTATGTTTTATGACCTGCATGAAGCTCTTACTCACCCACCCGCCTACCCATGCTTCAAGCCCAACCAGCCAGTCCTCCAAGCCACCTAGTGGTACACTAGGACTCTCGACCGCCTGATAAGCCGCCCTAGTCAGCCAGCCCCCATCAAACTACCTGCTGCGGGACGCTGGAGGCGTATGGGCACGAGGTCTGCGTGCAGGGCTCCATCTTGCCAGTGCTGCGGTCCATCACGTGGGAGCTCCCCGGCGGAAGAGCTACCCCAAGTTTGCCGCTTACGGCGCTCATACTGGAGGCATAAACCTGCGTGTCATACACACACATCCCGGCTCAAGTTCACAACACAACCATCCTATCCTTCTAATGCCTCGGAAAATAGAAATAGAAGAGGGCGGTAAACGTCGGTCGACCTGTCACATGCCCTGCATCACCGTACCGTTGTTTGCAGTATGTATGGCTACGCGCACCGTCCTCACCCTGTAACGGCTGCCGACGAGCACTCCCAATCTCACTGGGAATCCCGCTGGCCTGAATAGGCGGACGAGCCCCTGGCTGCGGTGAATGAGTAAGGCCCACCCGTCCGTCCGCAGCTGTAAGGCAGCAGCCCACCTGTTGCACTCAGGCAAGCTGCTGTCCCACGCCGCTGCTGGCAAGTGCCAGCATGAGACAGACCCAGCCCAACCCGTATCGGATATCTCCCAGCTTCCCCCAAGGAGAGGCTGTACTCCCAAATCAGGGCCCCGGCCGACGACGGTCACTCGCCAAATCCACTGCGCTCCCCTAGCTGTGTACTCCATCAATCATCCAGTGCGTGTCTGCCCGGCTAGTAAGTACGCTAGTTTGAGCAGCCGGGAATGGGCGGTTGTGTAACCCACAACACCACCGGCCGGGCGGCCAGCAGGATGCTGGATATGGAGATCATGCGACATACAACTCACTCCTGACCGGCCGAGTCCAAGAAATCCGTCTCCTACTTCTCCGTGCTTCCATACATATCCATATACATACATTTCCCGGTCGCCAGGGGCCGCTCCCCACATGTGCCACCCGACCCGACCTGAGCCGGCCGGAGCCCTACCTTGAACTTCTCGAACAGCTGCACCGTCATGAGACAGGCGCCCTCCGAGAACCGGTCCGAGCTCGCGCTGCAGCTAGTATTGGCGTCCAGCATGCTCAGGGTGCTCAGCTGCTGCCAAATCCGTAGCGCGGCCGTGAAACCGGTGGAATTGAGCAGCAACGTGCCATTCCCGGGATCGATCAGGAAGCCGTCGCGGGTGCCGGCTGCTTGCATGTGGGGCGCTGCGATGCTCAGCAACAGCGTCCTCGCGCAATCTGCATGCACAACCGCCCACCAGCAGAAACCGCAAATTTGGCCACCGGCGAACATGTATTGCTGGCGGGGGAGGAAGGTACCTGCTGGAAGCTGCGGGACCTGGGTCTGGCACTTCTGACCCAAATCGCAAACTCCGCCCTGCCCCATACAACGAGAGCTAGGGACCCGGTAACAAACAGGATAGAGTATTGGCGAAGTTGACTTTGCTACGCAGATGGCAAACCATTCACAACCACCGACAGTTCCACACCGGCAGGCCCAGACTGGCAGGGTTTAGGACCTGGCGCATCCTTATCCAAGGTATAAGGATGAGCCTATAAGCCGAGTACTCTCGACCGGGCCCCCTCTCCGGAGATATGGGAGGCCCTACGGGCAATTCATGGCCCACGGGTCGTCCAAACCCCCTCATCCTGTGCCATGGTTCTCGTGGGCTTACAAGAGCGCCGGCTCATGCAGAATGGCGAGATGTCGGGAAGGGGCGGCGCAGCACTCCAGGCTTGTGCCGTTGCCAGCAGCCCTTCCCATGTCGAGGGGATAGTGAGGTTGAAACGCTGGAACAAGTCCTGGCGGTAGTACGTGAATACGCCTGCCCCACCGAGAGGCACGCCGTACACCCTTGCCAGGTGTACAGCTGAGAACCCCCGGTAGAAGCGGTTTATCCGAAACCAGTTAAGCTCCGGCCTGTGCGAACGTGTAGGGAACCCGGTAGACGGGAAGTCAAACTTCTGGATAGAAGAGCACCCAACCGAGTCAAGTATGCCGACGCTTACACCGAGATGATAGCCATATCAAGCGGTGCCACCACGCCAGCTTGCGCGAATTCCGGTAATGCCTCTGCTTCGACGACAAACCCATCGTAATAGGAAAGGATGTCCCGATTTAGCTCTTCCAATGCATTTACGGTAGCACTGCTGCTGTTGCTAAGGATTAAAATGTCAGGTGCATTGAACCCTGCACTGGAATCCACATCGTGAAGTGTCTGGTTGAGAAAGGGTTCAGATGTGAGCAAGCGCAATTCCTGCACAAATGTGACAAGAAAACATTTATGCTTAAATCCGACAGGGCTCATCACGATTGCGCCGCTGAATTGTTCAAATGTGAGGACAAACCTGGTGGAACTGTTCCGAGATAGCGCACGAAGACGCATTGAGGATTAGCTTCCGGGTGATACTTTCGTCGTTACTCGCGCAACTGGCGTAAAACGAAAATCATTCACAGCTTGACAAACTTGTGTACGTGCCACCGTTTCATGAAGGACATACCTCTCATTAATGGCAACATTCCAAGCTTCAAGGTCACAAATTTCGCTCCTGGCAGAGATGCAGGCAAGGAGCAGCAAAGCCGCAGCAAGCGCATAGAGGGCCTGCATGGCTCCAAAAAGCGCATTTCACAAGTCTTTCATATCTTCGAGAAATCTGGTGACATCTGACCAACTATAACACGACGTGCATGCCTTGCACAAGGTGCAGGACCAGGGACCAAACTTATTGGGATGCAAAGGGAAATATTTGTCATATCGCAAAAGTACCAGAATGCAATCGGTGATCTGGAAGGCTACGTATTAGCGTAATCAGATTTGTATTCCTGAAGTTCATATGCAGGGAGCCTGTACAGCACCGTACGAGAGACCTATGTAAGCAGGGGCTCAGCGATTAGTTTAGTTTCTTGCCCAAAGCTATTACATTGCCTTTGCGGGCAGCCCAAGCCTCATCCTATCGCGTTCTAACACACGGATAAGATGGCTAGGGTAGCGGCGCTGCCCGTCTTGTTGACGCTTATTATTGTAGTTGAAGAGGGTCTGCGCCTCGCATTACGCCGCATATTCCACAGGCGCCGAAGGGCAATAGGCAAGCTTGAGGCCCAAGATCCCGTGAAGTACGGCGGCCTAGAAAGTAAGCGATTGGTCGTAATCCCCAGAGTCGGTTGGAGCAGGAACGGCAGGTAGACGTATTCAATGACGTGTACGACGATTTCACCTCTACTAATCCAAACGCCCCCGCTCGCCAACGCCCCCGCTTATCCCAGGTCTGGTCTCCTTCAGTGCATGCCTTATTGCGGGTAAGAAACACGTTTTAAAGCGTCGGGCTGGATGACTTCTTTCCAATCGTCCACCTTGCCGTACGTGCACGGAAGAGCGCTGCGGGCTCCGCACCGCATGTCGGAAATCACGCACAGTTTCCCTAACGTGCCACCACCTGCCGGATCAAGGCAAGGAACTTCATTTGCCCGTGGGCTGTTCTGTCAAATTCCCCGGCATCCCACACGCTGTTTTTAGCACACAGCATCTTCAACCACGCGCACGTCAACCACGGCACACTTCAATCACACGCAAACTCTCGCGAGGTGTCCTCTCACCCTTGCCGGGGCTGAGCTTCACCACAAATACCGGTAACTCCTCCTGCCCGCACATCGGCTCCCAGCGGCGTCCCTCACGCCCCCATTCCCACTCCCATTGCCGGGCCCCACAGCCCACTCCTGCCCACACCGGCTCCCAGCTCCCATACGGCCTACCATGTCGGAGCGTAGGGAAGAGCAGGGGGGCAACGAGTTACCTCAAATCCTAATGGTGTTTAAGCGCTTTCGGGACCTGTACTCCGCCACGGATGCCACTGGTCCGATGCATACTGACTAGGAGGGCGTGATAGAAATCGGGGCTAAGCCTTAGGCGTGAGCCTGGATGAATGAAGTGAGGATGTTAAGGAAAGAGCGGGAGAAAGGCTCCATTGAACAGCAGCTCGACGTGATATCGTCCCGTCCCCGCCTGGGCTCCCAGCCGGCCCGAATTCTCTGGATCTCGGGCCCCCGGCTGGCCAGCACACTGTAACTCCGTCCTGCCTTCTCAGTTTCCTTTTCCTACTTCGCCCTGGGGCTGCTTAGCTCCCTGGGGCTTTTTGCAGGTCTGCACTCTCCCCACCCACACACACATGTTCTTCCCCGCCGGCTATCCGCCGCCTCCCTCCTCCCGTCGCCGCAGCCAACCGGGCAGTTGAGACGGAGCAACGTGAGCCGTACATTTGGGATCCTCTGGCAGCCGGGCTTTGCGGACAGGAGGCGTTGGAAGCGAGGAGGGTAGGCGACTGGGCGAGCTGCGGTGGAAAGGAGGGTGGGGGGAAAGGTCGGTGGGAGAGGAGAAGGGGACGAGATATGAAGGAGGAATCGGCGCGGGTAGGATGTGAAGTGGCACGGAAGGGCGTTGAAACGCGGCCTATAACAAGGCCCCCAACATGGCATTTAGGAGTCCCAAGTAAACTGTACGGGACAGCCGCCAAAGGACACAAGAAGGCATAACCCTATTTAAAATATGTTTTCCACTCTCTCATATATGAAGCGGAAGGGAAAAGAACGAGTTAAAGCTCCTCTCAATGAGTCACCTACCCACCCTTGCGCACATCCATACACATCGATCCACGCTGTCTCTGTCGTCGACTCTGCGCTGTCCTTTCTTCCGTAATCACCAACACCCATGGGACTCGGTTCCTCGCGTTCTTTGGAGCCTCCAGGCCCGGGATAGAGCTACTGGCTCGCCGGACTCGTCTCCAGCGCCACAGCCGCAGCTACAGTCACAGCTGGGTATAGCACCTGGGCCCCAGACTGTGGCGCGAAGGCCCATTCCCCGCCTCATCATGCGCACCAAGTTCTTCGATGACGTGGTGTCGGTGGTAACGTGGCGCGGTACGGGCCATAGCGCGGCGGCGGCCAGCCACAGCTGCCATGCAGAGCTGGCGGTGGCAGCGGCGTCGTCGTCTTCGCAGCCTTGTTTGCAGGTAGGCGGGGCGGCAGCGGGCTGGAGGTTTATCTACGTGAACGTGACGTCTGAGACGTCGATAGTCATACACATTAATCATCTATACCTGTGCACCGCACACATCCGTATGCTTGTTTGTCTGTATGTCCATATGCCCGCTGGGGTATACATAGGTGGTGGTGCTGGGTTCGGGTCTGGATGCGCGGCCTTGGCGGCTGCCGCTGCCGCCTGGCGTGCGCTGGTTCGAGGTGGACCGAGGCGACGTCCTGGCCGCCAAGCGGGCGCGGCTAGATGCCCTCGGCGCGCAGATTGAAGCTGCTGTAGGAGTCGCCACTGCTGTTGCTGCTGCTGAAACTGCCGAGGCGGTGGGGACTGAAGCTTCCACCCAGAACGGCTCCAGCGCGGGATACCCAGCACAGGGCCGGCCGCTGCCGGATCTGGACCAGCAACAGCAGCCGGTTCAAAAGGGCTATTCGGGGATGCACCACACGGAAACCTCAGGAGACGGCGGCGGCGGTTGCAATGGCAGCTATCGCTACCCGCTGCATGCGGCGAGCTGGAGCTGCTGCGCAGTGGACCTACAGCGGCGCGGCTGGTCACAGGGGCTATTGGAGCAAGGGCTGGACCCCCGTGCGCCGGTGCTGTGGGTGTTGGAGGGGCTGCTGTACTACCTGGAGGAGGAGGACGTGGAGGCGCTGCTGAAGGCGAGAACGGGGCCTGGTCTGGTTTGGCAGCGTAGGGGTAGGCACGGCGGTGAAGTACTGCTCTGAAGCGGCCTATGTACTGCTTTGAGGAGATAACGGTGGGCTCCTTGCCATTTCAGCCCCGCATGCCGCTGCCCTTCATTCATGTCCCCAGCTGCTTGTCGCAAATGCTATGGTCTGCGCTGGTGGGAGAACTAGCAGTGCCGGCTGAGATTGAGGAATAAGAAGGGAGCGAGGAATAAAAACGCCAAGCCATGCCATTATGTGACCATGCAGGAGGCCGCATCCATTTCGGCACCTGGCAGCGTCCTGGCAGCTTCTGTCATCCGCGCCGCCGCAGCCGCTGCGACGCATGAAAGCGGCGAAAACGCGGCGCCCAGTGGTGGGAGGGACCGCGTCACCTCGCGTCCTAGCCCCGTTGGCGACGGCGGCGGTGCGGCCACGGGCGCGGCGCGACCAGCTGGTTACAACCTCAACGCTGAGTTCAAGTGGAAGTGCCGGGAGGAGATCCCCAAGGTGGTCAATATCCTTGATTTTAGCAACCCAGGAGGCTTAGGTGCCTACCCACTTCATGTGCTCCCCTGTCAAGGGTGACGTGTGATGTAAATCACATTTGTGCCCTTGCTTCTGTAGCTTCTGTAGCTAGGCGTCCGAGTGTGCCTGTGTGTGTGTATGCATGCACCGCGGGCTCCCGGGCCCTCCTAGACCAGCGGGTGCGGCGGCTTTGCTGGCTTGCTCACGTAAAATGCAGCGTTCGCACATTCAGTAACGTTTAACACTTTGCTGCTGAAGGACTTCCTTCGGTAAATTTGCTCTCGTGCGCCATCCTTGGCACTATCGCGCGCCGTTCTATTCGGGGCTCACTTATTTGGAACACATATTCGGCTATAAACGGCCTACAGGGCTTGTATCCTGCACGGCCTGCTATCCGTGCAGAAGGCATCGGGTCCAGTACCACAATACAACCAGAAAATCCACCCAGGTTCACCAGTGGAAGATTATTTTCCATGACTAGTAGCTCGGCGCTCCTCCTCTTGCTGTTCCTCTTGAGTTCCCAGTTTCTGGGTGGTACTTATGTGGGCACCCGCGGCGTTCGTTTCGTACCGCTCCCACCTCACCTCACCTGGCCCTCTCCACCTGCCCCCGCGCACCCTACCCTGCCTCCTGTTCGTCGCAGTTCTTCGGGGGTTGCGGTTGGCGGCGCACTCTGGCGTGCCTGTCATGGCTGGATGCGGCCCGCTCTTACGGCTTGCCGACCGCGGAAGCGACAGCCTCCAGCGTCTTCTTCTTGACCGCCGCGCTGGCGTAGCTACAGCTAGGCGGCGTTGAGCTTTTGTGATCTGGATGGCAGGCAGTGTTCAGCGTCGTGCAGTGCTTATTGGTAATTTTGGTCCCGATGGCGAGGGAAAGACGACCTGGTGTTGACAACAGTTGATTAGTGGCGGTTGCTTGCATGGAGCGGAGCGGAGTGAGGCAGATGGAGGCGCGGAGGGATGGATAGCTTGCGGCGCCATGGGGGCCAGGACTGGCGGTATAGGTGGGTATAACGCCGCTATGCTGGCTTCGCGCAGTGATCACGGAGTGGCAGGAGGGGGGAGGTTGTGATGGGGAGGAGGCTTGTGGAGAAGGTCGCGATTGCTTGCAAAAGGGCAGTCCGGGTTACGCTGCACATGGTGCGGTGCGAGAGTGGAGAAACCCCTATGAAGAGGAGGGTTTCCCAGGGGATGGAGGGCGTTGTGCCAACTGAAACAAAGCTCTTCTTATTTCTGCGCTTGCACACGTGCGTGCCTGTTGCCTGCAAGTGAATCAGCTGTCTGCAAGAGCGTCCTGCTGGCCAAGGTCTTTAGCAATGCACGTGTTATTGACAGGTGAGAATGGCTGTGTGGAAGATGTCTGTTGCGAGGATGATTGCGCGTGAGGGTTGCAGGTATGGTGTGCACGTACGGTAAGGGATGTTTTGCGCTTTACGCAGATGTGTGCCGATTGCATGGTACGATGGTAACCTTCGACTGCATACAGAAATACACGTTCGTTTAGGATGCAATGTGATGCGGGGTTCTGTCGGCATGCGATCGTTTGGACGGCACGAAAGCTGTAGGTTGGCAGGCGGCTAACGATTCCTATCGGAAATGTAACCGCGGCAAGTCATGGCGTCTCAGAGCTCCCTGACTCGCAATGTTTTGTCATATCATTGCGTTCCCTTTTGTACACCTTGTGCGTAACCGGCAAAACTGTATACGGGCTGTACGCTGCACTCGGACTTTCGCCTCAATGCGAAGTGTTCGTCAACCCGCGTTACAAGCGTCCATATTGCCATCGCAAGGCAGGACCCAAGACAGGAACTCTTTAAATATAGCAAGTCCTACTGGCTGATTCGCATATGGGCAGCAATTTACCGGATCGGGGCACAGCGATGAGGGATAGCAATTGTTCAGATTTTAGCGCAGCTCCGATATGATCTATGCAGTTGCAATAACCTTTGTCGCCCAATTGTAGAGCTGGCGCTCGTTCAAACGGTGGGCCCCGCTACATCCATGCAGTACGCATTCAGTTGGGCCAGGTTCAAGAAACGACAGACCATGACATTTGCCGAACTACTGAGTTACAGTTTCATACTCTGCACTAAAACTTACACGATGCAGGCCGCACCGTCTCTCCTATCCAGGTTTGGCCTGTTGCGGCCAGCAATGTCATCTCTGGGTGCGTTGTCTCGATCGGTATCGACAGCATATGATATTGGCGCCTCGACCAATATCAAGTGGCACGAAGGCGGAGTTTCCACGGAGGCTAAGGAGGCAGCTATGCAACAGCGCGGCGTTGTTGTTTGGTTCACCGGTCTCAGCGGATCGGGCAAGAGCACCGTAGCCTGTACCGTGGAACATGCTTTGCTAGGATCTGGCAAAATTACCGCTCTGCTGGATGGCGACAACGTCCGGCACGGTCTGAACAGTAACCTGGGATTCTCTGCAGCCGATCGGGAGGAGAACATCCGGCGCATCGGCGAGGTCTCCAAGCTCTTTGCTGATACGGGAATTATTACTCTTGTGAGCTTCATCTCGCCATACCGCAAGGATCGCGATCGCGTGCGGTCACGCGTGCCCCCCGGCAAGTTTGTGGAGGTTTACATGAAGGTACCTATCAACATCTGCGAGGAGCGCGATCCTAAGGGGCTCTATAAGAAGGCCCGTGCAGGCAAGCTGAAGGGCTTCACAGGCATTGATGATCCGTACGAGGAGCCTTCAAACCCGGAGGTGGTCCTTGAGGCAGAGACCGCTGATGGCAAGCGCATTTCCCCCCAAGAGCAGGCGAAGACGCTGCTCGAGTACCTCCGAGGCAAAGGTTACCTGGAGGGTCCGAAGCAGTGAGCGATAAGATGGATGCCTCTCGGGTTGTCAACCGTTTATAATGCAGGCCCATGCATTCATTGTGAACGCTTGGTGACTTCTTTCCCCCTTAGATTTATGATGCAATGATATGCAAGGGCCAGTTCCGTGCTCGAACTACCGAGGACCTGACGTTTGGTGCTGACATAGCGTTAAAGGTCGTTGATTGGCCTTTAGGACTGGAGGAGTGATCGCCAGTATGAAATTTCCGGGGGAAAGACCCTGAACCTGTGACTGTGCGAGTATATGTGCAGCCGACTAATTAAGGTTGTGCTGACTGGCGCTGTGAGACGCAACGGCAGGATGTGGCAGCTTAACATAGGGCGGCGATTTACAGATTGCCCTTAGCTCCGGGGACTTTAAAATCATTTCCCCGCCAGGTGCACACTGTTACCATCATGTTTGTCCGGGCTGTGGGAGAGGTATTATAGAACACTGCTCTTCTCATGAAATGGTTGACAGCTTGTCGTGCTGTGCTTGCGCGGAATAGATTTCAATCCGAACTATTGACTCATTCCCCTAGATTCAGCCTTGTCGTGAGGCATAGATGTAGCCCTGGAATGCGAGTCCTGCTATATGAGCATATCGTATAGCGTGATTCAGCCTCGTCGCAAAGGCGCGCTGAGAAGGATAAATTATATGTAATGTACATGAAAGGAATGACAAGACTGCTTGCGGACATGACATGACATGACATGAGGGGGCGTTGCTGCTGCTTTGGCTACGGTATCGTACGACGGATGAGACGCAAACGATTCCATCTTGTGCAAGCATTCAATCGGATGGCAGCTTTGAGACTTCCACATAGTGGCACTTACGTCTTCCAGCCTACTTGATAGTTTCTGGCAGAGCTCTGCTTGCTTTGGCTTGCCTTCGTGATCGCATTGGCAGACGCGCAGTAATCGGCATCGGATCAGAAGAACGATGGCATTCAGCAGTATGAGATCTACCATGCGTTGTGGAGCGAGGTAATTTGACTCATTTACTGAAGTGCGCTGCGCCGTTGTGTAGCCAGGCATCGTGCGAGACTGAATCGGAACAGCACAAAAATAAATACTGAATTGGTTTCAGCTTTTAGTACATACCAGGCAGCTGTTTTGCTAGCAATGTGGGTCGTGCTTTTGCCTTCCCGTCGAGCGACCGTTATCTCATGTCGCTGCAGACCCTGCCTTCGCACGCCGGCGAAGGCCGCCCGGCGTACCACAACCATTGTGGCCAGCTCCGTTTCGGAGCTCAACACGAAGTACGGTAAGCGCATTCCATTGCAGACATGCATGCAAGCAAGCCGTTGCAGCCGTTCCGGCCGCCGGCGGAATGGCCGCTGCTCTGCGCATTCGTGTACCCTCGAACAAATCCTCCCAGGTGGCACGCCATGTGCGTGCTTTCGCGCGCTCGATGGTTTGAACTACGCCTAGTCTGTGCCCAGTTTAAACCCACCTGCTGCTGTGGAAATGTTGTTGCTTTCCTTCCCACGCGGTCCACAAGTGGCAGAGCAGCTGCCACCACGACGGCATGCTAGCGCCAACCATCCACATGCTCGCAAGCTCCATGCGAGGCGAAGAGCTCTAGTGCCCTACATTCAACCAGATTCCATCTGGGTCCATGTTTCGGGCTGTCCGCATCGTGTACTTATGAAACACATGCGGCCTGTGCGCGGAAGCAGCTATGGGCTGGGCAGGCCGAACCCGTACCGTTCATTGGGCTTTCCTTAGGGTCACTGGCGCTGTTAAAGCGGCGCTTGACGCATTGCCTGCCTAGCAACTTGGCTAGCTGAATCTTTTTTGAGGGTTAACCCAAACGAAGAACGAGAGGAAAAATGGTCACTCCAGCCGATGTGAACCACCATCAGGAGAAGGAAGGAAGAAGCGCACCGTACGTGCGGCGCCACCGTGCCGTGCCCATCGACCATGTAGATATGACTGCGCACATCCCTGACTGACATCTGGTCACGCACCATACCTTCAAAATAATACCTGAGCTCCCTCTCCCTCCCTGCCTGCCTGCCTGCCTCGGCGTACTAGGCATTCCGGGCAGTGTGGAGTTTAAGGAGGGCAAGAGCGGCTCGCCAGTAGTGGTGCTGAAGCACGCCTGTGGTTCCACTGCGGAGGTACGAAGGACCCGTGGGTCAGCGCACGGGGTGGTTCGCCAGAGCCGTTTATCGGCGTGCTGGCGCACCTCTTCATCGCTGTTACACCGCCGCATGTTTCCGCATGCATATTATGCTTACGTTACCCGAAGGACTTGGATCGCATCCACCTAGAGTATGCTGCTACTGCTGTTATGCTGTGCATATGCCATATGTATTCCCGCAGCTTCAAGTGAGTTTGCTGCCGGGTTCCCCCCTGGCGGCACTTCTTTTACTATCCCGTTGTAGATCTGTAACGCGTGTCCGAACCCCGTCCTATGCCGCTACGTGCTAATGGCCCCACGAGCACCATTCCACTGCCTGCATCTCGTCGTACTGCCACATCGCACAGATGTACCTTTTCGGAGCGTGCGTCACTTCTTGGAAGCAGCCCAGCGGTGATGAGATTCTGTACGTGCGGCCAGACGCCGTCTTCGACAAGTCCAAGCCCATCTCGGGCGGGGTCCCACACTGCTTTCCGCAGGTAATTTCCTTAATTATCATTTCTCTTTAAAACCTGGAGCCTTCACCTCCTTAGTCATTCCTCCAACCCCTTTCTTCGTGCCCTGTCCCTTCTGCCATATCCTTCTTCCTCCTCCTCCGGCTCTGTAGTTCGGTCCCGGGCCCATGCAGCAGCACGGCTTCGCCCGCAACCTGGACTGGGGCGTGTCTGCCACCTCAGCAGACCCCAACCCTGACGACAAGGTGAGGCCTAGGGGGAGTACGGCGGATTGGGGGGAGTAGGGTTCATGGATGGAAAGTGAGGGCTGGGTGATGGGTTTTCAGCTGCCGTTGTAGGACTTCTGTGAAAGCGCGTGTGTGGCGCTGTGCGTGTTGCTGTGCAGGTGCGCGTTTGATCTGTTGTGTTTAGAACAGGAGCGGAATAAATTCTTCCTGATCAGTTTTAAAGTAGAGCTGGGCAGGCGCGGGTGAATGGGAGGTAGCGGATGGGGGTGCCAAGGTTGTGTCTCATCGGAAAGCTGCTTGTCCTCTCCTCCGTTGGCGATTGGGCTGGGCTGGGCTGGGCTGGGCTGCGCGTATCTTATTTAAAAACATCCCACCGGGTGCTACTTCCCACCGGCAGATCCTCAGAGCCGTCGGAGGTCTGCCGGCGTCTGAGAGCTTTAAGCCCCGGCCCTCGCGCGAGTTGAAAACGAGCATCCTTTCGGATTCCGGGTATGACTGCAGGACCCCGCTGTTGAGGTTGTCCTGACCGAGTCGGAATACACGCTCAAGATGTGGCCGTACAAGTTCAAGGCGGTGTACTCCGTGTCGCTGCACGGGGAGCAGCTTAACTGCCAGCTGCGGGTCATCAACACGGACGACAAGTGAGTGGCAGCGTTTGGCTGGGCAGGGCAGGGCAGGGCAGGGCAGGGTTTTAAGGGTTACGGGACGCAGGGCAGGGTGCAGGATGGAGCAAAAGGGGATGAGCAAGCCTGCCCTGCCCTGCCCTGCTGTAGTCTGATCGTCCTCCTGAACTATTCCTCAACGGTTGTTTGATGGCTGTTGTTCGACAGGCCGTTCGACTTCACCGCAGCGCTGCACACGTACATTGAGGTGTTGGCTATTGAGAAGGCCAAGGTGACGGGTCTCAAAGGTACGAGAGTGAAGTGGTAAAGTGAGGTGCACTATCCGGGGTTAGCTAGCCGCGGGGATGTGGCCGTGCCGGCCAGGTATACCATTTGCCGAGGAGGGAAGCAACGGCGGAGTCCCTTCCTTGACCCTCCTCCGTGCGTGTGCGTGTGTGTGTGTGTGTGTGTGTGTGTGTGTGTGTGTGTGCGCGCGTTGAGGATGTTGTGTTTGCATCGCCGTGTCCCGTCGGTGTCGTATGTGTGGAAGTATAGATTTATGTGGTGTTGTGTCGCTTATCCGGTTTTCGATTCGTCTCTGCAGCCCTCTTCCGCCGCCTCGCTCCTCTCCCTGCCTCACAAATGCTCCATGCATCTACAACACCCACCTCCCTGCACCCCCTCCTTCCAGGCCTGACCTACCTGTGCAAGGCCAAGGACCCCAAGAACCCGGAGACTAAGACTGAGGACCGCGACGAGATCACCTTCACGGGCTACACAGACTCGGGTGAGAGGGAGGGGGCCTGGGGATTCTATAATGCGAACTTCACATCTGGGATACATACGTATTCATACGGATACATACGTGTTCAGGACATGAAGCGTGTACAGGCCGCTCCAAGAATGCAAGGCCTGGATTTGTCATACCCCGGAATGCACGTAACATATACTGTTATTCCGGCTGTCTCTATCTGCCCTTAGCTCCCTTCGTCCTTCGATCTTCTACCTCTCGCTGCAGTGTACCTCAACTCCCCCTCGCATGTGGAGCTGGAGGTGGGCACTGGGGCTGCTGTGGCGCTGGATTCCTCGGGCTGGGAGGACACCGTTGTGTGGAACCCCTTCACCACCATGAAGGATTGCTACCAGAGCTTCTGCTGTGTGGAGAATGCCAAGTAGGTTGTGATGGCGGTTGCTGGTAGTGGTGGTGGGGGGAGCTGGGTTGTGAGGGGCGGATGGTCAAGCAAATGAATTCATGTGGCGGACTGTGCGGGTGCGGGTATGGGCGCGGTGCACGGAGGGTGGGATTCGGGGAGGATCTGGCTATAACCCTGGCGATGGCGGACAGAAGGGTAGCTGTGCCTTGCTCCTTGCAATCGTGTCTGTTGTTACAGTGCCACCCCCGCCTGGCCATCACAACCACCCAATGCGGTTCTCCCCTCACGTGACAATACCCCGCCGTCCCGCGCTCAGGTTCGGCAAGCCCGCTGTGGTAGCCCCCGGGGAGAGCTGGTCGGCAACCGTCACCATGTCTGTTGTTGATGTCACTCAGTAAGGCCGCCGAATGATGAGAGAGGATGAGAGGACTGGGAGCTGGCCCCCGGGGGGTCCCGCCCTCATGCACCAAGGTACTCCTTCGGCGTCCTAAGCCCCTCCTTTTGACTGCTTGTGTTGCAATTCAAGAGAGGATCAGCCGTGAGTGCAGTGCATGGCGGCTGAGGCGCTTTGTTTTTTGGGGTTCTTAGGCGCAGCCTAGTGAGGACGACGAGTTTTTCATTATTGTTTTCGTCGTTTCCCCCGAGTAGTGCTTCCGGCTGGAAATACGCCGTCGGCTTCTCGCATATGCTTTATTGGGGTGCATGCCGGTCTGGACGGCGGGAGAGGTCATCGCTGCAGGACTGATCAGCGCAAGCCAAGTGTAATCCATCTTCGCCTCTCGGCCCCCTTCCAGAAAAATCCGGAACGGCAGACGTACGCGGTGCTTTCCGCCAAACGGTTGGCCGACACGCGTACCTGCTTTGTGGTATCAGTACAGTTGGGCGATATGTTACAAGTTACAAGTGCCGCACGAGTGCGGGGGGATCCGTCAAAGCCGGGAGGCCATGGACTAAATATATTGAACATCGTACAATCGATGGCGGTTTGGGTCCTGCCAAGTAGACCCCTCCTCATCCAGTCACCCGACATCCGTAGAGACAGATCAGCCATCACCACCATCTCAGCATGAACTTAACAGACAGACGAATATTTTTAATTTGTGCGTTAAGCTTAGCTGGATTGCCACCTTTTGCTGATTTATTTGGTAAAAGCGTGAATTTTTTGGCACGCAAGGAGTGTTCAAGCTTTAAGTTTATTAGCTGCTGTTAAGTTATGTTTCGTTTATCCCGGGTTGCTCCAGTGCACACGGCGACAACTTTTATTGGTACACAAAATCAAGCAACCCGTACTTCCACTTGTTCCATTACCTGAGTTTCATATGATGTGTGGGACAGGGGGGCATATCTTCACCCGTGGCCGTGGAGACCCGGCGAAACCCTGCCTTCCCCGGTTTCGGGGCACCCTCATCCAGTCACCCTAGTCAACTTCTGAGTGGATCGCTCAGGTTCCGCACCCAGCACCGGCATCCAACGGAATCTGCCGGATCGACGGCGGCCCAACTCCATTCCTGGTCAGCTCGCAAGTCAACTTTATCCCAGGTCGCCACCGTCCATCGACTAGGGGCACTTTTCCTTCCACCATCGGAAGGATTTTCGACCTTGACAGATCCCGATCCCGGGATCTCCTGGGGGCAATTGGTGCGCGCTCTACCAGTAGTGCCTGACCTTAGTATATTTATCTCAAAGTATTGCCCTGCGGCTTCGTGGCACTCCATATTATGCTCTTAAACAAGCCGTTGGACTTGTAATGCGTAGAAAGGTGAAATGCACACGCTGTCCTCAATATTAGGAACGCCGCGCATCCGCGCCAAGAATGTGCTAATCCTCCCTCCATCTCCTTTACATGATGCAAGCGAGCCCTGCCTCATCCACTCAAAGCTTTCCAATACGACCAGTTCTGGATCGCACCTATGGAGGTCGAAGTATTGAAAGGTAGCGTGTTAAAAACACAACGCAGGAAAAACCGACACCTGCTCACGAAACTCAACTACAAACCCATGGCCTTTGGGTCTCCAAGGCTAAGCCAGTTCCCCTCCTGCGATGAGGCACCTACACCTTCAAGCCCTCAACAGCTAATCGAAACTCAGAAATCCAGACCTGCGAAATTCATAGCTTTTCCAAAGACCCAATTACAAATCCATTCCCCAACCATGCCTCCTTATAAATAACGAAAGCGCTGTACAGCAACCTGTGCGTTGCCGGCGTCCTTGCCAACGGACAACCTCGACGGCATCTCAGCAGCTCAAAGCGTTGTGCCCGAGCGCTTAGATACGGTCGTGCTTGCCTCGTCGACGAACGCGCGCCGGGAGTCCTGGGTCGCTGTCAAGCCGCTAAGGAGCTGCTCCGGGCTAAGCGCGCGTAGCTCAGGTGCTGAACATCCCGATGTACGCGTCCTTATGCGAAAGCTTGACAAGCTCGTTGTACATGTCCAGACCTTCAATCAAAGCCAACAATCAAGTCAGTTAATTTGAAGTCGGTCCATACACCGGAACTCCAACCGCCAAGCTGGACTTACTGAAGTTGTCGGTCAGATTTGTATGCTCGATCTCTTGAATGGTATTTGGGTTGATGACAGTGCCCAAAATCTCAGCGAAGCGGCCTTCGTATGGGGTTGTACCCCCGACTACTGTCACTTCTCCTTTATCCGCCGCCATGACCCGCACTTGTCCATTCTCTATCTGGCTAATCTGACAGCAAAGAATAACTCTCCTCCCATGATACCTTTGCATAGTTTCAAAGTTGACTCGCGGTGTTGCCTCATCCATGACGCTGATGTGAAGCTATAACCGGGAAAGCTATCATACAGCAAGGCGTCAGCACGCCACACGTTTACACTGATCTGTCGGTTGATCAATAATGAAAGTTAGTTTCCCGCCCTTCCGTACTCGTCGTGATCAAAGGAGCAAGCAGCGGCCATACCGATGGCTGAAATTAATGGCTTGTGTATTATCATTATCACGATGTCTTCGATATGGCGAGTCAACTGGTCTGAACTGGTGCCTCTTGCAAGTGCTTGGGCGGCTGAAGCGTGCCAACTAAGCCTTGCAGATGCGGGTAGCACGCGTTTCACCATTTAAGCGCAAAATCGTTTTTCTGATGATGAGCGTTGGGCATTCAGCTTCCACACAACTAGCGACGGGCACCACTAAACATTTCCTAGCAACTTCCACATCACCAGGATATAAACTATACACCTATTACAAATTTGTACTGACTGCTACCTAGCAACCTTAATATGAGTAACGCGTTGTGTTAGTGGAAGCCGACCCGGCGTCGCCAGCTGGAGCAGCGGCAGGTCATAGCGCACCGCACCTCGCACATCGGATATCATGCCTTTCGTACCGTTGCCACCGACCGCTATCACTGCCGCGAATGTGGTAGGACCCTTCAAACCGGGGCCCCGCAATAGCGATCCAGCGGAAGCTGCTGACACTTGCGGCGAGCCCTGTATCCCAGAGGGAATCAGAGCTGCTGCTACGGCGTGTAGCATCCACAGCGGCGGGGAGGGGACGGCCCTCGTGCTAATCAGGACATACCCGACGCCCGGCACCATGCCTCTGGCCGACGCCGAACTGCGTATTGGCAGCCGTAGCACACCCACCATCGCAGGAGTTATTAACGCGGAAAACGAAAACTCAGAACTCAGTTACTTGAATTATTGCACCCGCAACTTATTCTCCGTGACATCCTCGTGTCAATCAGGGCTATGGACGTGGAATGTCGGGCACTCATTGTTACTACTGCCGACGTCGTCCGCGACTCCCAACGGATCGTCGTCATCGCCATCTTCTTTCCCCTCCGCCAGCTTCCCACCTGGACGCACGCGGCAGCACCTGCAGCAGCTTCCTGCGCGGGAGGAGGAGTATCATCTGCAAGCGCCCAATTCCGCCACCATCACCACCACCATCACCACCACCACCTCTCAATCCGCTAGTAGATGGACGGAACGGGACGACCTGCAAAACGGACTCTCAGCCTCTGGCTCTCAGCAGCCTGAAACTGCGGTCACCACTTCCGCCTCCGACACCAACATGGCTTCACCTCACCCCAACCTTCAGCAACAGGACGATCTTCTCGTACTGGTACGGCGCCACGCGATTGCTACACCAGCTCCAGAACCACAATCATTTCCAGATGAATGTGATCGCCGGGAAGCAGGACAAGGCGATTTGCTGCTTGAACTGTCTGCGTCGCGTAGCTGCAGGAGTGATGGCAGTGGCAGCAGCATTAGTACTCGCAGTAAAGTTAACGATAGCAGGTTGGCGCAGCGATGGTCGCGAGAGTGGCGAAGACGTGATCGGCTGAAAGCACCGGGTCATGGGAGCATCTGTTCGTCGCTGCCGCGATCAGCAGCGGCGGCAGATGCCTTGGCAGGGTGTCCGGCGGCGGCGGCGCACACCGCCGCAATTTTGCCCGCAACGATCTGTCCAGGGAGCGCGACAACGAACCGACGAAGCGATGATGGCGACGGCGCTGCTGCCGGGGGACGCCGCAGCAAAGGATTGAAGCGACAGCTGCCGCTTCTGCTATTGCTGCTGGCAGCGCTGCAAGGTCACCTGTTCGAGGGCGGCGGGTTTGCGGCGGCTGCATGGTCTTCTTGGCCATGGGTAGGTAAGTCCAAGACGACCTCCGCGGCAGTCAAAAACTCGGCGCCGGTCCCCGCCGCTGGCGGATTGCATCTCCAAGGCGTCCTGCCGTACGGCGGGCTCAAAAATATCGACCATGATGCAGCTACGGCCAGCAGCAGCAGTAGCAGAACTTCTAGCAGTAACAGGGCCGGTGATAGCAGTGGCGGGATTAGCAGCAAAAGTAGGAGTAGTAGCAGCAGCAGCCGTGGCAACAGCAAGAGTCGAACCGCGGGTAGCAGAAGCAGTAGCAAATCAGTGGGGGCAGTCGGCCACATGAGCAAGGCGTACGGGCATGACGGCGATGGCGTGACGTTCAGCGCAGGCCTTGTGCCCATTGTGGTTAACCCCGCCGGCAACGTCACGGCCTTGCTCCAGTACGACCCGTACCACCGGCCGCCAAGGCCGCCGCCACCGGCGCCGAAATCCAAGAGGCGTCGGAAACCCAAAAAGCCCTCTGGTCCGTCGGATCTATGCGATGCCCAACTAGCATTACGTGAGCTGCTGACCTCGGGTCATCTGCCGTACGACCCGATGAAGCCGTACAAACTGCCGGCGACGTTGCACGAGACCAAGGACTTTGTGTTCGCGACTGGGTCGTTCCCGTCGCGCTACCTGTTGGCGCAGTCTTCACGGAGCTGGCGTCGAGGCATTCGGGCGTTTATTGCCGTGAACAATACGGAGGACTTGCCGCTGCTGAACGCGCAGAACAAGGTGTGTGTGCTTTGGACCTGTTACACATTCAATCATTCTCCTTTTTCCACACCTGCATGTGTTCCCCCCTCCTCCTCTCCCTAACCCTTCGCAACTCTTGGGTCGCTAATTCTTATACTGCATTTCTTTTTCACCAACCCTCCCCTCCCCTCCGCTTTGGGCGTCGGCAGTTGGCGTTCGGCGTCGGCACTCTCTCCGCTTCTTGCATGCTGTGATCCCCTGTCCCCCACTCCTGTCCTCCCACCCACTCCCCCAGGTCCACAAGGAGCGCTACGAGTTCTTTCCGGACGACGGCACGGGGGAGCTTGGTCCCGTGTTCCATGGCTTCATGCCCGGTGACACCAGGGCGGCAATGGCGCCCTTCCTGGCACATAAGTGAGGGCCCGGGGGAAGGGAGGAGGGCAGGGACGGGCGAAAGGGAAGGGAGGACGGGCAGGGAGGGGGCCCAAGATCCGATATTTAGCCTTTGAACTCCACCGCCCCATTCGCCCAACCCACACACACTCGCACCGTACCGTGGCGGAGCTTGTTGGATTACCCTTTCCCTCCCCCTCCCCCCGGTAAACTGGACCCCGTAGGTACTTTAGACAGACATACAAGTGGATGCTGTACGGCGACGATGACACGATGTTTTATATGCCTGCGGTCAAGGTACGGCTAGGCGCGTGCCTGCGTGCAGTGCGGTGGTTGGCGGCGGCGATGGTAGTGTGGTGCTACTGCTACTGCTACTGCTACTGCTACTGCTACTGCTACTGCTACTATCACACGCGGAGATCTGAGAGGGCTTTGCTGAGTTGCTATTTGCAGATGTCCCCATGCTGCCGCGCTGTACTTGCTTCCACGTGGATAGATCTGGATGTTATATGACCGCCACCCACAAGGTGGTACTAGCATAGCGTATATACATACGTACGTACATGGTAGCAGAGAGTATAATGGACGGGGAGACGGGGAGACCTCGACGGGGAGACCTCGCCCACCCGCTGTGTCTGGGTCGAACTCGCTCGCCTGGCGGTGATGGGTGTCCCTGCTTGTTGCTTTGTCTCCCCATGTACGGCATAAAATACGAGTATTTTCTATTTTCTACACAGTGAGCTCCACCATCCTGCTGTGCGCTGCAGAGGTTGCTCGCCCATCTCGATCCGGAGTTACCCATTGCCATCTCCGACAACCTGTGGTTCCGAGCCCGCCACCCCAACCTACTGGCGCCCCGCTGCCTGCCCTGCCACTTGGCGGTGGATGCGGACCCGCAGCCGCAGCCGCCCCATCCCCCGCCGGAACAGGCGGCGGCGGGAGGAGGAGCAGGCCGCAGCAGCAAGTGGCATGCTGGTGCCCCGGAGGCGACCAGAGCGATTCGCATCCCGAACATCACCGCGGTCATGGACGGGTGAGACGGGGTAGCGGCGCCGAAGTGCGTGCAGAAGTTAGTCGCTGCTGCAGTGTGATTTGCTACATGCCTCCCTCCCCGGCCGCTGCTGTCCGCGTGATAGATCTGAATCGTCAATTTGTCTGAACCGCACTCTGCGGTTTTTAACACCACCCTTTGTCCTTCCCTCCCTCCCTTCTCCCCTCTTCTCTCCCCCTTTCCTCATCTCTCTCCCTCTCCCATGCTGCACGCAGCTACAAGCGTTTCCTCGTGGGCGCCCGCAGCGCCGCAGACATGCAGTCCGCCCGCGTGCAGAAGCAGTTCTCCACGAACACCTTTGTGGACTTCAACAAGTCCCTGGCGGCCATCGCGGACCTGCCGCTAAACGCCAGCGTCCCCGGAGTTCGATATCTGCCCGCCCCGGCCTGTCCGTTCTGCACTGCTGAGGCCGCTTGCACGCCCATGCCGCCGGCAGTCGTCAACGTCAGCGGCGCCGGTTGCTTCGCGTCGGGGGGGCATGGAGGCGCCGGCATGATCTTCTCCGTGGGCCTGATGCGGCGCCTTTCCCCAGATCGCATGAAGAAATGCTACATGAAGATTATCAAAGCGCCTGGAGGGGATGGCATGCTGTCCGCCTGCTTGTGGGAGGCTGGATACGCGTTCACGGATCCTGGGGCAACCACGCTTGCGCGGTACGATGGTAACCACATTCTCTTTTCTTCCGAGGCAGGCAAGTGGGTGTTACACGACCCCTTGGAGGTGCTGCTGCGTGGCAAGTGTGACAGCCGCTGCAAATGGCTGCTGCGCAATGCCGTGACCCACCATGGCCGCGGGCGCCACTTCCAGAACTTCGAACAGAGTGCAGCGTACTTGTACGGCAATATGGCGTCGTACATGGCGGCGCACAAGTGGATGGCGTTCATGGCGACCCGCGATTTGGACTTGGCGGAGCTGGCGGAGCTCATGGCGGCAGCGGAGGCTGGGGTAGGCAGCAACAGCAATGATGGCAGCTCGGAGGCTTGATGGCGGATGGTGGCGGTGATGGCAGCGGGGGTTGAACGGCGGCTGGAAGTGTTGATGGCGGAGGGTACGGTTAAAAGGGGGGATGATGGCAGTGGCGAGGGTGTTGGGGCGGGAGTCGCGGCAGTGTGTTGCTGGGCGTAAGAGGGTGGTTGAGAAAAAGGCGATATTATTACGTTATACATATAACATTATAAACATCTCGGGGTTTTTAGGTTAATCGGGTCCCGCTCGAAACACAGATTTTTAGATCTTTCAATGCGGCCACCTCCTCCTTCTCATGATAACAGGCGCAATGAAAAGGCTGTCTCATCCGGCTTCCTCCGTTTGCTCTAATTATAACCGAGGTTATCACACATACATCTATACACATTTTTGGGGAGGCGAGGGCGTAATGACCTGCGCAGGGTTGTTTATGCTCGTACCTGTTTGTCTCGCTGTATCTTTTTTCCGCAGTTCTTTCCTATAATTTTGCTTTACCTTTTCCTCAATTTTTCTTTTGCGTATCGGACATGTATAAGATCTATATGGGAAAGGCATACCCTAAGTTGGCAGGATGCCGCGCGCGGGCGTGTATGTATGCATGGAGGCAGGGCCCCTCCCGGTTGCACTGGACTTGAGCGTACTTGTCTGGACGATTTTTGGACAAGGATAAAAATGCGGCTGGATGTATGGCTGGCTGCCACGCGGTAAACTCTTTTTCCACGAGACACTGCGCGCTGAGAGTGGTGGTGACTTTTTTTGTTTTATACTTCGCCTATTTTTGTTATGAGCGACGAGCGACATATCTGCGATTCATGTGTGGAGCGTGACACTCCGTGTGGTCCTTAAAATTTGGCCTTTGCGGAGCACTCTTGGAACACAAAAACGATCTTGCAAAGTGCCTGCTCAACACCTCAAAAGCCCGATAGCTCTTGTTTGCTGGCCGCCTCGCTGACTTGGGAGTACTCCATAACGTCGGCAATCACCGTGACGATGTTGTGGGTGCCTTGCTAGCGCTCTGTGACACACCCAAGCGTCCTTACAGAGACCCGCATTCGCGTAGGGACGAACACACGCCGCCGGTACGTCATGGAGTGCTGGGTGCTACTACAGCTGCATCTTGCTTATAACAGTCGTGTTACTGCGTTTAGGGGCCGATTCCGGTAATTCGGCCTAGAACCGCAATCGGATCAGGACCCGCATCCCGAGTTGTCACTCGCACTCCCTCGTTCGTCCCCTCTCGATCCTAATGGGCCACGGATAAAGAACTATGTCGCCAAGCCAGGGAAGGTTCACAGGAAAAGTGCCGGAATAGTCCCATCCCGGTGGTGGGGGTGCAACCACAGTCCACAGCTCGTAAAAAAGCACTAAAGAAAGAGCTCTTCATTGGGACCCTAAATGCCTCTTGCCTCGAAAACCGCCGACACAACTTTGATGCTGCGGTCTCCACAAGTGTTGGCCTCACCCCAGCACTTAGCAGTGCGTGCCGCACAGGTGTGCACACTGAAGCAAAAGCACTTCGCGCTGAAATTCCGCAACGACCTGAGACAGTAAATAACGTAGTGACATCGTAGCGAGCCATGAAGCCGACAACGACGACACCACCACACTACTCACGAGGGATTCATATGGGCGAGATACTAGCGCGACAGCTGCCGAGAGCCACACGAAGAAAAGCTCCCAAATTCCCAACGACACAATATCACCATTCTTTCCCACCACCGCCATGGCCTCCCTGAACTTCATAGGACAGATCCTAACCGGCACATTCCGAAAAGCTCACATCTGCAGCGATGGAGGACCGCAAGACGCCACGCCATATCGGGGCCAACATCATCTTCATTAACGGTACCATCTCCTTACAGTCTTTGTCGCAGCTCAAGTCGATGATCTCGTTCCCACACTACCGAGGAAAATCCCGCGCACACAGACAAAAAATGCGATGGGAGCTCACAAAATCGCCGGCCCGCGGCGCTGGACTGCCAACTGCTCATCCTCCCCTCCCTCTCTGTTGTCGTGACGTAAGTCGGCACTGTCCTTACCGACTCTCTCCTTCCATCGGCCCTCTCACGCTTGCCACCAATTTCCCTTTGCCTAACAACGAAGTGTACCCTGGGCGCCTCGAAAAATCATTTGCCCGCTCATCCCCCTACCTATAGCTTTCCATCCCCACGCTAATCCTCACTTTGCAGCTTCTCATTCCTTGCTTGCACTGCTCCCGTGTCCATCTGCAGCTGCGCAAAGCCCAGGTGGTGCCCACCGCGACAATTGCCGCTGCTGCTGCTGCACAGCCTCACCGTCTGAACAGGGTCATCCGCCGGTGAGAAAGCTGGCTCACGCCCGTGCCACTTCTGCCGCCGTTTGCTGATGCTGCTGACGCTGTTGTTGTCGCCCCCCGTCCCTCCGGCCCCCGGTCAGCGATCGCAGCCAGTCAGGCAGCCACCGCGGAGCGACGAACAGGGCGCGCCCCGTGGCATACACAGCGCCCTTGCCGTTGGTGACCTTGGCCCGTAGCCACACCTTGCAATGGCAACAAAGGCGGGGCGCAGGGATAGCGCGGATTGGCGGCACCACCAAGAATGAGATGGCGTACAGGCGATGGGCACCGATGTCGATGGAAATAAATATAACCAAAACACGCTTCTTAAACAATAATAATACGCAAAGAATTTCCTGGAGGACGAATGGAGTTGCTGTGGGGGACGAGTTTCATTTACTCATACAAGTAGAAATTTCGGCGACGGAGGGTGATACGGCCCCGGCGAGAGTACGGCAGCAGCCGGATAGAGCGAGCACACGATGATACCGGACGGCCAGGCGCTGCACTGACGGCGCGGCTGGCTGGGGGGGTGCGTCGGCGGAGGACCGGATCTGGGTTTTCTTCCGACGTCACCACCGCGTTCGCCATCAACAGCATGTATCGCATGATAAACAAAGCCCCTTCCTGCCCCCCCGTGTCCACAAGCACCTCTCACCCTCAATTCCCTCTATCAGGCATTCGGCTGCCAATAACAACTTATTTTCAAACGGTCCATATGTCCTAAACGAAGCAATCGGCTCACCTTCCGGTCCGCCAATTGCTCCACCTCCGTCGCGATGAGGATGATCTGGCCGTTGGGGATTTTCTGTTTAATTTTTGGGCGGGTCGGGTCGGCAAATAAGAAATAGATATGCGACTTGCGAGAATATGCGGACGGACGCCTGCGCTGTGTGCGTGCGTGTGTGTGTGTGCGCGTGTGCGTGTGTAATCGCGCGTGTTGGGAACCGGAGCATGTTGCTAAGATGTCTCAAGTCTCTGGAGGGAATCTGCATGGGCGTCAGTCGCGCCCCTCCCCCCGCGATGCACGCGCACACCAATACAGTAAGCTGCAGTTGGGGTGCTACTGCTGGGGCTGCGGCTGCTGCTGCTGCTAACAGTCCACCCCCATCCACTGCCCCATGGCCCACTGCCTATCCCAACCACTATCCCACGCGGCCGCTTGCTTTTCTGAGCTCTCCTCAGCTTCCATTGGCCCATCAGTTGCCTACCAGCTAAGCTCCTCCACCAACCACTCACCCGCTTGTAGTCCACTTCCAGTCGGGCGGTATAGGCGGGTGGTCGAAAGCCCAGGTCGCCCGCCCGCCACAGCGCCACCGCCAGCCCGCCCGCGGTCTCGTCCACCAGGGCTGCCGTCAGCCCGCCATGAACCGTCTGGGGGAAGCCGCACACCTCCCTGAAAGGAGGAAAGCGGTGAACATACGTACATACATACAGGCGTACATACATACATACATACAGGCAGACAAACATACAGACATTTAAGCAGCACGCACATGAGCATATGTCAGCCTGACCACAACGAAAAAGTGTAACAGTGTGCGAAAATGGAGCCATGGGCCCTCCCCCTGTCCACGGCTTTCGTTGCTACTGCTGCTGCTTGCTGTTGGCTACAGCCACCACCACCGGCTGCCGGCTCCTTGGCAGGTTCCCCATCCCAGGTGCAATGCACCCAGCATAAACAACGCAAGCCAGAGCGACTGCTAACGTCTACAGCTGCCGAAGCCGCCCTGGGGTCAGATGATTCTATCCACCCCGCCGGGTCGTGCCGGGGGTCGCAGCCCCACCTGCCCAGCTCAACTACACTGTAGAATATCCGGCGCCGCGTGTCGTAGAAGCACCGCAACTCCTTGATCTGCCCACTGGCGACCATGGTCTCGAACTGGTCGGGGTCGGGGGGTCGGGGGTGATTTTAGGTGAGCTGAGGTCGGGACAACAACAAAGCTGGCCGCGGAAGCCGAGTCAACCCATGGAAAGGTTACGTCACGATGGAGCTTGCCAGGTAACTTGTCAGCGGATACCAAAAATTTGTTAAGAGGAATACGCTGATCGTGCTATCCGGGTAATCAAGATGACGCTCCGTGGACTGCCCTCCCGCACTTCCCCTTCTTTCGACCCCCAAAGCCTCCATACAAGCACAAAGCCCCCTCACCAGGTGATCCTGCTCCACCACCATCTTTCCAACGGGGTGCTTCCGAAGCTGCTGACCTGGAGAGAGCACCTCCTCCACGCCTTCCGTCTCCGCCAACTGGCGAACCCATGGAATGGCTTCCGATGACAGGTCGCCAGTCCCTTCCGAATCGGGGGCTCGATTGCTCTGAGCTAGGGCGTATGCTGCGCCAGCAAAGAGGACTGCGGAACCGCCCCACCGTGCACCGGTCTTGGCGAGGACTTGGAGGACGGGGCCTACGTGCGCTTGGGCCGCTGCAATGCACAATTGGCCCCGGGCACGCAGCTGATGCCCCTGCTGTTGTTGCTGTGAAAGCCTAACATGGGGGATTGGAAGATGTAGAGCCCGCAGCGCAAGGGAGAAAGGCTTGTTGGACATTTGTCGACACACGTCGCTCACGCAGACCCGTCAAAAATCAACAATGTAATGCGCAATCTATCACCACATCGTCCTCTATTTGCAATTTATTGTCTGGGGAAATATTCGAGACAACGACGCCGCAAGCCTTGCAGGCCAGTGTAGTAGGGCACACTTCTGCTCAATTTTTAATCAGAGTTGTAGGAACTATACACCGGCTTATGTAATTGGTAGCGTCAATCACGTTGGAATAGAACGGAGTATAGGAGATATAGACCACGTCGTTCCACGTTCCAAACCGACGTACGGGCAGCAGTATAATTGCTTCGCTGAAAGAGAAAGAGCTGCAGGCTTAAATTGAAACTACAATAGATTTAGTTTGCGTAATCCTACCCAGGTGTAGCTCAAACTTCCTTTAGGCTACATCGTAAGGCTGGATGTTACGCGCTAAAGCCTACATGGCTTGTATTAACACGTAGAACTATGCTACGAAAGCCAATGTGTTGAAGCGCTTACAGACATTTCTATGCTGTGCGATGCAACGTCGCACGCCAGGGGCAACAGCCCACTCACTCGCCCCTGAAAGGGGCACGCGGCATTAACGCGCTCACACCTAATTAATCATCAGCATGCGTTGCACTCTGTCATCTCTACAACTCAACCAGCTCCTGCCTTTGCCGACACTGCTGCGGCCTTTGCTCCTCCTGCTCTTCCTCCTGTCGCTTCCGTCCACGCAATCCAGCACCAAACCCCGCCGTAGCCCTCCCGCAAACAGCCCCTGGCACGACGATCCACTCCTCGACTCCCTCCTGGAGCTTGCCCAAGCCCCCAAACCCCACGCTTCCTCCTCGTCCTCCTCTTATTCCCGCTCCCACTCTCACTCCAACTCCGCCCACTATCACCAAAACCATCACGCAACCCCCAAGAAACAACAACAACAACAGCAGCAGCAGCAAGAACAGCAATTCAGCGATGGTGACTTTGTGTACGCCACGGGTTCCTGCCGTGAACGAATGCCACTGGCTAGATCCACACGTGCCTGGCGGCGCGGTATTCGCGCCTTTGTACTCACGGACCAGGACGAGCAGGAGCCCCTGGAGCGGCTGGCTTCGGAGGGTGCCGAACACAACGAGTCGTACGCGTTTTTTCCTGACGATGGTGATGCACGGCTAGGCGGCTTGGCGCACGGCACCAAGCAGGGCGACGCGCGGGCTGCATTGGCGCCGTTTGCTGCGCACAGGTGGGTGGGTGCCGCTTGCGAGGCCACCCGGCTGGTGGGAGTTCTTACTCTTGAGGTTGTGGACGTGGATGGGGTTGTGGATGTGGATGAGGTTGTGGATGTGGATGAGGTTGTGGATGGGGTTGTGGATAGGGTTGTGGATGTGGATGGGGTTGTTCCTCGCGAGGGGTCAAGGGGGGAAGGTTGGATGGGCGGGTGTTGCGGGAAGAAGTCGGCAGTGGTGGATGCGGAGGAGGGGGCTGGCCGCGCTGAAGGTGGTGACCCTCCACCGGTGTGGAGGCGAGGCGGGAGAAAGGGGAAGGTGCCCCGGGTGAAACACGCCTCCCTGTACCCCACCCCTACCCAGAGCATGGCATCCCCGCACGTACCTACTGTTCCCCTCCCCCTCTCCCTCCCCACCCTTGTGCGTACGGACGCCACTACCGCCACAGGCACTTTGGCGAGTCGTACAAGTGGATGCTGTACGGCGATGACGGTACGAGCTGGGGAAACACACACACACACATGCTCAGGGCTGTGGCAGCCTATGCCTTGCTTTGATGGTCCTTTCTTTGTTTTGCTTTGCTAAGGTCTCCCTCCCCTTCCGCCTTCCCCTTTCTTTCCCCGTTTCCCCAAAGACACCATGTTTTTCATGGAGCCCGTCAAGCGCATGTTGTCCGCCTTCGACCCCGAGCTCCCTCTGGCGCTGTCCGACAACCTGTGGTACCTGGGTTTGCAACCCAACCCGCACTCCCCCCGCTGCCTACCTTGCCACACGGCCAATGAAAGCCTGCCGACCCTGGAGCAGCTGGTTAAGACCCCGCATGTCCGGGTGAGGGGTGAGGGGGGGGGATGAGGGGCGGCTGATGCCAGGGTTCGGATTAGGCGGGAATGAAGGACCGGGGTTTTCCCCCCCGGGGAACTCGAACGCCATTCGAACAACTATATGCGCACAACACGCAAAACACACGACACAAACGCACGTCGTAGGCCACACGCCGCGGGAGAGGATGAGAGAGAGAGAGGGCGCAAAGTGCGCTAGCGCAGGGCGGATGAGGGAGTGGCGGCGGGTGGGTGTGTGCAAGGCGGGTTCGCGTGCAAGTGCGCCGGTCTGCGTGCAAGTGTGCCGGTCTGCATGTGCTTGTGTGTGTGTGTGTGTTGTTTTGTTGATCGTAGAACCTGAAGCGGTGTGCACGCCGGGTGGCCTTCCTGCCCAGCCCCGCAGGAGCACATTATCAAGAACCTGATCATGGCGCGGTCCGCCAGCAGCGGCAACGTGACTGAGGAAGATATAGAGGCCATGGTGGCCAAGGCCTCTAACGTACCCGGGCGCCTGTTCGTGCCCACCCCTGGCTGCCCGTACTGTACTCCAGAAAAGGCTTGCAACCGGGACGCAAATCCCAACGTGCCATGCGTCGTAAGTGCTGGCGTACGTGCTGTAGGATATGTATGTATGTATGTATGTATGTAATTGTCGGTGTGTGTGCGGGTGGGGGAATCGTGTTATGTGTTATGCAAGGCGGGGCAAAATGTGTCAACTGCTGGCCAGCATGTAGTTGTGACCAGCTGCTGCTGCCGCCGCAGTCTAGAGCGATCATGACGGCGGTTGGGGAGAACCCCTCACAAACTCCCTTCTCCCCTTCACACACCAAAACATCCACGACGACATACATACATACATACATAGGGTTTGGCACCACAGAGGGTTTGGCACCACTGGTAAGGCGCGACCATTGCCCCCGGGAGATCCCGGGATCGATACCCGTTAGGGTCAAAGTCCTTCCGATGGTGGAAGGCATTGCGCCCCTAGTTGATGGACGGTGGTGACCTGGGATAAAGTTAACCTGCGAGCCGACCAGGAACGGAGTTGGGCCGCTGTCGACCCGGCAGATTCCGTTGGATGCTGGTGGTGGGTGCGGAACCTGAGCGATCCACTGAGAAGTTGACTAGGGTGACTGGATGAGGGTGCCCCGAAATACCGGGGAAGGCAGGGTTTCGCAGGGTAGCTGCCACGGGCGAAGATACACCCCCCTGTTTCACACATCATACATACATACATACATACATACATACATACATACATACATACATACATACATACATACATACATACATACATACATACATACACACATACACACATACACACATACACACATACACACATACACACACACCACGCGCACCCAACGGTCCACACGCAGCCATCCGTGGCGCATGGAGGCGCTGGCATGATTTTCTCCGTGGGCCTTATGCGGTCCATCGCCTACCGGGACGCATTGGCCTGCCTGCGTGGCTTCAAGAAAGCCACAGGCGGCGATGCTATGGTGTCAGTGTGTTTGTGGCACGCTGGCGTCGGCTTTACGGACCCGGGGCCGCTCGTACGGCACATGTACGACCCGCACTATGTCGTATTTAGCGCCAAGGCGGGCCAAGGCTACTTGTGGGACCCCATAGGTATGATTTCCCACGGGCGGTGCAATTCCAAGTGCCGGTGGATGCTCCGCAATACGCTGACCCTGCACGTGAAGGGGCGCCACTTCCGGTCCTGGAGGGTGAGTCGGGCGGGTGGGTGGTGTGTGTGTGTGTGTGTGTGTGTGTGTGTGTGTGTGTGTGTGTGGATCTCTCTCGGTGGTCCCTCGGTGGTGTTGGAGGTGGGTTGCGGAGTGTGGGTCCGTGTGGGCATGTGTGTGTCGGGGGGGGCATCCCCGGGAGAGGGCTGCGGTGCGGTGGGGGGTAAGGTGCGGGGTAAGGTGTGGGGTAAGGTGTACGGCTGTCGTCCGTCCTCGGATGAACGCCCCATGGGGCCCCACGGGATACGCCCGACTGGAGCGACCAGAGGGACCAGACCAGCTCTTGTGTCCGCATCTACCTCAGGCTGCTCCATCTGGACGTCAGTTCCTCTAATTCAATGTACCGCTGATGTGTTTCTCACTCCGGCGGCTCTTTCCTGCTGTTGTAACTGCTGCTTTCCTTGTTCATGCTGTTGTAACTGCTGCTTTCCTTGTTCATGCTGCTGTTGCTGCTGCGGCTGCGCTCCGTCTCTTAATTCTTTTCCGGGAACCTGCTTTCCCACCTGTCGACGTGCAGGTCGGTGCGGTGCTCATGTGGGGAGTGGCGCACGGCTCCGAAGCCGCACTGTCCTTCCTGGACTTGACCTCACGCGACGGCGGCGTGCACTGGAAGCAGCTGCCATATGGGTACGACATTGATGACGCGGAGGGCTTTGCTCCGTACATGACTCTGGCCGCGCCGCCCGCACCGGCGAGGGCGGCTGCGACGGCTGCGGGTACTGGAGGAGGCGAGTAGCCCCCTCCGGAACCAAACGGGAATGAGTTGATATGTCCATGAGGTTACGATCCAATTTACTTGATTTGGAGGGTGCAACATTTATCGGAGTGAGCAACTGGATGCCCTGTTGATTTTTTTGCTGTTATGACACGTGGCCGTGAGCCATCTTATATTTCGCTCTAGGTATTCAAGGGCTCGAGGGCAGCGGGATGAGGGAAGAGCGCGGAGTAGGGAAAAAGCGAGGGAGGGAAAAAGGCAGAAAGAGAGGAGAGGAGAGGAATGGATGGGCGAGACAGCGGGACGGAGGGAGGGAGGGGGGTTGCGCATCAGGGGAGGCGGTGGCTGGGGAGGGCATTAATTGGGCTGGCAGCAGGAGTGTATGAGCAGCAGGTGTATATGGGCAAATGGGCAGGAGCAGGACGGAGGAGGAGGTTGAATGGGGGCAAGTAGGTAATGAACAGATTAGCCTTTCTACCGCTGCTTTAGTACTTCACTTATTAAGCCGCCCAATTCATGTTGGGGGTCATAATCAGTGACCTTGCTTACGATTGCTCGTACAGATTCGTTTAATCAACAACAACCAACTAGGGCGTGAAGGCCGCGTGCGTGCATATTAAACAACGGCGGGGTGCTAAATGCTCGGACCGCCCTGGAAAGTTCCCGGAGTGCTGTCGAGCCTTATGGTATGTAGCAGGACGCTCGGACATCGAACACATGGCCTCTGTTTGCGTGTTTCGAACGGGGCTATTAGGTTGCCAGACGACTAGGGTTAGCCGAAAGGACTCTCAGCCCCGGTGCATCAGCCAGCAGTCACCCGCAGTATTCTGCAGGGGAGGCTGTACTGCAATGGGCTGCAAGTGGAGGAACGGTGTCGTGTTTGGACTAAACGCTCATTATTAAGGATAGCTGCAAGGGCCGGGTGTGGCGGCCGGCGGCGTTGGAGTGATGTACGAATCTGGTGTATACACTTGCTGCTAAGGCGCCTATGCAAATTCATGGACGGTGCATTGAGCGCCGCCTCCATCTCAACAGAGCATCTATAGCCTCCTGGTAGTGCACGAACCCATTGTGCCCATTGTTAGTCGAACTGGAGAATATGATATGTATGAGATGTGCGTGAGACGGAGCAGAAGGCAAGGAGGGAAGTGCTGCTGGAGCAGTTGGCATGGATGGGCTTGAGTTGAGCTGTAGCTATTCCGGGGAAGTCCAAGGAGAGAGCGAGACAACCGCGCGGCCGCACAGCAATCAGCATGCAGCATGTGCAGAAGCAGCAGGTACCACAGCATGCTGCACACGGTCGCGGTCAGATATGAGTCTATGATCGCGAGGCAACGAGGGTGCCGGAAGCGTCAAAATCATGGTAAACGTCATTCGTAAATTTCGCTGTCATCATAACTGGTTAAGCCTAAGTAATCTTCACTGCCAAGTTGCGCCATACGCCATCCCTGTGTTCGCATGTAAAAGATTCAAACGCATATACAAACGCACATACACCGGCGCGCAGCCCAATGCGAGCCGCGCTCGCGCCGCCACAACAGCTATCAGTGGCTACCTAACACCCCCTCCCCCCCCTTTGGATGCTGTCATAATGAAATCATATGAACCAGAACTGTTCCTTGGCCACCAGCTTGCGGATTCCGCTGCTCCACGGTCCAAGCATAGATATGGTTATAGCCGCAGTCCTAGCCCTAGAGGCGCACCGTCAAAAGCCTGTTGCGGTGCCTGCGTACTACACGCCATGCACACACGAAACACACCAACGTCCGTCCCTGGATTGCCAAGACGCCGACCGGGGGAAGGTTTCTGTGTGTATATGCTAAGTATATATGTTGATGTCGGCGCATGCGTGGGACTATCTGGGATAGTGACGGAAGCCCCCCAAGCGATGGAGCTCCGGATGAGTCTTAGATTGCGGGTAAGTACGTAGGTACGGCAGAATGCAATCTGTACGGCAGCGAAGTTCCTTTCAGCCGTTCACAGCGATAAGGCCAGCAGCTGTTGCCACCTTCCACCTTGCTATAACTACTATTACGTAGGTATATACATACGAGCGCGCCCTACACCTGTTCGCGGTTCATAAGCACGTTTCAGTGTTTCCTGTCCATCAAGAGGCCACCGACGCACGCGTTCACAGGCGCGCTGCGAAGAGGGGTGATGATGAAAGTGTCTTCCAGCGCTATATACGTATACGCGATATAGCTACAGACTACCAGTGTATTACCAGACCGGAAGGTCCCACCACACCGCACCACACCACACCACATCAGAGGCTTCAGGAAACGAAAGGGAAAGGGGTTGTTTGAGCGGCCAGGGAAAGACAACCGCAACAGGTCCTACAGGGAGCGGAAACAAACCACCACCACCACCACCACCATCGCCCGTCAGTCGATCAACCGGGGCCCTGTGCCCTAAGGCATACCGTCAGAAACACAGCACCGGATGCCACATCGGCCAGTAGGGCGATGGCCGTGCAAGGGGATAGTATAAGTGGATGAGTTCAGAAGAGGTCTTGAATACTCACAGGAGACGAATCAAACAGGGGCGGGAGAGCGGAGATGAGGTTAGGAGGCAACCCTCGGCAACATAACCGGCGCCGCTGCAGCAGCTGCACCGCAGCAGCAGCATAACATTGATATGTGTGCCATCAGCGCATGTCCGCCTACATACATACATACATAGATACATACAGATACACGCACACGGAGGGCAAGTGATCGGTATGTCTAGCATCTAGATGGACTTAACGAATGTACACAGACCCATGCGGACGGGGAGGAGCTTCCCTCTGTTCAATTCCTGGTCAGGACATATGTGGAAGCTATTCACCAGATAACGCACGCGCTGTGCGTGCCGACCTCAGAGACAGGAACCGCCGTGGGTTTCTGTGTGTGTACTATCTACCAGGCTACCAGGCTTCAACCACCAGGAAAGCCCCAACGTGCAGCGGCCGGGTGTCGCAATGCGGGTGCGGGAGGCACATGATATATGGGGAGCGCAGCAAAACACCCCACACACCCCTACACCCCACACACTCATATACCGACCTAAACAACCGCGAAACACTCAAGTCCGCAACCCCGGGGGCTTTCGCGCGCGGAAAGGTGTGCCGTTGTAAAGCCGCCCGCCTTTTCAGGTGTGCCCACTCTAATAACGAAAGAAAGGATGAAAGGATAAATACGCGTGTGTCTGCACAGAAGCGACATTGCCAAGGATGTATTTTGACACTCTGCGGTGAAGCCTGAAGGAACTGCCCATCCTGATATAGTACAGCGCCGTAGACACACACACATACACACACACTAGGTGGTGCCACCTGGGTGAGATCAGGACCTCTCTTTCCCTCAGCGCGTCTTTGGATGATGCAAAGTACGACCCTTGTACGGAAAAGCCCAAGGTGTATCCGAGATCCTTCACATTCGTTAGGTGTTGGTCATGCATCACACAGCTAGTTGGCTCAACAAATTGGTAGAATCGTAACCATCATCACCATTATATATTATATGATCATCACAACATGTAAAGCTGACGAGCGACGACCGGGCAAATTGCAGTTGAATCCTTCCACCTTCCCCTTCCTCAGAAACGCCAACGGCAAGAGTTTTAACGGCAATAACGGTCAAAGCCAACCGTGCGTGGCTCCCAGCCCTTTGCCTGCGGGCCCCGTCCTGCTTTCAGCCTCAGGACTCCGTAGGGACAAGTTTTTGGGTGATGGGGAGGGCCCGCCTGCATTATCGGTGATGATCGGCTTGGATCCACTCTATCGGCGGTAAAAGCCTTTCACAGCAGCGCAGCGACATGGAGCCATCGTCATCAATATCATCATCATCACCATCATCATCATCAATAACACCATCAGCACCATCATCGCTATCATCGCTATCAGCGCTATCAGCGCTATCATCATCACCACAGAAAATCTGCAATGCTTCTCGCTTGCAGCCCGCTAAACACAGGATGCCGCCTCCTTTCTGATAATCCAAATTCATAATATTAGCAAACGGTCTTTACTGCGCTGTGCGATAGCGCGATCTATACGACAGGCACGGCGAAATGGTTGACCACGTTGGGCGCTGCGTTGGCAGGAGATCCCAATCTGTCCTTCCAGACGCGTTGTAACGGAGCCGCCAGACACCCCACCCTTGAATCCATAATATCGTACCTGTGCGTGGAAATCCTGTAGCATCTTATCCGGCAACAGGTAGTGGTGAACGGTCCAGTACTGAAAATTTACTTCGAACTCTGCCCGTCAACCAATCGACCTCGCGCACTCCGCCAGTCCACAAAACCGTTGATAGACCTTGCTGGTCCACAAAGCCGCCAACGACCTTACCGCGATCCGCATCTATCAATCACCAGTAACATGACTCAATTTCAGTACTAGTCTCTTGCTATTTGGTAGAAGATGGAACCAGCCCAAGTGCATAATCGTGGGACATGCATAGCGACGCAGAGTTGGCCTAGTTGGCGCGGCGCAGAAAACATTGTGCATCCTTAAAACCAGATCGCGCGTTCACTCTTTACTTGCCATACGCGGCCCCCGTGCTTTCTCCTTTAAGCCCAGCGTTTGACAACATAGCTGCATTCCAAGTCTGCTCTCGACTTGTTCACCAGGTGGCACCTTTTGGAAGTGAGATACCGTTTTGCCATCAATATAGCCAACCGGCCAAATCTTCTTTTAGTGAATTCCTCCTTGCTAAAAGACGGATAAGAGCACGAGAGCGCAAACCACACGTCCTTTCCGGCATGACACCAAGTCCAACTAAATCCTGCACGCCATGTATCTTCATAAACAAAAACGTACATGCTATTCGCGGCACACGGCGCCGATAAGCCATCCTGCGCGCTATAAAGGACCAACCAGACAGTGACAGTAACATGCTAGTTTCAGCTTAACTATCCTCAGATTCATATACACACCTGTACATCCTAACCATCACGGAACTATTCCGCCGGGCGTCAACCTCGACGACGTTTGTGATGCTAAAGTCCTCTTTGCACGAGGAGCCTTTTTGCAGAAACGAACACCAATCAAACCAACCTGCGGCCGATTGCGACCAATTCTTTGGTCCATACACACTAGCTAAGGCGTCGCCCAGGGCCACATCTGGGCGGCCCTCTGTGCCAGATCAATATCCGTAAACAAAGCAGCCAAATAACAGAAGTACAGAATGACCCGTGGGTCCGTCCCGACCTCTACAACATCTCATACCACCTCACACCACCACAACAACCAGCCCGAAACCCAACGCAACACCGTCGCTACGGACTGTACATATTATTATTACCATGTATTTATTACCGCATCTGAGAAGCCACAGGGGGGGAAATAGTCCCTTGCTGCTCTCCCTCCATTTGAATAAGGCTGCTGCACATCTCCCCTTCCTTCCCCAGTTCCCCAGTTGAACAGCAGTAAAACCTCCCGGCAAACGAACATAGGAAATAAACGAACATGGAGCCTCGTCGCGCAGACACTGGCACGCCGGCTTTCCACCTGCATCGCTGGGACTCACACGCTGTCGCATAATCCACGCCCACACTACGAGCGTGGGGAGTATTTTGGGCTTAACAAACCCTTGTAGGAGGTGCAGCACGTCGCGTACAGGCGCGCTTTTACTCCGGGCATTTTGGCTAGCTAGCCGTCCCGCTGGCTCCCAAATGAAAAGGGACGGGAGGCGAAACCGAATAGATGAATGCATGCATTTTCCTAAGTACGACGGAAACACACGCTCTCTTGAGGAGACCAAGAGGCACAGCCCCACCCGGGCTTCGTTACAGCTGGCTCAACGCCGATCGCGGAGGGGAGAGAGCGGGAAGACAGCGGATCGGCCGGGCGGGAGTTCCAGAGCCTAGGAAGAGAGATGAATTGAAAGGTGCCAGCACGGAGCAGTTTCTTTCAACTCCTGGAGGAAACAAACTGGAGATATTCCAGCCCACCCGCTTCTTTTCTCTCACTTTCAGATCCGCCTGGCTTCCTACCGCTCTGTCCAAAGCCGATTCCACAACTTCTTCCACGTATCATTTCCAAAAGGATTTGCACTGATCTGTATCTCTGCATGTATGTACATGCAGGAACACACGTACCTACATACATGTTTTTCCTTTTTGAAACGAGGGGACGAGCAGATGTCATCGGTTTTGCTGTGGGTGCTACTGCCGTTCACGTCGTCATATGGGCGGCGCCTGCTGTCGCCGGCGGCGGAAGCGCCGCAACCGGCAGTGGCGGCTGCGGTAGCGGCGCCGCCGGTGTCGGAGACTCCAATATCCAGGAAACCTCCGCCAACAGTGCCGTTGTGTCCCATTCCCTGGAGGCAATGCCGCTGCTGCCGCTGCCGGTGCTTACAGCGCTACCGCCCCCACGTTGAGTAAACAAACTGTTGTTAGTGGCGGACATGAAGCTATTGCCGCCGCCAGGGAACAGGCTGGCGACGCTGGAGCCGACGGCGCCGTCGAGGCGAGCACGCTTGGATGGACTGGAGGCCACTCCCGGAGGCAAAGGCGGCAGCGGTAGCGCTTGGTTGCCGTACCACCAGCTACCTGCCACAGCGGGCAAGAACGGCTGCTGCTGCTGCTGCTGCTGCGTCGCCTGGGGCTGTGGGGGCTGCTGCTGCTGTTCGAGAAGGCTCTTCATGCTGCCGGGCTGCTGGCGTTGAGACTGAGACTGAAGGGGCATTTGTACGGCATGCGGCAACGGGCCGCCAGCGTCCGACGACGATGATGCGAATAGCGTTGTAGTCAGGGGTTGCACGGAGCCTATGGCGGCGCCGCCGGCTGCGGTTGCGGTTGCGGCTGCGGTGGAGGCACCTCCGCCGCCGCATGCGCTCAAAGTTGGACTCGACCAAGCAGCGGCCTCAAGCGCTGGTGTGGTGTGGTGTGGTGTGGTGTGGATGAAATTTGGGAAAATGGACACGATATTACACGATACTACAGAAAGGTAAGACGCTCGGGAGTCAGTGGCTCGTCATTGTTACATCCGATCATTGACTCTCCAGAGTTCCGCAACAGAGAGGAGAAAGGATAAGGGGCTTGCTAAAGGTCTAAGTCTTACCTTGGAACATGGCCTCAAAGTCGGCATCGAGGATGGAGGGACCGCCGCCGGCGCCGTGCCAACCTCCCCCATTCACATCGCCAACACCTCCCAAAGTCCACGAAGTATCGACGGCTGCAGCATGTCCCGAAAGCACCGACGTGGACTGGGCCCGTTGCGGTGGCGGCTGCTGCTGCTGCTGTTGCACAGGCGCCGGCGCCGGCGCAGGCGCTTTGCCCTTGTGGGACGCTGCGGCCGCCGCCGGCGCTGGCCCTGCCGCCGCCGCCGCAGACTCGGAAGCAGTAGGTTTTGCGTCGGGCGGCTGAAGACTGAGCGGAGGCCACGGCGAGGCGGATCCAGGGAGGTCTGCAGCGCTGCCGAAGCGTGACACGGCCGGCACAAAGCCGCGCTGCATTCCGCCGCTGCCGCTGCCACTGCCGCTGCTGCCAGTGCTAGTACTACTGCTGCTGCTGCCGCCGCCACTGCCGCCGTAGGCAGCAGGCGCCTCGGGAATCGCCTCGTGCTGGAGATGGTGATGACGATGTGGGAAAGCGGACAGCAGCTGGCGGGAGGCCGGCGCCGTGGTTGGGTTAATGGCGCAGCCAATGGCACCCAGGTGGTTGCAGACGTTGCCGTTGCCGCCGCCAATGGCGGGGGCCGCGTCCGAGGGCGCCGCCACAGCGGCGGCAGAAGGCAAACCGACGGGTGACGCAGCACCGCTTCCGAAGACGCCGCTGATGGGTGACGATACTCGACTGAAGGGGTGCACTGGGGAGCTGGCGCCACCGTCCTCGCCACCGTCGTATCCCCCGACACCGCCGCCGGCTGGCTTGCGCTTCCTGGCCAAGTCGTGGGTCAGCGTTGGCCCCCCGCTGACCTCCTGTGGCGGCTGCTGCTGCTGCTGCTGCTGCTGCTGTTTCAAGTATTGCTGCTGTAGCTGCTGCCGCAGCTGTAGCTGCTGTCGAAGCTGTTGTGGCTGTGGCTCTAACCGCTGCTGTTGCATGTCTTGCTGTAGCGATGTGAGCATATTCGCGTGCGGTGCCTGCTGCAGCCGCTGCTGCAGCTCCTGTAGCTGTAGTTGCTGTTTTTGCAATTGCTGTTGCAGCAGCTGCTGCTGCCGCAGCAGATGCAGCTCCTGCAGCAGGACGGGGTGCGTTGGGATCGCCGCCGCTGCCGCAGGCGGGAAGCTAAGTCCGCTGGCGCTACTGTCGCCGCCAGCAACGTCGTCGGGCGACGGCAGTAGTATTGGCGGCAGCGGCATGCAGCCCTCCGCCACGTTGCGCGGGGGGGTGCCGGGCGGGGGCGACATGCGCGCGAAGTGAAGTAACGCCAGCGCCAGGTACAGCTGGGACGTTTGTTTCTTGGGATCTGCAAAGTCAGTCGGTCCACCACCGTAAGCTGCACAGTAGGACCCACCATTAGCAAGTAACACCACCACCACCTACAAAACCCACAAGAAACCCACAAGAAAACATTTGCGTGCAGAGCACAATCTGTTCGTTGTCTAACGTGATCATGTTTAGGAAACCTTAAGTTCGCCCCTGCCCCAATTCCACCCCCAACTTACCGGAATGGTATTTAAGTGTAAACAACCCGGTGCGAGGTTCGAATCCGACTACCGTCGCTGCGCGCCACGCACCAGTAGGCCGTTGAGGTTCATGCAGCCGCTGAGACGGCGGCGGCGGGACCGTCGAGTTCGGCCCATCGGGCACCGCGTCCCACCAGAACACGCTCAGCTGCTTTCGCTTGAGAGCCTCACCCCCCATATGCAAGGCAGCCGCACGGAGCCATGCGGGCAGCGGAACCTGCGCAGTGCCATACCCCACCACAGCTGGGGCTTAGGTTGCGTTTTACACACTATTACCGTTTTGTATACATAGTTTTAACATATAATGTCCTTAACACGATCGCTCCATCACTAATAATAAGGCCGAGGAGGACATTCAGACAGCAGAGGGCGGCAGGGGATGGACATTGAAAATGAAGACAACCAAGCCAGGACGTCCCAGACTGCAGCAGAGGGCGCAGGGTATTCTGAGAACCACAGAATGAACAGCTGCATGAACTGCGAGCTGCAAGAATGAACAGGATGACAACAATTAAGGTTTTTACCGCCGTTGCCTTTGTGACGAACTGGACGAGCTACGATACGCTAACAGATCGCGAAAAATGCAAATGCAAAGCCTAGCCTCCGCACGTCAACGCGGTAGAAGATCTCATTAAGCACTACATGTTTGACTATGAACTTATTAGGTTTTCGCGGCTGACATCGATTGCACCAGCACAGGACGAGCAGCATGTATCCTGTACAAGAGCTCTGCGCGTAGCGAATCTTTATGGAAAGGAATGCGTGTCGAAACGGAAAGAGGAAACCGAAGGCAGTGTTGCTACCTACCAAGAAATTTGCGGTCGGTTGTCGCACTGAGAGGCGTTCGAACGATGCGCCGCCCAAGGACGTGTGCAGACACCACTCGTGCAGCGTCATAACGCGACCTGCAGTTAGCGCAGCAAGATTAATGCGTTACTTGTCGTTATGATACAGCGAATACGAAACAGCTTGCTTTAGGCCGGTCATAAAGGAAACGCAGCAAAGCTAACCCGTAAAGTCCGGGCCCCTCAATCATAACCTGCCTTGCTTCTCCTGAGTTGCATGGACTCAACAAACACAGCTCGTGTGTATAGTTGTGATACCAGCAGAACCAGAAACCCGACGGCGTGAAGCCAAGCAGAAAAGAACCCTTAATGTCTCACCTCCGCTTTGAAACAAATCCGTTATCGGTCGCGTCGCACAAGAAGCGCACTTGCAAGCGACCATAATGCTCGTTGCGGAAGCGGTGCAGCATCCGAGAACACGACATGAAGACCTGCGGCGGTGTCGCAGATTTCAGCAGCGACGACGTCAGCTGGCCCCTTCCAAAACGCCGAGGAAGATTCAAGTCATCCCCTCTGGAATTTACATGTATTGATACAAGAGACCTTTAAACACATAAGATCACCATCGTCAGTGAACGCCAAATAGGCACTAACCAAATGTCGCAGGAAGTGAGCAATTCGCAGCAACTCACCCATTCAGGACAAGCTCAATGTGAGCAGGGAGATAGTCAGCGCCGTGTATCAGGGAAGTTAGGCTCTTCGAACCCTTGTCCATCTTTCCTTTCCTGAAAAATGTGTAATCGCGGCAAGACGTCTCCGCTTTGGCTTCGAGCGAATAGTAAGGAGATTATCGAGACGTTTGGGACGTGGATTGGCTGCAAGCGACGAATATTCAGAACGTCACGCCGGACAGTTAGGACGCGATCAGCGCAAGATGCCGCCAGGTAACCAGAAGCTCTGGAAATAAGGAAGATACAAATTTCCTCATCGTTTATGCCTACTGGCCTGCGCGCAAATGTCTACAGGAACAATACCGTAACGCGGTGGATCTGTTTTCGACTGGAGCTCACCGGTATCGCAATGACGGTGAACTTGCACTGTTAGTATGGACACATCTTCATTCTTGGCATAAGGCTAGGGATTGAAGATTGAAGTGCTACTACTAACAAAGTTATGGTACGGGAAAAGTCCAGGACTATTCGACCCGCACAGGCCTTTAAACCGAGTTATTTTGTACAGGACTCGTCAACGCTCAAAATGGGTAACGAATTCAGCATGGGTTCATTTATTAGTTAAATAACTTAAAGTATGTCTGCCAAAAGGCCGGTTACGTGATTGGTCTCAAGCCCTAGCTCCCGCCCAGATGGACTTGCGTCACGAACCCGGACAATGCAATAGCAAAGTTCACCTATTTTGAGGATATTTAAGGGTCTCGACTTATCGCCTTGGCTCATTAGTGGATCATGTGCGCAAAGGTGTCTTGTGAACCTATTTCTCCAATTCGTGCATTTATTTGCATGCTTCGCTCATTATTTCAAACTCGTCATCACAGTGGCTGAATGGCAAGCTTGCGCCACGCCACGCTTGAGTTACGTAATATACCACTATATTTTTTAGGGCTTTCACACAGGCATGCATGTTCTTCCCCGTCCTTGGAGATTTAGCGCGCACGTAATGTCAGAAAAGTCACAAACGATTAAACTTTGAAAGGATCTTAGTTTCATACCAAGGTCGACAATCGCTGCTCGTAGCCGTACTAAGTCGGACAGAACCAGCGAGCGAACTTTCATAACTGCGCGCGTAAACAACAAGCATCAACGGATTGTGCGCGCCATAAGAAATAGTGCGGTGTTTATATTACAAGCGTTTATAACCCAGAGTGCGTGTGTGTGTATGTATGTGCGTGTGTGTGTAAATAATATCCGGACGTTATGAGCGCTAAGGGTGGTCGTCCAACGCCGATGTTCCCCTGTCAACAGTCCGTTCGCGACTTGCCCACGCCTTGTATGCTGTTCGCGGGTTTCCACGCGCCCAGGAGGGGGTCGGTAGCAGACCGGTTAGCTATAACCCAACCGACCGCTTCGGTAGCTAGCTAGGGTAAAAAACGACATTTCGGGATAACGACCCGGTAACCGACCGGTAACCTTACTGGTCGGTTACCGGATCGTTATCCTTACCTATCGGTAACCTTACTGGTCGGTCGCCTTACCGACCGGTAACTTCATCAGTCGGTGGTGCCCCAGTTACTGGGTCGTTATGTCGGTTACCCTACCGGCCAGGTACCGAAGCGACCAGTTACCGACCGGTTCGGTAGAGTTATTACCAACTGCTGATAATCCGAATGATCTCCATGAAGGCACTTGGCAACAAATGCAGAGGAGCAACTGCTTCCCACCCAGCGACCAGCAGCTTGTCGCCAGGCTTGTCGCGGCGTACACAGCAGCCTATGCTATTTTTCGAGTTGCTTTCCGAGTAGCGCCCACGGGTGAAGAGATGGCCCCCTGTCCCACACATCATAAGAAGTGCCTTGTCTACACCTGCTGGTTTGGTGAAGCGACCAGACATGCCGCCTGCTGCGCTTCTGCGTGCCACCACTGTACTGGCTGGTGCACGATGACAAGAGGTAAATTTCCTAATAACAAGACTGACCATGTAGATTTGATTTAACATTTACGCTGTACAGAAGTAAAATTCAAAACTTGGACCCAGTTTACAAACAGTTTTTATTAGATGCTATATTCTCGTTATTTCACCCAAAGGTGAAAGGACGAGCAAATTTAGCTTACTAGCCATTCGTACGCAATTACTTGGCCCGACCGGTAATCAATTGGTGGGTGCCTCATGAGCCTCGTGGCTCGCTTGGGCCGTACAAGCTCAAGAAGCTTGCAATCAAAAACGCCAAATCGGTAGGGTAACCCTTTATCGGCAAGGCAAGGGCCTATAACTCCCCTCCGTAACCCAATTGAGGCCCCACTCTACCGACCGGTTGGGCCGGAGGGTTACCGATCGCTAACCGACCGGTCGAATGTGTATCTGCCATCGGGCCTCTTGCCGCTTGCCATCGACGCTCATAGGTAGGAGGGCCCCCGAACACCACTTCCTAACAGTCACGGTGCACTACCCCAAGAACCCCCACAACCAGGAGCTAACGGTAATTTCACGGCCCCCTACGAAATCTGGCACGGCAGGCGGCGCAACTTCACCAAGCCAGAGTTCAAACCAGAGGCCATAGATAAGGGCTGGTCATACAACTCCAACAACTATCTTTACCTAGCTAACTAAGCCTCGCAACCGCTCCTACAGCTCGCAGTTATGAGCCAGCTCGATGTAGCAGCTGCCGTCAGGCGCCAGACGGTTCGCAAACCCGATGCGCACTGAGCACCCCTCCAGCAACGGCATCAGCGCCGCCGACTGATCCAGCAGAAAACAGCACGCGCGACGGAAGTGGTCCGGAGAGACCCGCGGGTCACGTGTGAGACTGCGGAGCCGCAAGCGCTGTCTTGTCTGCGGGAGGGTTGCGGGCGTTTGGGGGGGAAGTAAAGGTGTTCGCTGGCAAGGCAGGTGTGTGTGTTACAAGTTGCAAGTTATACAATTTATACAATTTATACAATTTATACAATTTATACAGTTTATACAATTTATACAATTTATACAATTTATACAATTTATACAATTTATACAGTTTATACAATTTATACAGTTTATACAAGTTATACAGTTTATACAAGTTATACAAGTTATACAAGTTATATATAGGAGCTGCCAGACCAACACACCGCCTCTTGTTCGCAGAGCTATCGCAGCTACCCCTACACTACCACGTTCTCAAGCAGGTTGTGAGGTTTTGGAACCATGTCCGTTTACAGCGTGGGTCTGTGGCACACCAAGTTTTGCGACAGGAGGTCGCAGAGTCCCTCTCCAACCCCGAAGGGCCCGGATGGGGGACACTACTCCTCCGTTTTCTATGTTTTTTGGGGCACGATGTATGGAAAGAGGCCCCGCAAGGGCTACACGAGGTAGACGAACGAGTGGAGTGGCTGATGAACAAGCCAATGCCAGAAGGTGTGATTTTGGAGTTCAAGGACCGATTAATGAGTGGTTGGAAGCATACGCGTTTAGATGTCCAGCCTGACGTGTATCCGTCAGACGGCAAGCAACCAGGAATTCACATGGCGAAGTATAAGCATTGGATGGGGCTGGCGGCCGAGCAAGCGGGCAGGAAGGAGGTGCTCCCGCACATCACAATGTTTATCCCACGTTCGGCGAATCGCAAGCTTATGCAGTTTAGGCTTTGCTGTTGGGCACTGGCGGCTAACAGAGCGTGTAAGGGACGGCGTTATATACCTAGGGAGGAGCGAGTATGCCCTTGCTGCGGCACTGATAGCCACATCGAGGAGAGAACACATTTTGCTGGACTGTCCGGTTTACGACGGAATCAGATCTGATATGGGCTTTCCACGCTTCGAACATATGAAGGACGCTATGAAGTGGGAACCTGAACGCCTGGCAAGGATGCTGGAAAGTATATGGTCTCACCGCAACTCTATCGTTCCCTTTGGTCGTTAGTATACTTCATCACTTGTTTCGTTGGAAGTGCGAGGTAGGATGGTGCTTATAGGCGATTTGGCAGCCCTTGAGCCCTCGGCTCGTACTAGGGTGGTTTGCAGGTACGGGGAACGCACCCACGACCATGTAACAACAACAACAAAAATACAAGTTATACAAGTTATACAAGTTATACAAGTTATACAAGTTATACAAGTTATACAAGTTATACAAGTTATACAAGTTATACAAGTTATACAAGTTATACAAGTTATACAAGTTATACAAGTTATACAAGTTATACAAGTTATACAAGTTCCGCACAAGCACTTGTGCGGGGGTGTCTGTAAAAGCCGGGGGGGCCATGGATGGTAAAACGGACAGGTGTGTGTGTATGTGTATGTGTGTGTGCGCCGGCTTCGTCGAAGCTGACACACGGCGACCTAGTCACGCCAGGGCCATTTCGGATTCAAGTGAGCTGCGCAGGACGGCCCCGCAGAGAGCGGCGTAATGTAAGAATAGATACACACACGGGAATACGCGCTCTCTCCCTCTCCCCCGCTCTCTCCCTCTCTCCTCTCCCCCGCTCTCTCCCTCTCTCCTCTCCCCCGCTCTCTCCCTCTCTCCCTCTCCCCCGCTCTCTCCCTCTCTCCTCTCCCCCCCTCTCTCCCTCTCCCCCGCTCTCTCCCTCTCTCCCACGCTCAGTCTAGGTGCCCGCGGGACAGTCACTTATCCCACATCTCCCAGCCCTTTCCGAACCCATTCGCCTGCGTTCACCAGTACCCTGCCCTTGTCCCACCCGATCACTGAGCTGCCGAGACTCTGTCTCCACCCTCCGATGGTTCTGCACTGCCGCCTGAGCCCGGTCGCCCAGCTGGGAGACACCACGGTACACCTCATCCGCCGTCGCGTCGCTGGCCACTTGTACGACACCAGGAGTCGAGTCATCTAGGCGGCAAGGAGGCGGCGGCGGCTGCTGTCCCTGCTGCGTCACATAGAGACACACACACACATACACACAGATACACACATACAGACACACACACAAGTGCGCAGGTCCGACGGGCTCAGACCCAGCCGTGTACGGGGTAGGGAGGCGACCGGCCTGGCGGGTGGAGCTATTGAAGAGAGGGAGGGGAGGAAAGCATGTCTTGTGTGCATGTGTGTGTATCTGTTAGATATCGATTCGGGCCTGACACTGGCCAGGGGCACCTAATCGTACCCCAACGGGAACGATCACCGAAGCACTTTCCTCCCGTACAGGTAGGGTGGGTGTGTCTGTGCGGTGTGTATTAGGAGGGTACGGAAACATCCCTACGTCAAAATGCAGCGCGCGAGTCACCTGCAACACGCAAACGGGGGTTAGCCATATTGCCTTCTCGAGGGATGGCCGTTCGAAGACCAAAGGCGATATGTTCGGCACTCTTAGCCACTCGCAAGCTGCGCGGCCCAAGCAGGTCTCTGCTGCGAGAAGCTCTTTAAACATCGAAAATAATGTCCTGTACGGAGTAACCCTCTCATCTTTAGCTGTGTGTACGGCGAGTACGAAATACGACAGTTTCTTTTGCGTAACCTGTGTGTTTCGATTGTTGAACCCGTGGTGCATGCGCGCTTGCAACGAAGTGAACGGACATGCCCAATCCGCGTCTGTGCACCAGCTATTGCTACTGCCGTTGCTAGCCTCCCTCCCTCCCTCCCTCCTTTCCCGTTCACTGCCGTACATGCCCGGTGAGGAGGGGTGGCATGATACACAGCGACACGTCCGTGGCGAAGGCGGCGCCACCAACAGGTCCACTGGCCGCTGCAGCCGCGGCGAGCCGCTCCAGGAAGCTTCTGTACGACGGTTCCATGAGATTGCCGTACGACGTGAACACCTGCGCTACGCCGACTGCGCGAGCGACTTGGGTCTCCAGGTTGCGGAGCGCCTGCAGCAGCATGTACGTGTACGACACCGATGCACACCGAAAACAATACCGTTACAAAGTTGCCGTGGGCGCCGTAATTCCTTGCGAATTACCTGCTATTCTATATTTGTAGACAAAACCTTTTCGAGCAGTTGTATTTTTCCTCCTCCGCAAACAATTTGTTGACTTACGTCGTACCAAAATTGGGGATCTTTTCTTGAGGCGCCTGGGAGCTGGACGGTGGGGTCAAGACAACTGTTTTCTACCGTTAGTGGTTAGTCGCAGTTAGGTAGTTAGGTCGTTAAGGCTGTCGGCATGGAGCTGAAATCTTAACCGCTCCTGCACCCAAGAACACAACGCTTGGTCACGTGGACCTGGCCATCTGGGTATTCAGCCGCTAACCACAACCACCAACTACAACTACCCATTCATCCCCCTACCCAGCCTATCTACCTGTACGTTCTTCCTCTGTTGTCGTACAAAATCCAGATCCGCCCCGGTGAGGAAGCTCGTCCAGGTCGCGTCCTCTGGGTCGGCGGCGGGGAGACACAGCTGTCCTAGCCGGTCCAACCCCAGCCTGGCTCAGGGAGGGGTGGTTGGGTCATGAGGTGGTTAGGAAAGGCAATCTTGGAATGGTGGTCGTTGAGGTAGTTGGAATGGTGGTTGTTGAGGCAGTTGGAATGGTGGTCGTTGAGACAGTTGGAAGGGTGGTTTGGAATGGAGGAGTATGATGGTATTCAAAAATTTAAATGGTATGTAGAATGGTAAGTGCGTTGTATCGGCCATCGAGTCGAGAAGCAGCCCTTCACCCCCGGCCCCGCATGCACCCACTGCAACAGGAGCAAACGAAACAGACGCAGACGCAGCAGCACTATTCGGCCCTGCAGTGCCACACAGCCAAACCCTCTAACCATACGTCATCCCTAGGGTTGGGCGCCCTTTAGAAACTTAAAAATTACATATTCTAATTAGAATTAGAATTCTAAGCTAGAAATTAGAAAGGCCTGCTTAGAAGGTTTATAATACTCTAATGCCGTACACCCACTAGAACGTGCCAAAAGTGGTCCTTTCCGACCGCAAATGTTGCTTTTTGGGTCTGATAGGATGTTTCATGTTTCGAGTTTTCGTTTGCAGTCGTGTAGAGAACGCAGTTGCCACGTAACTGTATTCAGTGCTCCTTGAGACCGCTGTGAGCAGGACAGGGACTGACTGTTTGAGTTCAGAATTGACTCTTCAGACCTTTTCTGGGCGCAAGGGCTACGTAAACCGGTTGTAGGGTTCGGGAACGCGTGAGTGTGCAGGGTTTTGTTGACTTTTGATGAGTATCACAGACGTTTTCTGGCCGAATTGAAGGGGGGATGCCGGGGTTGGGTCCTCCAGAGTGTCAGACCTGTACAAAAACCCCGGAAGTATCCAAGTAAAGCATAATAAGCCGTCCCAATGGTCCAAAAATAATTTAAATCAGAGCTCCCAGCGAAAAGTTGACCCCCTTGTTCTAAATTTATTTCTAAACTCTAATTAGAATTATAATTAGAAATAGTATAGAACGCTTGCCATTCTAAACTTTTGCCCAACCCTAGTCATCCCTCCTCCTTCCTCCCTACCTCACCCCACCTCACCCCATCTCACCCCACCCCACCCCACCTCAACCCACCCCACCTCACCCCACCTCACCCCACCCCACCCCACCCCACCCCACCCCACCCCACCCCACCTCACCCCACCTCACCGGTCGCCAATAACGATATGACAGCCCTGCAGCTGCACCTCCCCCGCCACCCCGTCCACCACCCGAGCCAACCGCTCCAGGAGGGCCACCTGGCTGCGGGCGGGCAGACGCTTGTCGGCGAAGCTCACCATCACCTGGCCGCGGGAGGGGGGGAGGGGTAATTATGCGGCCAAGACAGGGAAACCACCTGCCACTGGCGCCCGGATCGGATGGCTGTATGGCAGGTCAGTGCGGGCCCTCCATACCCCCACATCCCCACATCTCTACACCACCACACCCCCGTACGGTGCCGTACCTGATGCCGCAGCCGCATCGCACCGCGCAGGTTCGCAACGCGGACGGCCGGGTCAGAGGTGCTCGCCGCCTCCACCTGCGTATGCACGTCTGTATGTGTGTATTTGTTTGTTTTTTTGCAGGGGGAATCGAAGGGGGGAGCTGTAGGGGGGAGCAGTAGAGAGCCAATCAGAAGTGTACGAGGGATGGCAAACAGGCCCGTCTGCTTTGCCGCAAGCAAGCATATCAAACCCTCACGTCTCCCTAGTCAATTCACTTCATGGCGCCGGGCTGTGAGCAGCACGACGGCGTGGTGTATATAGCCCCCCACACACACACCACACACATACACAGCAGAGCACAGCAGGCCAAACCCCACACACCGCCGGCTGTCCCTCGCTGACCCACCTGCCGAAGCGCCTCCACAGCCTCCGGCAAGAAGGCAGCCAAACTCAACGGGCCCCCGTCGTCCTCGTCCTCCTCCCGGCCACCATCTGCAGCACCACCTCCGCCGCCTCCGCCGCCACGGCCGCTGGTGGCCAGGCCGCACGCCGCCAGCAGCTTCACGAGGGCTTTACGAGTGGGTGCCGCGAGCTCTTTGGCGCCTTCCGGTGGGAGGGAAGTGGGAACGCAAGGAATGGGGCAGGGAACAGCGGGAGGGTGGGGGAGAAGGGGGGGAGAGGAGGAGAGTTGGGTGTAGGAGAAACAGGGCAACGAGAGGGATTAAGAGGTGCGTGTGTGTATAAAGGGGGGGAGGTAGGACGCCAACAAGAGCCGCCACCGAGCCCCCTCAGACATGAGGCAAATCGAGGACAAGGAAAGTGAGGGGGCTATACGTATCATGATAATGATTATGATAAGGATTCCTGCCCAGGTAATCGACTGCCATGGCGCCGCACCTGCCGGGCTGATGGCCGGCGGCGGCAACGTAATCTGAACAAGATGGAGCCCAGCCACCTCCGTCGCCGCCGCCGAGCTGGCCGTCCCGCCGTCGCCACTAGTGGCGGCGGCGGCAGCGGCGGCAGGTCTCGTAGCGCTCGGCGGGGGCCTCAACGGCGGTCTGGCGGGGGCCGTCGGTGTGTACGACTCAGCTGGTGGGCCAAAGCCAAAGTCAGCACATACCATGCAGGTTGTGGGTAGGGGTGGGGAACGGGGCGGGGCGGGACGGAAGGGGGAGCGGAGCTTGGTGGTGTTGGGGGGGCTGATGGCGGCGTGATGGGACAGGGCGCCCTCTGTTGGTGGACCAGCGTTGAGGGTTCGGGAAGGTTTTTCAAGGCCGGAGAAGCTGCTGCTACTGCCGCGGCCACTGCTACTGCCGCAGATGCTGCGACTGCGATTATAACGTTACAAGGAACGAGAACGACTTTGTCAAAAGCTGTTGTTGCTGATGCTCTGTGTGTATGTATGTATGTGTGTATGTGTGTATGTGTATATGTGTGTGTGTGTTTTGATGACCTGAGCCGCGGGAAGGGAAATGGCGGAGTGGCGCACAACAATTGACATGACTGAATGCACTAGTCAATCTGTGTGTCTCCTTCCTCGCCGTACGGACAGCTCCACACCACATATATACATACAGACGCGCTAGGATCAGCTCGCACCTGCGTCCACGTGCTGCTGTAGTGGTGGTTGCGGCGGCTCTCGTAGGTAAAACGAAAAGCGGTACGGCAGGCGTGCTGCGGGAGAACGTACGTCACCACCACGAGCGAGCTGCACGTACTCCTGCAGCAGCTTGAAGGACCGCTCGTTCTCCTCCTAGGGAGGGACGTAGAGACAGGTTTTTGGGGCGGCTGCAGAAGTTTAGGGCTGTGTAAAGGCAGAGAGAGGTTAGGAAAAACATGTTCCTCGTCTGGGCTGCTGATTTTGACTTGGTGTGATTTGGGTTCCAGGTCTTTTGAGAGTGGCCAGTGGGCCGCCGGAGTCACATCTTGTTCATGAGGGAATGATGGGGGTTTCGGAGCAGCCCGTGAACAACACCATACGGCTCCTGCCCTATCCCCGTCTCTTGAGGGGAGACCCTGGTTACCATTTCGACAAGCAAGAAGCGAGCCCCACACCTTTAAGGCAGTAAGCCCCACAGCTTTCAGGCAGTGAGATGGGAGGAAAAGATCTGTTTCTCTTTTGGGGAGCTCTTTTGGCGGGGTCTATCCGTGTGGGGGATCCCCTGGATTTCATGATTACGAGAAAAATCGTTCATCCTGGAATCTTCGGTTCTGCCGCAGGAGTATATTTGGATGTTCAGGGTCGGGTATTGCACCTTGGCGAGGGGTTGGTCATGGAAGAGGTCTGGATGGACCTGCTTGTACAACAACCGCAGAGCGGCCCTTAGCGGCAGCACGTCGGTCCTGCTGCTGCCACCACCATCGCCGCTGCCAGCACGCCCATCACTGCCGCCGCTGCCGCCCCCGTCTGTCGCCCTACCCCGCCTGCTGCTGTTCGTACTACTGCTACTGCTACTGCTGCTGTGAGCATAACCACGGGCAGTCCCTGGAGTAGTGGTGGCGGCGCTGCCGCTGCCGTGGCCGTACACCTGTTGCCCGCCGGCAGCTACACCAACCAGCCACTCCGGCCCAGCTGAAAACGGCCGCCGCTGCTGCCGCCGCTGCTGCTGCTGCCACTGGGCGTGTTGGGCATGGGCACATGTGTGTCGTATGGCGGAAGGACCCCAGAAGAGGACCAGGATGTTCGCGGCTGCAGCAGCACCTATGGACGAAGGAGGGGGCCCGCCAGCGGCTGCGGCGGCGCAAGAAGGGGCAGTCACGCAGCCATGGGCCCCGAAGGGGGCCACACAAAGGCAGCGGCGGCGACCCCGACAGAGGTCCGAACAGAACCTCCGGTTTCCGGGGACCGTGTGACCTGTTGTGATGAGTTGCGAATGGAGTGGGCGGTGATGGTGGATGTTGTTGTTGTTGTTGCTGTTGTGGTGGTGGTGGTGCTGGTGGACTTCTCCTTGGCAGTAGCTGCCGTGCTGGAGAGTCCTACTGCTGCTGCTAATGTTGTAGGTGCTAGTGATGCTGCTGCTGTAGCAATCGATGGAGTTGCTGCCATAGTTGCTGACATAATTGCTGTAGCTCCTGTCGTTAGCGCTGTAGCTGCCGCTGTGGCTGCAGCAATCAGAGCTGCTACTGCCAAGGCAAACAGCAATGCTCGCTGGTGGTGCTGAAGACCGTCCTGAAGGGCCCTCCTGGCCTCGGGCTGTCGGCATTCCGGGTTTGTGGGCGGTGGGCGGTGGAGCATCCCCAAGGTGTTTCATGGGTACCAGCCATTCTGTGGCGGTGGCAGAAAGGCAAAGGCGACGACAGAGGAACAACAGATGACTGGCGCTGTGGACGCTGCATAGCATGGAGGGATTGGCGGCATGAACCTGCCCCGCTTGGCGCTGAATTCGATGGTGTGTGTGTGTGTGTGTGTGTGTGTGTGTGTGTGTGTGTGTGTGTGTGTGTGTGTGTGTGTGTGTGTGTGTGTGTGTGTGTACACGGTTGCTATAGCGAAAAGCGTGTATGACAAGAAAGTGATGCTGCTGGAGGGCTCCGGTGCGGAAGTGGATAGTTCACCTTCACAAACGGACTCCGGCTATTGCCCAGGGTTAGGATTTGTATGGTGATTCACATGGGAAAAGAGTATGGACGGATGGATGGCGCGTGCATGTGTGCTCACGTATTCTGGAATCTTGCGCGCCAGGGCCTTAAGGGTGATTTGCGTTGTAGTGCATGGGCATGTTGGTTGACGTTTAAGGGCCTGGTGGTGTTCGCGGGCTTTACTTGCAGTAGATGCTGCGTAACTGTGAATAGGGGGATACACCTTAAATCCATGTATGCATGTGCAATCTAGGAAACGCAATTGGTGCTGACCTGAACAACTAAATACGAGTGCCGGAACCTGCGTCCTGTTGGACCTCCAGAAGCTTGCATAGGTCTGCATGCTTGCCAGTACGGCTAGATATTCAATGGAAATGTAAAAGATATATATGGCTCTCTCGCAGATAAGAAAAATGCAAAGCATATGTGTCTTCAAGTTGGAGACACGCTGATGGTTAACGAAACTGGTTCTGGAGCGTTTCGGAGCCCGTCCTGGTTCTGGAAAAGCCGAGTGGGTTCCTTCATATCAGTGCGCAATTCCGCCATTTGTGCGCTTAGGATTACGTTTCAGTAAGGCCAGCCTCATTAATTTTCTCCTTCGGTGATCGAGCGCGAAAGGAATCCTGAACTATACCTATATTGAACACAAGACCCGTTTTACGCGCTTTGAAATTACTTTCTGCCTTGAGCGCTGCATCTTAACCCTTTGTGTAAATGGTGAGGTGTAGGTTGAAGGCGTAAGGTTGCAAGGAAGGTCGCTCATCGGTATGCTCTTTTTTGTCGGATCCAGGCGCTAGTCTCCGTCGTCGGGTTCGATGTGGGCAACGACACGTCCTGTGTGGCACTGGCCCGCAAGCGCGGCATTGATGTAATCATGAACAAGGAGAGCAAGCGCGAGACGCCCGCGGCAATTAATTTTGGTGCGTCCTCATGGGATATATGGGGCGAAGCTTGCCGCCTGCGCTTTATGGGCGCCTTGACGAAATGGCCACCAAGCTCTTGGCGGCTAACGGATCTGGATGCTTCCAGGCGTCCGAGGGCGGGATGCGAGTAATGCGCCCCATCATCCTTTGTGTTATTGTTGAGTTAGCTGGTTTTTGTTAGTGTGCATGGACCACGATGGTTTACCACCTGGCGCTAAGTTTTAATGGGGCAGAGGTAGTTCGTATCCGACGGTGTTTTTATGACCTCAAGCCATGCCCGGCGTTCGGGAAAGCCTTGTTTTTTTCAGAATTTGTTGGGTTGAACCCCACCCTTGGACTCCACACCCGCCGGGCTGCTGTCCGAACAGAAGCGGACAGTTATCGAGCGCTCCGGATGAAATTGTCTAGCGGAATGGCACGCCTGGATGCTGGCAGAGTTGAAAGTATTGGGAATTCTCCTTCCCTGCGTTGCCGTATCTAGGGGACCGCACGATCCGCATGTGTATTGATCCTCCGGCGCACCACTTCTACAGCCCTATATGATCAACCCAGATGTGCTGCCCGCGCCCTGGCGTGCCAACCTCTGCCTGCTTTATGCACGCAGGCGAGAAGATGCGCTTTTTGGGCACTGACGGAGCCGCCAAGCTCGGCCTGCAACCGCAAAACACGGTGCACCAGCTGAAGCGCATCCTGGGCAAGAAGTTCCAAGACCCCCTGGTAGGATGCATCCGCAGACCGACTCCCGTGGGCTGTCCTTCCGTGTTGCTACTGCCCCCGATGAACATGGCTTTGCCAACACGTATCCTGACGACTGACCATTTCCTGCAGCTTATTCACAAATGCCACAAACAGTTTTCTTACAGCGCCCCCTGCCATCCCGACCCAAATCACGCTGGAATGATGTTGGACATTTTTGAAATTCTGCTGGCTTGGTTGATCCACCAGGCCCATTTCATGCTTTTCTTTTGCCTTTTTTCGCTTCCCATGCCACCCGCTCTAATGCCTCTCATGTGTTTGCGTCTCTCGCGTGCCTCTTTCTCTCTCCTGCCACCACGATCGTCACCACACCACCAGAGCTAACCCCCCTTATTATCGCACTTCCAGGTCCAGGCGGACATTGCAAAGCTACCGTTTGCGGTTCTGGAGGGTCCCGACGGAGGCTGCCTCATCAAAGTGCGCTACTGCAATGAGGACGCGATCTTCACTCCGGAGCAGGTGCGTCTGGCGGTGTTCCTCCCAGTGCCAGATGCGGGATTGCACCCGGCACCTCGCCAGATGCCGGCGCCCGGCGAGCCGGATGGGGGTGCTGCCTATCTATCCCCTGTCGCGGAGTCTCGGGATTCGGAGTTCCTAGCTCACAGCTAGGGCAGCGTGCAGGGCGCAAATGGGGGAGATGGGGGCTGTGGGTGTGGGCCATAACTCGGGTATGGGGCTGCTGGTGAGGCGACTGGTGTTGCGTGGACTTGGGCCGTCTCCCTCTGTGTTGAGAGATTCCGGGTCACCTTGATGGTTCTCACTAGCGGTTTTACATTACATGCTACTTTCTCCTCCTACTACTTTACTGCTTAGGGCGTATTTGGTTAGTGTTGGCATATCTGTGTGTGATTCCTACTCCCCCTCTGTGCCCCTCTGTGCGTAGGTGATGGCCATGATCCTGGTTGACTTGAAGCGAATTGCGGAGGCGGAGAGCGGCATTCCCGTGACCGACTGCGCCTTGTCGGTGCCCACCTACTTCACGGAGGCGGAGCGGTACGCCATGCTCAATGCTGCGCAGGTGCGGTGGGGAGTGGAGGAAAGAGGCTTGGGGGCTGACGGGATAGAAACGAACGTGGAAATAGGTTGGGGAGGAAATGCTTATATGGCGGAGGGTTGAGGTGGGTGCATGGGGTAGAAAGAAGCTTGCAACGGCAGGGATTTAGATTGGGCTTCACCAGGGGGTGCTTTTATCACGGGGAGCTGCTTGGGATGGGTGGAGTGGTTTGCAGGAAAGATGGAGTGCGGAGGGGGGAGTTTGTGGTGGCTTCATATCTGGGTGATGAATGGCAGGCGTGTATCGCTGTGGAGCGTTTCAGTGGAGACGAGGAAGGTGGAAGGGTGGAAAAATGGGACCGGAGATTTATACGACGTCGTGTGAATCCCCCGAACACCCGTGCAACCCCCGTGAACCCGTGTGCAGATTGCTGGTGTAAACTGCCTGCGTCTCATCAATGAAACGACCGCCACGGCCCTGGCGTATGGCATATACAAGACGGATTTGCCGGAGGCGGATCCCGTGCACGTGGTGTTTGTGGATGTAGGCCACTCGCACACCCAGGTGCGAGGGAGTCCACGTGGCGTGTAGGGGGCAAGGGGGGGAATCTGGAGGAACCACACCCGGGCGACGTGTGTTGGGCGTGAGGGAATTTGGGGCATGACCCACAACGTGTGGGGCTCGTAGGTGTAGGGTTGTGGGGTTTCAATGGGCAGCTGCTAGTCTCTCACCGCTACACATGTTAGGCCTCTGTCGTAGTTTTTAAGTAGTAGTAGTAAGGGGTAACCTGGGACGTGTCCTTTTGGTTTCTAACCCCATCCCCACCTGCAGTTCTGCTCGAGGTTGATTTGTCTTCCTTCCTACAGCCCCATTGCCAATCATCTTACGTCCCTGCGGCTGTTGCTGTTGCTGTTGTCAGGTGTCCGTGGTTTCTCTCCTGCGCAGCAAGCTCGTGGTGAAGTCCCATGCGTGGGACCGCAACCTGGGCGGCCGCGACTTTGATGAGGTGCTGTTCGACCACTTTGCCGCTGAGTTCAAGTGAGGCAGGGAGGGGGGCAGCAAGGGACGAGGGTGAAAGAGTTGGATGAATGGGCGGACGGACGGACGGACGAGGAGGGACTAGACGCGGATTGTGCATGGGCTCAGGGACACGGGATGGCGGGGATAACGGCTGCTGCCAACTTGCGGCGACTGCTGCTCTTCGAGTCCCCGTTTGAAGTTCCCGTTGGGTAGCTTATTGTATGGCTCCTGACAGGCCACGCGGGCTGCTTACACACCGTTTTGTTGGGAACGCGCAAAAACGCAAGCACAAAGTTGTACTCACAGCCCAACACACATGCAATTAACACACACCTTGCCCCTCCCCTGCCCCTGCCTTGCCACATTCGGCTGGCGTGCTCCTATTGCTCAGGGCCAAGACCAAGTTGGACATCCGTGCTAACAAGAAGGCCTCCTTCAAGCTGCGCACGGCCGTTGAGAAGGTAGGTAGGGTTTATTAGTAGGAGTAGGGGGGAATACATACAAAGCGTCTCTTGTTGGGCGGGAAGAAAGAGAGTTAGATAGGGACATGATGTGTAGGCCTCTCGGTCCGAAGTGCGGCGAGGTCGGACCGGGGGGCATTTGAGGCGATCCTCAGGGTGATGAGCTGCTGGGTTGTTTGACGTAGCTGGGTGGGCGTCATGGCGTCGACAGAGGTGACGCAGCGGCCACACCGGGGATGAGGAGCTTCCTTTCCCGTATCAACGAATGAAGCCACTTGCCACTTACCCAGGCCCCCCTTCCAAATACTATCTTTCGGTGCTTCTGGACTCCTTTCTGCTTCCTGTCGAAAGTGGCTTGATGTCCTGGCCTGCTGGCTGCGGGTCCGTTGCTGCTCTCGCTGTGGTCTCGGCGTGCTCGCAGGTTAAGAAGACGCTCAGTGCCAACAGCGAGGTGCCGCTCAACGTGGAATGCATCTTTGAGGATGAGGACCTGCGGTGCGTATGAAGGGTCGCATCGTGTGTGTGGCACGGCAAAGCAAGGCGGGTGGGGCCTGTGCGGAAAAGGAGTGGAGTATGGCTGTGAGGAGTCCAGCAGTGGGGGGACCGGGGGGTGTCTTCCTCCTTAGGTCGTTTTGGGCTTCCACCCTGAAAACAATCCCCATCGGGGCTCTCGGACCGGTCCTTCTCTTTCTGAAAGACGCGCTTCTGGAGAGACTGTATCGGTCAATCAGGCCAACGTATGCCAATTACCTTCCCCTTTCGTTCCCTGTCCAATCGCTCGTTGCTTGACAGCGGCAGCAGTAGTAGCAAATGCTGCCTCCCTTGTCGCTGTCCTTGACTGTTTTAAGCAGCCGGTTCCACACGTCTCACGTCCTCCGCGCTCCTCCCTACCTTCCCCCCGCAGCGGCATGATGACCCGCGAGCACTTTGAGCAGCTGGCGGAGCCCATCCTGGCCCGTCTGAGGGCGCCCATGGAGGACGCGCTGCGGGAGAGCAAGTTGTCGGTGGAGGACATTAGCAGCGTGGAGGTGGTGGGCTCTTGCACTCGCATGCCGGCGGTGTGCCGCATCGTAGAGGAAGTGTTTAAGAAGGTAAGCGGGTCAAGCTCGAGGAGGGATGATGGCCCCATGGGAGTGTCTGAATTACCAAGCAATGGGTGGTTGATTGAGTCATCATGATTGTTCTGGTAAAGCGAACTAATGGCGCACGAGCGCTGCAACAGCAATGGTGACGGAGTGGAGTCGAGTGGAGTGGAGTGGGTGTGGATTATGGGTTGTGATGAGGAAGTGAAAGTGGAGATTTCCTCCATTGTTGGTTGATGGGGATGACAAATTATTGATGAGGACAAAGAACAACATGGACCCAATTTTGAAGTGGAGTCAGCTGTGGTAATGATAAAACCCGACCCGTTTCTTGACCGCTTTTTAGTTGACGGGTGTCGTGCCAATTCCTCGCTGTTCCTGCAGGCCCCTAGCCGTACGATGAACAGCAAGGAGTGCGTCAGTCGCGGTGCCGCCCTCCAGTGCGCCATGCTGTCGCCCGTCTTCAAGGTGGGTAGTTGGTAGAGACCATGGAGCCCACTGCATGACACAGTAGCAACGCAGCAGCACAGCAAGCTGTGATGCCCCCTGCTTTCATGGCAGTGATGCTGTCTGTACACGGGCTGTTGGGAGCATGCTGCTCCGAGCAGCGAAACGCTGAAGGGCGCCATGTCTGCTGCATGGGGGATGTTTGCTGGCCCGGAGCTAGGAAAAGGGGTTCCAGAGTCCTTGGGACGAAACAATTTGCTGTGCTGTGCATAGCTTAAGGGCGGGCCCCTTCTGTTGTCGCGCCCCCTCAACCCTGCCTGCGACGCTGTCGCCGCTATGGCAGATTCCAGCAGGGCTGGGAACGATTTGCCTGGCTTCTTCCGTTGTTGTTCCGAAACAGCAACTGGTGAAGCGACATCCCTCCTGAGCTTCATTTATTGATTGCTTTGCCCACCCGTTCATAACTACTATTACCACGTCCATGTTGTCCATGGTATGTGCTGAAGCGGTACGAGGCGTTCGCGATAATTGTGTCAATTTTACCTGCAGCCATGAGAAACAAAAACCACATGTATGTGCGTTGCACGCAGGTTCGCGAGTTTGAGGTGGTTGATGCGGCTCCGTTGCCCGTGTGCATGTCCTGGGAGGGCAAGGATGGAGCGGCGGTCACTCAGGTGCTGTTTGCCCGAGGTAAGCCGGAGAACAGTCCAGCTTTGCGCAGCCCAGTCGGAACGAGTCCTAAGTCCCAGCGCAGCCCGTCCCGAATTGCCGGTTTTCCCCAGGTTGAGGTTCTAGCCAGAACCGAATAAGGATGCAGAGGGATCATGCAGAGGGATTATTTGATACGGGTATTGGACACATGAAAGGACGTCCGCAATATCGCATTGCTTGGCGCTCCACGACGCACCGGCAGCAGCCTCAATCCGCTGCCCGCGCAACGCAAACGCTTTTCGGCCATCGGCCTCGTGCCTTTCCTTCACCCCACCCGCTCCCCCGCCCTCCAACTCACTGTCAGGCGAGGCTTTCCCGAGCAGCAAGATGATTTCCTTCAACCGCTCTCAGCCCTTCACTGTCCGCGCGCATTACGCTCTGGACACGCCTCCGGAGTTGCTGCCGCCCGCGTTCGACAAGAACCTTGGCGTGTACACAATCGGGCCCTTCCAGGTTGGTGTGTTCGGGTCGAAACGGGTCCGATGCGTTGGGGGGCGAAGCGGACAGTTGTCACCACACCCCATCGGGGGAGAAGGTACCCGTTCGTGCACTTCCTAGATTGCCTGGCTGCCTTTTCCAGGCGAAGAACCGTCGGCGTTTTCGCAAAGGGGTGGGGCCGCTTGGGAAGGGCCCATCTGGAAGTGCATACGGTCGCGCTGTTGGCGTGAGCTTCTTCTCGACTGCTCGGCCGTGATCAACTGCGCTCCTTCCTTTCGATCCGCCGTCCGCTTTTTTTGACCTCAGGTCCCGGCAGGAGCCGAGACCGCCAAGCTCAAGGTCAAGGTGGAGCTCAACTTGCATGGCCTGATTCAAGTGCAGCAGGTGCAATCGATTGAGGAGACGGAGGAGGAGGTGAGAGCGGAGCGGGGTGCATGGACGCCGCCGGGGGGATGGGTGTTAGGGTTTTGCAGCTGCGCAGGGTTGCAAGGTGGATAGGTGGCTGGATAAGTTGGAAATCTAGTCATGACTTCCCGTTCTATTTCCTTCGTCTGGCGGTCCCTATCCCCCCAAAGTTACCAAGAACGTGTTTCAGACGTTTCCATGTCTCCCGTTGGGGCCTTGTCCATTAGAGGCTTTTGGAGCCCTGCGAATGATGTTTACAAATTACGCGCACGGTGACGAGGCTTAATTCATGTTCCTCGGTGTCCTGTTCCTTTTTGTCCCCGCGTCCTTAGGTGCCGCAGGCTCCAGCACCAGCGTCGACGCCTACAGCGGACGTGAAGATGGACGAGGCCGCCGCTGCCGCCGCCGCGTCAAGCAACGGCAACCCCGCCGGTACGCCGGATGCTGCCGCAGCAGGTGCTGGCACCGGCGCGGCGCGCATGGACACTGGGGCGGCACCGGCAGCGTCAGCGCCGGCCAGGAAGAAGAAGGTTAAGAAGACGGACGTGCCGTTCCAAGCCAGCAGTGTTTGCGGCTACAGCAAATCACAGCTGGATGACTACTTTGAGAAGGAGCACCAGATGCAGGCGGCGGATCGGCTTCAGGAGGAGACCAACGAGCGCAAAAACGCACTGGAAGGGTGAGAGGCGCAGTTGGAATATACTGTTGGCGATTGGGGGAGGGTGAGATTCGTGAACGGGGCAGTGGCATGATGGTTATGGCGGCATGGGTGATTGTGAGGGGGTGGATATTATTGTTGTGGCTGGGTTGTCGTACGGGTCTTGCCCCCTTGTGACTGGGTTGTACAGATTTTGCCCCTGCCAAGGATATAATAAAAGTTGCAGGTCGTAGATACGAAATAGTTGGGCACCTGGTATTCCAACATTCGGCTCCCATCTTTCCTCGTTGTTACTTTGTCCCTTGTCCCCGTTCCTGTGTAATCCCCGTCCGCGCAGGTATGTGTACGACCTGCGCAACAAGCTGTACGACGCCTATGCGCCGTACATCAAGGAGGCTGACAAGGAGGTGTTGCAGGGCCAGTTGACGGCCATGGAGGACTGGCTGTACGACGAGGGCGAGGACACCACCAAAAGTGTCTACATCGCCAAGTTGGACGAGCTGAAGGCCAAGGGGGCGCCTGTTGAGCGCAGGTGGGGCTGGTTGGGAGCTTGGATCTGATTGCATAGGCACTCCGGTAGATGTGTGTGGAGCGGTTGCATGGATATTGCCCCTGAAAGCGTATGTGGGTTCCTCTCATATTAATTTGTAGCCCGCCCGCTCGCATCAACCTGTCAATCTGTCCTTGTTCTGCCGCGTCTTGGCATGTCTCCATGCTGAATCCGTTGCTGCCGTCTGCGGTTCGCTGGGAATCTTTTAATGGTGGTGGTTATGCGCACACAGGTACGCGGAGGATCAGACTCGGGGATCTGCCGTGGAGGGGCTGCGATCCACCCTGGAGCACTACCGTTCACTGGCGCGCTCCGACCGGCCGCAGTACGCGCACATCTCCCCAGAGGAGCGCGCGACGGTGCTGAAGGAGTGCGACGCGGCGCAGGCATGGCTCGGTAAGGGCACTTTAAAGGAGGAGGCGGAGATTAAGAGGGGCAGCGGGGGAGCAGAGGAGGTGGCTACTCAGGCGGTATCGTAGCGGGTTTCATGGGAAGGGTTTCTGCACATGTGGACGCTAGGAAGCAGCAGGGTTGGGCGTGCTTAAGCGGAAGAATTAGGGTTTTGCGCATGGAGAAAGGGGGGAATGCTAGCGCTAGCGTCTTGCGAATGACCTACTTATGGCACGGCGAGCGCACCCGCTGAGGAGTGGGAGGGAGATTTGCATGGACGACGTTTCAGTGCCGTACAACGTCCTGTCGTGATTGCATATATGTGGAGATCATCACCCCTGTAGTGGCCTGCCTGCCGTCTGTGTGCCTGCAGCGGCTTATCTGCCGCGGCTTACCGCCAACGTAATCTCTTCATCCTCCGCCCGAGTGCAATACACTCCTTGCCATCACACCGCCCCGCCTGGAGTAACGTAATATGTACCGGCGCGGACTTGAGTCCTGTTGCCCATCTGCCACACACATCTGCCTCCACTATTCCAACCTCGTGTAACGGATAGCGATGTGTATGCCCCCGGCGTGTCGGCGCCCTTGCGTGCGCCTGCGGTCTTCTTCCCTTACAGACGAGCGGCTGGCGCTGCAAGCCAACCTGACCAAGGCGGACGAGCCGGCGCTCCTCACGGCGGACATCAACAAGAAGCGCGACACGGGTGAGCGTGTCTGTGTCTGTGTATTTGTCATCCTGCTATGCGTCTTATGGCACCGGCTTGTGTGGCGTCCCTGGCTATCTGCCAACACTAGCTCAAGCTCACGTAATACCACCGTCAGAAACGGTGTCTTCAGGGTTTGCAGCATGCCGGTGTGCCAGGGGGCCATCATCATGCAAAAAAGTGTTGCCTTTGGGTGAGCGTCCCAGCGTCTGAATACATCCGTTGGTGCACCCTGGCTCTCTGCAGTCGAGCGGGCATGCAAACCCATCATGAGTAAGCCAGCGCCGCCGCCACCAACGCCGCCACCCGCGGCGGCGTCGCCCGCGGCGGAGCCGGAGCCTATGGAGTCGGAGGCGACTCCGGGGCCGGAGGCTGGCTCGGCACCGGAGGCGGAGGCGGCCGCGGGTGCTGAGGCCTCGCAACCAATGGAGACCGGGAACTGAACCCCCCTGGTGTCGTCATGGTGACTGACCCCTCAGGACTCTTCCCGCAAAACGGCGACACGCTCCTCACCAGTTTTTCGGGACGAGATGAAACGGGATAGGAGAGGGACGTGGGATTGGCGCATTACTAGGTAGGAAGGCCCGGAGGGGCTTGCATGCACATCGAGGCATGGGGACGATAATGGGGTGGGCATAGAGCTGGCTTGTCCGTGGTTCGGGCTGAGGCTCCGGGGTTGGGGTTGAGAGATGAGTTTTGGTGCTCGACTGGGGTTGAGAGTTTGGGAGGAAGGGGTTGGACTTGAAGTAATGGAGGATCGCTGGGTCGGTAGGGTAAAGAACGCGATGTGACTCATTTGGATGTGTGGCTGCATCGTGTCGCGTGAACTCGGGGTGTTTGCGCGAACGCGGGGGATTTAGGGACCTGGATGAGAGCGAGGGGTCAGTGGTATGAGACCCGGTCGAGGCATGTTTCGAGGGGAGAACGATTTTTTTATTGCACAGTCGCGCGGCTTTTTGCAGGGCGACGAAGGCCGGGCGGCTGGCTGGCGGTATGTGCTAGCCCCGGTTTATAATAGCCGGCGGGCTTTCCAGGCGGGCAGCCAGCCAGCCAGCCGGCGGCTTGTCTGTTCCCTCCACCGAACGAGTTGTAAGACTGGGCTGATGACCTGCTCGAGAGTTGTGTAGCCCCGGACAGTCTTGGCGGCGCATGAGTGTGTAGCCTGCCTGTCCAGAAATCGCGTGCGTCTGCACGCAGCTTTTGCGTGGATGAAGGGGAGGCGAGGGATGGTCGTGGATGCGGCGGTAGTGCAGGTGATTGTGGGGACCAGACCTCTACCACATTAGGGATAGAACTCGGAAGCTGGAGTTCGACTTCTGCTGCTGTCGCAACAACAGCGAGTGCGTTCTGGGGATAGCGGTTGAGGTGGGACTTTGCTGCATCCGTGCGTGCACCATGGACCCGGCCGTCTCGCTGTCTTCTGGCAGGAAATTACTGCAGGTAAAACGTCGCGTCGACAAACGTTTTTGGCGATAATGGGAACGCCATCTTCCTGTAAAACGTGCATGCAGAATGGAATTTCGACACAGCGAAAGCCCGCCTGCTGGCGTCAGCTAGTTGTGTAGATCACCAAATAGCTTGGTTCGGTCGGTATCGTCGCAATGGTCGGCATCGGCAAGGTCACGAAGCAGGGAGAGGTCACCCCTGCCAGGAAGAGTGACGGTACGCACGTGTTCCAAATCCGGTGTAAAGGCCGTTTGCATGTGCTCCTCATCTTGTCCTACATATCGGTTACTTCGGACTCGTCAGCACACGCACTCCTGGCTACCGCATGTCTAATCATCGTCACGAACAGTTGAACGTAAAGTATCATCCTGCTTAGGGTTTTACACAACAGGTCGCCTTTTCACGCGACTGTTTGTACATCGGCATCACCTTCATACAGCTTAACTGAATGTCAACCTGTGACTACAATGCAGTGCACCGCGTAAGAACGCACTGACACCGCACGTGCCTCAACTAATGCTTAACGCGCACATCCTGAAGTAGATAATGCATGAAACGAAACACGCTATGCCAGTTTGTACATCGCCATTTGACACGGAAGGAGCAAGCACCCCTGAACAGTAGGGCATTATTGCCAACATCCCATCATTCTGGAGAAGGCGAAGCAGCAACCTCCGCAGCAGCAGCAACAGTCCTGCTGGCCGCAATCCGCTCCTGTAGCCACGGTTTCATAAGGTGCTGGTGCATCCACTGCCGTACCGCCTTTCGTACGGTGTCCGTTTCCACATGTCCAACGCCCTGCTCGACCATGAAGCAAAACCGCGAGTCCAGCAGCGCTTGAATGGCCAGCTCCTCGCGACGCTTCTCCTCTGCCGCCGCCGCCAGGGCTGCTGCACGCGCTGCTGCGGCTGCGGCTGCCGCTGCAGCGGCTGCCGCTGCCGCGGCTGCCGCGGCAGCAGCTGCCGCTGCCTCCGCAGCAGCGACAGCCGCTTCCTCCTCCACCACTGAAGTCGACACTACGAGCGCCGCCGCCATTGCCTCCCTCCACATATATCAATCAATGGCAATATAAGGCTTCTGACATAGTCACTAAAATCATAGTATTTCCCAACTGCTTTGGCATAGTGAACGGAAACCGATTTTCCAACTTCCCAACCGCCCTTCCCATTCAACAGCGGCCCAGCCACTAGCTTACAGCCACTAGTTTACAGAACAGCTGACAAGGAGGGGATGAACTTATGGCAATGGATTTTAATTGGGGCCATCCAGCAAGGTCTGGATTGGATGAAGCAGAGCCTGATAGCTGGGCTCGCTGGAGCGAGTGGGAGCGAGTGGGAGCTCATAGACGGGCTCAGAACAAGGGCTAGACCTCATATTAAAATCACAGTTAAGTTCTTGTCGAAATCCAGCGAATACATGCCATGCTTCTACTAAATTGTTTATCAGTTCATGTCGTCACCTACAGGTCTGTGTAGTCAATCTCATCCATTTGTTCGCCTTAGTCCGTGCTGCGTGCTCCTTTCCTTTCCGAATGCCTGCACGCACCGACATGATAGTCTTTTTTGCAGCTGCTTCGCTCTGATTCATTCATTATAATTGCTGCTAAAGCCCTTCCACTTCACATGATACTCACTCGAAGACAGAAGTCCGTTCGGATTTGGGCTTGACAGCCCTTACTTAACAGAGACTCCAATGTCACGGCTATGAATTAACTCTCCGTCCTTTTCAACTTAATCTCTAGGAGGTAAGCTCCAGGTTTGTGTTGAAGATGGGAAAATGCTTTGAGCTATGTTGCCAGTAATGACGTAGGAACAGCGGGAAGAGGACTGTCGTAATTGCCGGACAGACCGGTCCGTTCATAGGCCGTGTGTAAGCTCCCACTTGCGAAAGCTGCCACTTGCCAGCGAGCCCAGCTATCAGACTCTGCTTCATGCTGTCCAAATCGCACTGGATACCCCCCTGTGAAATCCATTGCTATGTGGTCATTCCCTCCTTGTCAGCTGTTCTGTCAACTGGGAGCTAGCGCCACACCAGTGGTTGGGCCGTTGTCGAATTGGAAGGGCGGTTGGGAGGTTGGGGGCCTTGGATAAATCGGTTATTACAGGTTTCCGTTCACTAAGGGAAAAGCAGTTGGGAAAACATTATGTGTACCCGAGTCACTGTGCCAGAGCTTTATGTTACCATCATTTAGCATCCGCTAGCAACTGTTCCAACGCCTCCCCTGCCTCCGAACCGCTGGCCGTGCAACTAACAGTAGCTGCAGCAGCACCCGTATCAGCAGCACCACCAAGATGACTGCCAACCCCGTCCGACGTGGTGGATTGGCTTCGGCTCTTAACGCTCCCCTCCGCACCGCCCCTGCTGCCGCTTTCCACTGCTGCCCCCGTCTCTACTCCGGACTCCCTCTCGTGATCCGCCTCCGCCTCCGCCTCCCCTTTCTCCGCTACACCCGTCGTATCTCTTCTCTCCTGGTTTGCCGCTTCCCCGGGACCTGGGCCCTCCAGAGTCGCCCGCGGGGTACTCCGCATCGAGGAGGAGGAGGGACCCCCCCCTGGCGCCACATCACCCAGGACACATCCCGATGACGCCTCCGCCGCGGGCTCTGCGGCCGCTTCGGCAGCTGCCACAGCCGCAGCGAACTCTGCCTGCATTTCCGCGGCCGCGGCAGCTTCGACGGCTGCTGCCGCCGCCATTTCCGCTGCCGCGGCTGCTGCCGCCGCCGCGGCCTCTACTTGCGCTGCCGCTGCTGCTGCCGCTTCGGCGGCGGCTGCCGCCATCGCGGCCTCCACTGCCGCGGCCGCGGCCGCTGCGGCAGCCTCCGCCTCCGCCTCCAGCTGCAGTCGACGCTGCTCCTTAGCCCAGTCCAGGTACACGGCCCGCGCGCTGTCGGCCGCTAGGGCAACGCCCGGCAGAGGGCACGACGGGTCCAGCTCGCCCGTCGTCAGCAGCAGCGGCCGGGGCGCGATGGTGCACAGGGACATGTGTGCGTCGTAGACTGACATGATGCCTGCGGCGGACATTGTCGTACACCGGCATTGGCTTGTCTCATGGGCCCCTCAAGGCTCGTGAGGGGTTTTGCCGCACCTGTACGGAGTGACGAGACTCGAGGTACAAACACACACACACACACACAGACTCACATACAAACTGACCACGCCAAGCGACTAAGTCCTGGCTCTGTATGTCATTCAGATTTGCGGTTGTTGGAGACAAAAGCCATACGGCTCTGTCGTACCAGGTAGCAGCTTGTTCCAGACCGCCGTCACGACCTCGCCGTCAACCTGCGGTGTTTTCCGGGGAGTGGTGGGTATGTCGACATGGGACAAGGAGGCGCGTGCGCGTGTGCGTCTTTCCATCTGGGTGCATCAAAGACTCGTTCAAAAGTGGATAATCCGCCACCACATGCAACATAGAGCTGAACGCAGGTTGCGGCATGAAGCCATACTTTTTACACCACATGCATACGTACGTACGACGTGAACACGTCATCATGTTTTACCCTCATGCTTCATTCACGACAAGATCACCTCATGGCCTACACACAAGTATTTACGGCACGATCAGGACGCCGACCGGCGATCATGCGCAGGTGTACGACATATGGCGTACGATCCTTAGAGTACGGCACTTGCAAATCTTTTACCTCGGCCGTTTTGGTACCCCGAAGGTCGCTCGCGGCGATCTCGAACACCAGAGGGTAACGGCCCACACGTGCATGGTACTGCTCGTTATCCACAGCCCAGCAAAAGCCCTGTACACCCGAACTCGGCGCCGCCACTGCGACCCGTGGGTCGATCACTGCCAACAGCCACGTGATGGTACCGCCCATGCTGAAGCCTGCAGCCAAGGAAAAGAATAAAGGACCGCACCGGTATCAGTGGCGGTGTCAGCCCCGGAGGGAACGCCGATCAAGACGCCAGGTAAATGCGTAACGGCAGCAGGACAGCTGGAAAGAGTGACGGCCGCCCGAAAGAGGGAGAAGGGATGGTCCCCCCGGGGCCAAGGGGTCGAGGGAGAGGAGGGAAGGAACCCCACCGGCAACCCAAGACGTGAGAGCAAAGGAAGCCGCCCGCTCCGAGTGAGGAGACGGGACGCCGCCACAGTGGGACTCATTCTAAACTGGAGCGCCGACGCTGCTGCGGAGTCGGAGCGCGTGCGTGGGCGATAGATAGGAAGCGCGACACGGCACGGCACGGCACGGCACGAACTATTACGGCATTTTTAAACGAAGCAAGGGGCGCCGGAAGGAAGAAATGAAGGGTTTTTGATTTTGTTACGCGCGCCATATTAAAACTAGCGTCGTGTGGAACAAGTAAAAAAAGTGATGGGGGAAAGAATCCAGGGATGTGTGTATTTCTTCCTCCTCACTCCATGGCCATCGCACATACACACACATATATGCAGCATTTGCCCCTTCTTCCCCCTATCCTTGGCATCAGCTTCACTCGTTCGTGGTTCGTCTTCCCCCGCACCCTTCCTTTTCATCTCGCAAAAGCAGCCATCACCACCACCGCCACCAGTTACACCCATCCGCCCAATCAACTACCACCAACCGACCAACCAACCTGCGGGTCTCGCACTCACCCGTAACGCCTACGCGAGTCATGTCCACTTCCGGTCGCATCGCCAATACGTCCAGTAGCAGCACCAGATCCCACACCGTATCCAAGAACAGCGGTTGCTCGCCCGAGCCCCGCCACGCCGCCGCCAGCGCCAGCTCGTACACGTTCCGGGCCGTAACTTTGTCGCTGCGCGCCACCGCAGCGCCGCGGTGGCCGTGCGTCAATGCCCAACGCGGCGGCGGCGCCGCCGCCTCAGCCGCGGCTGACGAGCCATCCCCGGAGGATGTCGGCACCGCTGCCGCTGTCGTCGCCGCTGCCTGCGCCGGCGGCGGCGGCGGCGGCGGTGCCGTGGCCAGTACGGCCGTAGTGGCTTCGGTGCTGCGTCGGTCGCGAAACTCCGACACGACCCCCAACCAGGCTTGTATGAACCGCTCGTGTGCCAGCATGCGTTCCCGCGCCTCCGCCTCCACGCGCGCCTCCGCCGCCGCCGTACGAGATCCCACCGGCGCCGACAGCCGCGTCGTCGCCGATCGCGCCATCGTCGGCGATGCCAGCAGCGAGGTGACGCTTGGCTCCGGAGGCGGCACCACCGGACCTGCGGCGGCCGCTGCCGGTGGCGGCGGCGGTGCCAGCCCAGCGGCAGCGTCGGCGCGCTCCAGCGCCGCCAGTACCTTTGGACTCAGGCCCTTTACCGTCGTCACCAGCGAAGCCGCCGCTGCTGTTTCACTCCCGCCGGCAGCGGCGCCGGGCGCGGCGGCCGCCGCCGTCAAGACCTTGGGTGCCACAGCATTAAGCGCCACGCCCACTTCGTACGGTAGGGCCGCGCGCTGGCCGTGGTAGCGGGCGTCAATGGCTGCCGTGAAGTAACCCATCCGCGCGTAAAGCTCTTGCTTAGGACGCACCACGTCCATGGTCTCGCCTGACACGACACGGGGAAAAAGTTGGCAAGAAGGAATGACCTGCCGGCTTCCAAAGGCGGAAGGCGGGAGTAGGGGGGAGAAAGGGTAGGAGGGAAACAGACCGAGTAGCAGACTGGTCACCAAGGGGGATATTTGAGGGTCCTCCCAACACAGCAAAGCAGTACAAAGCAGTACAAAGCAGTACAAAGCCTGCGGTCTGGCGTGCAACCCTCTCCACACCCCAAGTTGGGGGTGTCCGGGCCTTCATGCCCCCCTCACCCACCGGTCGCGTGCATAAAAATTACCACAGGTCGCCGTACAGCCCCTTGTAGCTCCGGTGCTTCGGAGCCCTTCCCTGGGCCCTCCTCCGGGCCCCCCTCCGCAGCCGCCTCCGACGGCTGTGACTGCTGCTGGGGTTGTTGTCGCAGTTGTGATGGCGGCCTTGACGGCGGCAGTTGTACCGGCGGCGGCGGGTCCGCTGGCGGCGGCGGCTCTGCTGGCGGCGGCGGCGTCTGTCTGTCGTCATGTGCGTCTTCATCGGGTCGTACTATGCGCAAGGGCACCCAGCCCTGCGGCCCCTCCTCCACATAGTACTCGAGCTCCTCAACCACCAAGCCTACCAGTAAGGGTGTGTGTGTGGGGGGGGGGGGAAAAGACGAACCACGAACGAGTGAAGCTGTGTGTGTCGGGTGGGCGGAGGGGAGAGGGCCCGGATACAAGAGCCCTTTCGATCCAAAACGAAGTATCCGACGTTTCGTGCCCCCAGAAAGAGCATGGAGGTACTTTCGCACGAACTAACCAAATATTGCTCCGGGATGATAGGATTATAGTTCTGAACGACAGTACGGCATGCATTCCGTCACCGCTCCGGAACCCACCTGGTGGGCTTGGAGACGGCGTGGGCCACCGGAATACCGCGGCGTTCACCTGAACCCGGGGAGTGAGCGACATGCGGGGCGAAGGCGCGCATCGTTACGGAGAGGCGGGTGTTAGTTTTGTAAGGTTTCAACAAGGCACACAGAGGTTTTAGGTGCTGCTGTTGCTGGTGCTGCTTCCGCAACTTAAGGCTCCGGGGGGCCGAGAGCAGTCATACGCAAAGGCCTTCGGGGAGAAGGTCAGGCAAGCAACGAGCACTGCGCTCCTCGCTTCTGCAGAGTGTTTTTGCAGAGGCGCGAACGGTTCGCATTCTGGTCCTATGGCGTCCAGTACGGCCTGCTTGCAGAAGAATTCTGTGTCGGAAGGTAGGATATCCATACGGCACCGGAGGTAGGAAATCCCAACGTGGGGCCTTGTTTCTAAGCGCTACCAGTCCCCGAAAACTGTAACCATTCCAACAACTTACAACAGGTGGTGAGTGCCTCTCCCTCCCGCGCTGCACAGCCCTAAAAAGGATGTCGGCAACGCCCATCGGTGCAACGTTTCGCGCGTTACGCTAGTTCCGAAGGCCGGTTACGCAAATTGAGCTGTTCTGGGGACACATATGTCTCTTCCTTTTCCTTACATGGAAGACGCTTCGTCAGCCTTCTTTACTTCATTTTCTCCTAAGGATTAATCGCATCTTTCGCATCTTTAAGCACAACTAGCATATGAAGATGAAATAATTCATCTTTTGTAAGCAGTTCGGTTTGTGGCTCTCATGGCTCGTCGTCTGCGGCACTTTTAGCGTGTCGTGGAGCACCCTACCATCTGTTCAGCGTAGTGAATCACCCAAGTCTTACACACTTTGTATTAGCACTTTCATACTAGACACATATCCAATTGGCTGCTGACCGACACAGTTGCCCTTGGGCACGAACCCGCCTCACTGATTCTGCCAGCAGACGCTCGTTGGCCTTTCAACACCCCAAGATGACGACAGACCAGCCTGATACAAATCAATTAAGCTTTGGTCTAGATGATACGCATCTTGGCATCAAGTTGAAATCCCAAAAACTGTTGGTTGGGCCCCTTGAGCTGGGTTTCTCGGCTTGTTACACGCTCTCTGACTCAAAAGAGGCGGGCGACAAGCAGCCTCTTGCCAGCATAGAAAGGTTCAAGCCGTTTCTTATCGTCAAGGTGCGTGCAGATTGAGGCTTGACCGAACGTCCTTCGCCTGATGTTCAAGACGTCGCTATGTATGCTTTATAAAAAAGATCATTAATGGTCCTTGCTGGCTCGCATCTCCTGCGTTGCTTCGGCTTCCTGTGAAAGCTGTCATTTCTGCGTTGTCGGCCACCCTGCGCATCTGACACTGCCATTTCGCCATTACCAGGATGTTTACTTTCGGGGCAAGTTTGAGTTGGAACCACAGAGTCGCCGCCTCCATTACAGGTATGGTAAGCCTTGTGGATGCTTGCGAGATAGATTTCGCTGTCTACCTCGAACACATATCCTTCCGCTGTTGTTCTTTACATTGGCCTAAAAGCTGAAGTAGCCAAGAACTAATTTCCATGGAACTCAGACCCAACCCTGGGGTCTGCTGCTTTTGCCGGCTGACCCGTGGGTCATGTGCTGCTGCCCTTCTCCCCCGTATTACACACAAATACTATGTCCCATAACCCCCAAACCCACTGCCTATGCAGCAAGAAGTTCCGCCTGCCCTTCCTGAACACTGATCTGTTCAAGCTGCGGCTTACGGCACAGCTGCCGGCACCTGAGGCGGCGGGTGGCGTCCTTGGTCGCGCACTGAGCCTGACAGTGGCTTTCCAGCCAGAGCGCTCGTACAGACGTTCAGTCGTGCGCAAGGCGCCCGATTATGCGCTGCAGCTGTCGCCGCGGTTGGGCGCTCCACAGGTGGTTTACGACACGATTGGCTTTCCTGGGAGCGTCTACCTGAAGGTGCGAATGTAGTGCAGCATCATGTCAGGATAATTCGGCATCTCCTGGTCTGTTCACTCTGTTCATTACATTGTTCGGAGGTACACGGGCCGTACCCGTTCTGCATGGACGCACACGGGGCGAAAACCGGCCCCTTTTAGTGGATTGGTATGTGGTCGGCGTTGCGGGACGGCGGTCGGAGGGGAACCGCTGCCGACTGCTGCATGCCCTTAGAGGCTATGCAGGTCGTTCATTGGCACTGCCGCCCAATAGCAGGCACATTCCGCACGTGCCCTGCCTTCCCCCCTAGACACAGCCGCGTGCCGAAGGACTCAGAGGATCCGGCGGTGGAAACTCCCCCGTCCTTTGGGTCCTTTTCCTGTTTTCTTCCTTCTTTTCAGCAGCCCGTCTTCCTGAACCCGAACCCTAAGTACTCCTGAGGAACTCCACCCGAGTCTGTCCCTGTACCTCTCGCACATCTTTTACGGCTGTCTGGTTCGTTCGCTGTGCTGTAGGCCAACACCACTCTCCACGTGTCGGACTCGGCGGCGATCAGCGGCCTGCGTGCACGTCTGGACGTCCACAGCCTCAACGCCGTCATCCGGCTGTACGACCCGGCAACCGTCAAGCCCTGCCGCGTGGGGAAGAACCTGTCGTGCGCGGCACGGTCGCTGCTGCGCGAGGAAGTGGAGGAGGAAACTCCCCGGCAGATGCCCCCCGTGGTGGTGGTGGAGCCGGCAGCACCGCCGCAGCCCGACGTGATCGACCGGCTGTCGGCCACGGCCCGCGAGTGGGCTCACGCGGTGCTCGTCAACTCCTGCGTGGCTACAAGGAACCTGCAGGACAAGGCGATGTTGGCGGCGGAGCGTGTCAGGGAGTACGTCACTGGTGGCGGCAGTGGCGACATCTCCACCAGCAGCGCCGCTGCTGGCACCGGAATCCGCGTGAGGTAGAGTGGTAATGGTGAAGGCTGCGCCACTCTTGGGCTCAGTTGGGTTGGTGCCGGGGATGAGATATGCCATGTGTGAAGGGGCAAGGGGAAGAGGAGGAGGAGGAGGAGGGAGGGACAGCGCTGGTGTCGGTGCTGCGTCAGACACGTCAGATTTGCCTCTCGTGACCTGGATGTAGCCGCAGTAGCCTGGGGGAGATGTGCGAGGGGACCCGCACATCAGTGTGGCAACATGGGGGAGGAGAACGATGAGGATATGAGGATAATGCTGAGGATATGAGGACGATGATGATGACGATTCAGTGCGGGGCTGTTAGATTAGCAGCCTCTTTGCTCCTGTTTTGCTGTGTTTCCGCCTTTCCATGCTCTTACTGGAAGGAAGATGGAACGGGTTAGCCGGTGGTGGAGCGAATGGAGGAAGGTATAATAGGGGCTGAGGCGGCGGCTGCGGCGGCAGCAGGAAATTGTGTCTGTTGAGTAGGTATGTGTTGCGTGATGAGCGTGTTGCACTGCCCAGGCAGGAAACCCGTTTCTTTTTTTGGAGTATGCACCTGTGCTGGCGGGGATCTGTATTCCTGCTAAGGGCCGCTTTGGTTGTGTGCTTTGTATCTTTTCCTAGGTGCGTGTTCTCTTCTTCATACTCGTAAGGACCGATATTTCTTCTGGGTGTCCTTATTACAGCTGTCTAAAACCGCTGGGTAGTGCTGACATCGTCGACTGATATCGCTGCATGCGCGTTCATTCTATGGATTAATTGTGTGTTATGCATCTCGTCTCGTTTGAGATGTATCCTTTTAGAGAGAAGACTGCCTGGTATCTCCGCCGCGCAAGCGGTTACTGTCGTAGCATTTGGCATGAGGCCAAGCTGCCAAGGTGATGGGTGGAGGCAATGGATGCGCGGATGCCGAGCCCTAAGAATAGCGACGTCTTGGTTCGCTTGGGTTTTTAAATCTACACCGTATGCTCGTTTCCGAGCTTGCTGTTGGGTCCCGGCTGGCCTCGAGGGCGTTTTCGAGGGTGCTAGAGGTGGCGCCTGAGAGCCGCGCCGTGTTCTCCTCCGCGCATCCTGCTGCCATGTGCTATCCCTGGCGCTGAGGGCCTGCTTTATTCTTTTTCTTTCGGCACGCTACGGCGCCGGTGCCGGGCCTTCCAAAAAGCGCCCTGCGCCTGAATTCTGGAAGGACACCGGTGGCGTGCGTCCCTGCGGTTATGAAGGCCGACCGGTGGAGACTGGATTGTTCGTTCGTATGGATTCGCTCTTCTTCTTTTTGCCGGTTCGGTTCGGTGAAAATCCAACTTTTTTGCTTAGTCCAGATATTTTCCATTGCTAAAAGTTCCCTTAAACCTTTCTTTTCTTTACGCATGGCAGATTTTGTGGTAGCGCATCCGCATCTTCCCTCTGGATTTAATTGGGAGGTGCATCTTTTTTTTATTCAGTCATTTGCATCCGTACTTTTAAACATTGGTTTTTAACGTACTTAACGGTCGTCGCTGCCGCAGCCATCACCACCGCCTTCTTGGTCTGAGGTGTTAAGGGCGGGTAGAAGTGTCCTTATGTGGAGTCCCCATGCAGGTCCTAAGTGACGAGGAAAAGCGGAGTCGCTCGGGCCAGCCGTAAGTACCCGCCTGGAGTCCTCTCACGGCTCAATTCTCGGCTACGATCGGTCGCCACTCTGACCGCAGCTACCTGACTCGCATTAATTCGGTGGCTGGCGCTGGCGTCAATCAGCTGTCCGACTCCCAAAAGTCCACACACACCAGCACACAGCCACGATCACGGAAACGCGACACGTCTTGACGAGACTATCAAAGTATCGGAGCAATGGACTGACTTATCACGGACGAAAGTCACAATAGTCGTGAATCGCCCACTGCAGTCTCTTCGTGTCGACCTAACCCGGACAGGCGGATATCAGGCCTCCCGTCCTGCAATTACATAACAGCCCCAAGGCTTTTTACTGGCACAACTGATACTGCAGGCAAGACGGGAGGAGGGAAGCTGCGAAACACGTAAGCTGCATAGCTGTGTATATATGTATGTATGTACGCTGGTGTGCGGCCACCTTCAGAGCTTTGCCGCCGCCGCATCCCCTACAGCACCGGCATCAGGAGCGGAGGGCGGCAGGGACCCGTCCTCCAGCATGTTCATTACCCCCCGTTTGGAGGCCTTGGTGATGGGCATCACGTGCAGTCCAGCCGCACATCCTCGCTCCAAAACCTGCACACGACGCCGCACGGTCAGCCGGTCATCAGACAGGACTTTGTAGTGGTGGGGACTAAGACGACCTCGCGGTATCGCCCTAAAGTGGGTTGTCAGCCTGGTGTGAGGACTTGAACGTGGCGGTGGCCTTAGGGTACAAGCAGGGGTAGCTGACATAGGGGATTAATTATCAAGACCCAGCGTCTGGGCGCCGCCAATCGGGGTCGTAGGCGAGCTCGTAACGACTAAACAAGTTAAAACGCAATCGGGACATCTTGCCGGAATGTACATCAGTCCCCCTGGCTAGTAATGGAAACTCTTACCCATCCGGTCCTTACCTCTTTACCTCACCTGTCTCTAAACCCTCCTCCGTCTCACCCTGCCACGCATTCCCAGCCCCCAAACAATTCCCCACACATACTCACCTGTCGCACTAGCCGCCTGTTGTACTCTGCGAAATGCCGTGCGGCCGCCTCGGCACCCCCCTGAAGCTCCACTTTCGCAGCTTCAGAAACAAGAGCCTTCGCCGCCTTCGAGCCCCCACAGCCACTGAGGCTGATCCAGAAGGTCAGATTGGCTGTGGAGCTGAGCATCGGATGACCAACGAGAAGCCTCAGCGGCCCCGCGCCGCGAGCACCAACCATGCCGGTCGCGCTACTGCTGCTGTTCCTGCTACTGCTACTGCTACTGCCGCTCGTGCCGGTCTTGTCGCCTATAGAATCCGAATGCGCTTGAGTTGTGGCATCTGGGTAGAACTGTTTCGTTGCGAGGAGGGGGTTGGCCGATGACAACAATGACGATGACGGTAATGGTGTCTGAGAGGATGATGATGTCTGTATTCGCGATAATGGTGGTGATGGTGGGGGCTGCAGCTGCAGATGTAGCGGAGGAGGAGGAGCTGCTGGTCGCAGTAGTCCCCTTCGCTCCGCATCCGCTAGCCAGGTCAGGTAGGCTGGCCAATCCAGGGGGGGCTGGGTCAGGACGACACTGGCGCCTAGCAAGGCCTGCGCTGGAAGCGTTACAAAATGCCTCATGAGTCGCGTCACTGAGAGGCCGCCGTTGCCGTGTTTGCGTTTGTGTGACCACGGGGGCAGACACACAATGGAATGTGTGGACTTTTCGCTGTGCAATGAGTTTGTTGAGACAAGGTAACTCCGTTGCGTAAGTTTATTTAGAAGAAGCATACTTGCGCGTGTAGTAGTAAAAGTAACGTATGATAGCGAAGAACATAATAGTACGTCCGTGCACGAACTGAGTCTCATGTGTACATGCCCGTCCCTGCGCCGTCTTCTCTCCACTCTCCCGCGCATGGTGCTTGTCATCCCCCACCCTTTCAACCCCGGTCAAACCCAGTCAACCAGTCACCCACCCACCTTAGCCTCCAGAAGCGCCGCACTCGGCTCCGTGTTGGGATTCGCCACCACCCAGAGCTGAGTGTCAGGGGGAAGGTAACCCCTCCGCCGCAGCCGCTGAGCCAGCCGCAGTGTGTCCAGGCTGCTGTACAGGAACCTGCAGGTGGTACCCGGGGGGGTTACGGAGGAATCGGAAGAGGTAGGAAGGTGGTAGCCGAGAAGTGGGGAAACGGGGGGCCAATCTCTGCCCCATACGCACCACATTGGAGGGCCCGCATCACGGCTCAGATAAACCAAAACCCAACCCAGCCCAGCCTCCAGGGGATTTGAGGTTCGGGCTGCATTACCTGGACACAAGTGGGAGCGAGCGGACCGGGTGCGAGCCCGAAACGCACAACAGCGCATCGGCACGCTGACCGCCTGCGAACACAGCGCCGTCGCCGGCGGTCGCCACCAGACGGCGCTCGATATCGTACTCGCTGCGCAGGTTGGCGGCGGCGGTGACGACTTTGAGGGCGCCGGGCCGGGTGGTGTAGTGCGTGACGGCGGGTGCTGAGTGGTCGGCGGTGGAGTTAGCGGAATCGGTGGCATTGAGACCCCTGTTTGGTTGCATGAGCGCAGTATGCTGCTTTAGGGCAATAATTAGAATACAAACCAGGGAGGGAGAGAGGAAAGGAAAGACACCAATTATATATGCGGGTGTGTTGCATGAGTGGCACATTGTCTGGGTGCAAAGATATGGCCGGGAATGGCCGGGGTTGGCTTCTACATGCAACACGGATTTCCCGCAACGACAAGTTGTCTACACACTCAATAATCCCCACTGCTATCCAGCCGGCCAGACAGACTGACAGATAGATAGACATGGAGGCATACGGACAGACAGACGTACCCCCTCAGCGCCTTGGCGAGATTCTGCCAGGTGGTCGCGATGGGCAAATCGGGAAACACTTCCGCGCAGAAGGCCCCGGTGGCCTGGAGCTCAGCCTCCGCGCCGTACGCCTTGCCGATGCCCCGCTCCAGGGAAAGCATCCAGGAGGTGTCCAGGTACCCGACGGCTGGGGAGTTGGAGTTGGAGGAGGAGGCGGAGGAGAAGGCGGATCGGAGCGAGGTGGGGTTTGCTTGGGTGAGGCGTGGCGGCACCAGAAGGAGTCTTGAGATGGTGGTGGGATGGGCCATGGGGGATGGAAAGGGTGAGGCAGTTGGCGCTAAGGTGCGCAGGTGGCGAGTGGAAGACGTGGGGAGCTTAAAGCAGGGGCGGACCGAAACAGCGTCCATGCGGGGGCTTGAAGGAAATTAAACAGGAGCGTTAGGTTGGTGCCATCTAGGTCTTGACGCTGACAGCAGGAGGAGGTGCGTGGCAACGAAGTTGTTTGTTGGAAGGAAAAGGAAAAATAGTTTGATTGGGTTTGGCTCCGTAACCTTGATGCAGCGGCTATCTGTGTTTTCCAAAGGAGTAAAACGTTATATTACACCGATAAGTGGTGAAAATTAGTTGGAAGCAGGCTTTTGCGTACTGCTGTGCGAGCAAGTAATGTAGCAGTACTCGACTTCTCCTGTGTTCCGCACGACAGGTGACCAGGGCCGATTGCCACCCAAGCTTTGATCACTGCTCACAGTTAGGGACCTCGATATTTTGGCATATGGTTTATCCTTAAGTTTAATTGTCGAATTACCCCCTACACAGTATGGCATCGTGGCAGTAGCTGAACCGGACGGGCTAGGCTCCGTAGTAAAGTGAAAGATGTCTATTCGCTTGCGTGACCTGATCAAGGCGGTTCGCGCCTGCAAGACCGCAGCTGAAGAGCGCGAGGTCATTGCGAAGGAGAGCGCTGCACTTCGCGAGGCATTTAGGGAACAAGACCAGTCATATAGGCACCGAAATGTTGCTAAGCTTATGTACATTCACATGCTGGGCTACCCCACGCACTTCGGCCAAATGGAGACGCTTAAGCTCATCGCAGGGTCGGGCTTTCCAGAGAAGGTTAGGTGTAACATCATGTTTCTTAGACAGATACTGGAGTTAGCTTAAAATTCTGGCGGCCTTGCCTAACTTCGTGGATGACAATCCTCCTCGCAGCGTATGGGATACCTGGGGCTAATGATCTTGCTCGACGAGCGACAGGAGGTGCTTATGTTGGTGACGAATTCTTTAAAAATGGACCTGAACAACACGAAAAATATGTACATTGTCGGTTTGGCTCTGGTCGCCCTGGGGAACATCTGCTCTGCTGGTGAGCCCTTGTGTTTTTCCTTTCGCCCTCGCGTGTAATCTCGCTGAACCAACACTCCTGAAGCGTACATTTTGAGGGGACTTGCAGACGGGGGATGTGTTGACATGCGGTCATATCTCCGCAGAAATGGCCAGGGATCTGGCGCCAGACGTGGAGAAGCTCATGGACTGCCCTGCACCGTATATCCGAAAGAAGGCTGCCCTCTGTGCGCTCAGGTGGGTGTAAAGAACAACAGCTATAAAGACCCCCGGTCGCTCCCCGCGCCCATTTCCCCGTCCATGTCCCTGTCCATCACGTCCCCTCCTCATCCCCTTTCACCCCCCTGATCTTCTGCTGATCCCCAAAACGTGGCGCTTCCTGTTGATCCCCAAACATGACACCACCACCTTCTGCTGCGCACCTCACGGTCACGGCGATGACCCCCCTACCTAGGGTTATCAAAAAGGTTCCGGAGCTTCTCGAGCAGTTTGTGGACAAGACCGCGGAGCTTCTCAATGATCGCAACCAGGCGGTGGTGCTCAGCGGAGTAACACTCATGCTGCAGGTGTGTATGGGCGTATGCTTGGTCTACCTAGGGTTTTGACGCTTGTATCTGTGTCTCTCTCTGTGTCTCTCTCTGTGTCTGTGTGTGCGTATGTGTGTAAGTAATGAGTACACAGGTGGTTTGTGAGGAGGAAAGGGGGGGTCTCCGGTACGGGGTTTAGCAAGGGGCTGGGTTTGGCCGATTGCATGCAAGTCGCACTGTTGGCCATGTCATGATGACCATGATGACCACATGACAGAGAGGTCTCTTGAGAGACTGGTCCAGAACGACCCCTCCGGACAACGGAGCTCTCTGATGTGGTAACCAGTACCACCTCACCACGTACCTGGCGGGGACTTGGGAACACAGTAAGGGATTAGGCTGCTGGACATGGCGGTATTGGTCAACAATGAGGGGCCCGTCCAGGGCCTGATGCTGATGGGGCCGTTGCACCGGGCCAAATATTTATCGCCAAATATTACACACACACCAGGGCCACCACCATCAGGTTATATAAAAATCTTATTATTAAAACTGCTCCTTGTCTCTGTTCGCCCAACCGTTTACCCTCCATCTGTAATTAAGTACCAATAAAACCCTTTTTGCAACCTTGCTACCCCTTGCTCGCTCCCTTTCCCGTCTAGATTTTGGAGCTGGATCCCTCCGTGGTGGACAAGTACCGCCCCACGGTGCCGTCCTTGTGTCGCATCCTGCGCAGCTTGCTGCAGGCAGGGGTGTCTCCGGAGCATGACATCGGGGGCATCACCAATCCCTTCCTGCAGGTGTGGCTGCGAGTAATAGTCGTCGTGCATGAGGTCTGATGGTGGGCGGTGGATGGGGGAGGCTTATGATTTTGCGTTTGCGTGTGTGGGGGGGAGAGAAGAAGCAGAGCTGGGGTCGCGCATGTGGCTGTGGATGGGGGCCTTAGGGTTTGTGGGGGTTATTTGTACACCTTCTTGGCACGGATCTCTGCGACTACTACTCTTTCTGGTCAGCCTGGGGGTTCGGGTTCGGGGTCTTAGGTGGTAGTGGGAATGGGCCGGGGCGAGCAGTGGGCTTGACAATGGCCTGACTGCTGACCATGATGGGGAGGTTTAAGGAGGCTGACAGCTACCCGCCGGCTGCTTGGTTCACTGGTTGGCTGGACTTGGTATCCGTGGTGCAGGTGAAGCTGCTGCGGCTGTTGCGGCTGCTGGGTCGGGGCCACGCGGAGTCGAGTGACGCAATGAGCGACATCCTGGCGCAGGTGAGAGAGTGTCCTGCTTCAGGCCTTTTCCTGACGACCTGGCGGCGGTGCTCGCACGTGCGAGGTTCGCACTTCAGGATGGGGCAGCATTGGAGCTGCATGGCCGGAATGGTGGCACCTACCTGGGGGGTACGTGTCTGCATGCGGAAATGCAGGAAATGATACCTCTAATGGGGGATATGTGGGGCATGGGGCGTACGTGGGGCCGCCCAAGAGGGGCGTGTGTGGTGGTGGGGGGGGCGTTTGCGTCGTGCACGAATCGTGCATGTTTCCCCTCGCTCTCCCTTGCTGTGTCCCTTTCCCTCACCTCCACCCTTGTCGTGTTTGTGTGCGTACCTGCGTGTGTGTCCCTTCCCGCGCGTGCGTGCGGGGACTCTTGTGTTTTACGCGTCCGGCAACCCCCAGGTTGCCTCCAATATTGAGGGCAGTCGCAACGCCGGTAACGCTATCCTCTATGAGTGCGTCCAAACCATCATGGGCATTGAGTCCATTGGCGGCCTGCGTGTGTTAGCCATCAACATCCTGGGTCGCTTCCTGTCCAACAAGGACAACAACATCCGATACGTGGCGCTGAACACGCTTGCCAAAGTGGTATCGGTGGATACGCAGGTAGGGAAGAAGGGGTTGGGAGCATCGGATGAGGATGGAAAAGCGTGTGGGCCATGGCGTGGGGGAGCTGATGATGGAGATGAGGGGTTTATGAATAAGGCAGGGGATTTGCAGGGAGTGCGGGACATGGACGGGGGTTGGATCATCGAACCTTACCGACGTGGCGTGTGTCGACGCCCGCGGTCTCTCCCTCCCCACACAGAGAGGTCCTGCTGTTCCTTGCACTTAGCTAACTGTTGGGGGCTGCTGCCTGTTTCCACCTCCCCCGGTCTGCCTGGTCCCTTCTTCTCCCCCACGCGGCCCCTTCTGCCTTCTTCGCCCCTCCGCCTACCCTTCAAAAAGTTCCGTACTGGGGCACCGGGGTTCGCCACGTTTCGGTGGCGTCTGGGGTTTCGCTTGGCCGTGTCGTTTCTCCCCCTTGACCGAATAAGCAAAACCCCCTCACGGCACAAATCAACACCTTCCCCACACTTCCCCCACACCTTCCCCTGTGACGGGTTGCCGCCACGGACCCCGGACACCACAGGCCGTCCAGCGGCACCGCGCCACCATCGTGGAGTGCGTCAAGGACGCGGACGTGTCTATCCGCCGTCGGGCCCTGGAGCTGGTGTACTCGCTGGTGAACGAGGCCAACATCCGGACCCTGACGAGGGAGCTGCTGGACTACCTGGCGGTCAGCGATGCCGAGTTCAAGCCCGACCTGACCGCCAAGATATGCATGCTCATTCAGAGGTGTGAGGCGTAGTGTGCAGAGAGCGTTGCGCTGCTGCTGCTGGGAACGGGAAGAGGGGAGTTAAGAGAATATCGGGAGGCGATGAAACGGGAGGAAACAGGGAGGAGTTTAGGGTTTAAGAGTTTAGGGTTTGTCGTCTGTAGTTATCTGTATGTTTGTCATCCCTCCGTGTTCTCCCCATCACCCTTCCACTCTTCCTTGGGAACTTGCGACTCCGTAATTCGAATCTTGTCGAATCTTGTATACCTTTTCCCCGCCCTTCCCGCCACCTTGGTCCAGGTTCGCTCCCGACCGGCGGTGGTACTTCGACCAGCTGATTGCGGTGATGATGCAGGTGGGGGCTGGTGTGGGATCGCGGGGGGGGGCTGCGGGATAGGAGAGGGGGTTCGGGATAGCGAGTAGGTTTCGAGGTGTAGGGCGCATGTGTTACTTGTTGACACCCATTCAGCGAAAACACACTTCGCCCCGCCTTACCCGCTTCCCCCCTTCCATTCGCTCGTGGTTCGTCTTTCCCCCTCTTACACCCTCACGACGCTCAACCCTCAGGCCGGCGCATATGTCAAGGACGAGGTGGCCCGCGCCATGCTCGTCCACCTGACCAACACACCAGACCTGCAGGCCTATGCCACACGGGCCTTTTATCGGGCTCTGGTCGCCAACGTGGATGGAGCGGCTCCGACGCTGCTTCACACGGCGGTGTGGGTGATTGGCGAGTACGGGGAGATGCTGCTGCCCTCCATGGGTGGTCCCCTTCTGGAGGGGGAGCCGCAGTTGGCGGTCAGCGACACGGAGGTACGCGGCCTCTTCGCGGTAGCGGCAATCTGGGCCAGCCGCAGGGACTAAGGGGGGTAGAGCCGTTGGCAGGAATGAACGTCAGGGTCATGTAACGGGTGGGGAGCCTGCCTAGTACAGAGTACAAAAAAGGCAGTTACGACAGTTACGGCAAAATTGCGCAGGGGGGGTGGCTTAGTTGGCTGATCCCTACAATTACTCCTCTTCTTCTTCTTTTTCTTCCCTTGGCAGGTCTTGAATCCTCCCGTCCATTCCTCGATGTGCATCGAATTTGGTTCAACCAGCCTAACGCCGGTCACCCCGCTCCCCCGCGGAGCCCTCTTGCCCTGGCAGCAGCTTCACTCGTTTGTGGTTCGTCTTTCCCCCGCGGCACGCAGGTGGTGTCTCTGTTGGAAACAGTCGTCCGGCGGCACCGCTCCGAGCCGGCTGCAGTGGAGCACGCGCTGACTGCCGCCATGAAGCTCACTGCGCGGCTGCCCGCACAGGTCGGCCGCCTGAAGACCCTCATCGCCCGCTTCACCACCTGCACACAGCTGGATGTGCAGACCAGGCGAGTGGGGCCCGGGAGCTGGTGGGTGCATGCGTGGATGGGGGGCCATTCGGAATCGGACCAATCGGTGCAATGCGAACACATGCCTGGGTTGAAATTGAAACCGTAGGATTGCGACGCTATAACCGCATATTGTTGTGCGTGATGTAATCCTATGTACAGGTCATGCGAGTACGGCAAGGTTTTCTCCCACGAGCGCATCCGGCCGCAGCTGTTGGAGCGTATGCCGGCTCTGGACGAGGCGGAGTACCTGCGATCCAACAACCTAGAAGGTCCGGCGTCGGCGCCCGGATCCGCCTCCGTGTCGTCGGGCGGCGCGCGCCGGACGAACGGCGTCAGCACCGGCGGCAGTGCCACCGCCGCAACCGGGGCGGCTCCGGCTGCCAAGCCGGCAGCGACTGGGACTGATCTTCTCGGCGGCCTGGACGTGCTGGGTGAGAGCCCCGTGGGGATGGTGAAGTGGGGAAACAGGGTTGCAGATTGGGCGCATTGCCGCATGTTATTTCTTAATTCGGGGTTAAGGACTGGGAAACCAGGAGGCGGGGTTGCTGGTTTCTCTCCAAACGTGTTGTTGGGGGCCCGTTGGATTGTGGTGGGGTTGCAGGACAGGATGGAAAGATTGGTCGGGAGTTGGCTAGTAGTACCGAGTGGGGTAGTTTATGCAAGTTCGGGCTAGGTTCACAGCCTGTGTTGCGTGAGGTGGCCGCCCTTCCCCGCCCTTCCCCTCTACATGCGAGTGTCTCTTCCGTTTCCAAGGAGCGTACCTGTCTGTCCATCCCTCGCGTGTGCGGGTGTGTCAGTACGTATGTATGTCCCTGTCTGTCTGTATGTGTCTGCGGCTTTGTACCAGGTGGCGGTACCGCAGCTGTGGGGGCCCCTGTTAGCAAAGCCCTGGTGGATGACCTGGATGCGCTGCTGGGCGGAGTGCCGGCGGCGGCACCGCCGGTCGCCTCGACCGCCGCTGCCGCCGGCGTGGCGGCTCCGGCCCCACCGGCCGTATCTGACGACCTACTCAACCTGCTGGGTGTCGGGCTGGGCCCGGCGCCGCCCGGTGCTCCGGCTGCAGCGACGCCGGTGCCTGGAGTGGTAGGCTGTAGTGCTCGGAATATAAAGCCTCCTGTTATAGGTTCTGCGCTGTACTGCACTGCACTTCCTTTAATTTCTACCAAGTCTGTTGCAGCCCCTCCGTACTGGACGAGCAAGCTCTACACCTGACGCGATGCTTATCCGCGAGGTTGAGGTATTTCGAACAGTGAAAGCAGTTGTCTTGTCTTGTCGTGCCTTTGGCACCGTGTCAATCGATGGCTCCATCGTCCATCTTGATGGAGCTCTAGCTCCTGTTTAGTTTAGGTGGTAAATGGGTGGCAAAAACACCGTTAATCCCATCGCACTGGAACCCACCTGGCCGCCATTTTGCGTTCTTGGCCCAACACGCGGCCCCCGACACCTCACGCTCGCAGGACCCCCTCGCCGCCATCCTGGGAGGGCCCATGGTAGCCACGCCTGCCGTTACCGCCACAGCAACGGTGCCCATCATCACGCCCACGTCACCGGCTGCACCCTTGGTGGCAGCGACGACGACCGCGGCGGCCGCGGCGGCTCCTACTGCTGCTGCCGCCGCCGGAGCTGGCGCCGCTGCGAGTCCCAGTATCGTCGCGTGGCAGCAGCACGGCCTGGTCATCACCTTCTCTCTGGCCAAGCACGCCACCAATCCTGCCATTACGGAGATTTTGGCGATGACCACCAACAACAACTTGACGGAGGTCACAGACTACACATTGCAGGTGGGGGAAGTGGACGTCCTTCAAACGCTGTGAAGGGAAGAAAGGAGCAGCTAATCGTCGTAACACCTGTCGACGCCTGAACGTGTAGACGCGACATGAGTATCCGCAAATGCCATGTCTCGTACCTCAAAAATGGAAAATAGAGGACGTAGGGTTGGGGTTTCGGGGTATGAAGATGGACCGGACTTGAACGTGTATGGCGGGCTGGTGTATCTGAGGCCGTGCCGTATCTGTACGGCTGTTCGACTGTGTGCCTGGCTATCCCGTGGCCCTCCGCCCGCCCCTTACTTCCTGTGCAGGTTGCGGTGCCCAAGTTCATGCAAATTAAGTTGGAGCCTGCATCAGGTACGGTGCTGCCACCGCGCGGCGGCGGCGGAGTGAGCCAGAAGATCTATGTCAACAACAGCCAGCACGGCGTCAAGCAGCTGGTTATGCGGCTGCGTATCACCTTCACCAGCGCAGGCGGCCATGCGCACGAGGAGCTTGCCGAGGTGGCCAACTTCCCGCCGGGCTTCTAACGAGGGGTTTGCTTTGCAAAGACAGTCGGCCTTCTGCCAGGGCAATAGGGCATTAGGCTTGGTTGGACTTAGGCTTGATGGAGGGAAGTCCGGCCTTGGGATTTTGGGTTGTTCCGCCATAGTCCCTTCCCATCCCGGAGGCATGGTAGGTAGGTCCGGAGGGGATGTGCTGGTGGTTGGATACGGCCTGGGCTTGGGTGCATGTCTGAGGACGTGGCGGCCAGCACATGCGATCTGCTGCCCGGAGTTGCGATCCAGATGTACTCGGGGGTTCTGGGGGCCGGGTGGGTTGTGTTCTGCCGTGAATTCACCGCGCCATGAAATAAGGATCCATGGGAAAGCATGGGGGAAAGGACTTGGGGGCATGCATGTGTGTATGTGTTTGGGGGACGGAGGGGGGAGGGAGAGGCGGAAGGGCCTGTGCGGAGGCATGGATGGGCGGAGGTGGGGGCGTGGTGTGGACGGACGGAAACGACTAACCGGGGTAGGCTGTGGGTTTTAAGACAGGCAAGGGCCGTACGGGAACTACGACTGGGCAGGGGAAGCAGGCGGGACGTCGGGATGCTGATCCGCAAAGTAACCGAATATAATCGGGCGCTCCGACGCAGCTCGTTACCTCTTGGTCTAGTCGGTACTTTGTTTCCGTAGGTTCCGCTTGGCCTTCCGAAACCCCTGCTACTGCTCCTGCTCCTGCAGCAGCGGCGACGGTGGTATTGGTGGCGCGAGGAGAGGCAGCTGACAGAAGCAACTTGGGGTCACTCGACGTTTACGGGACTTGTGGCGGTTTGGATGTTCTTTTGGGTTGGAGGGGAATTTCCTCTGGATTTCTCTTGCACCTGCCTGTGTGTGTGTGCCAGCAGCCTTGTGTGTGTGTGTGTGTGTGTGGGTGTGTGCGTGTGTGTGTATGTGTGTGTGGGTGTGGGTGTGCGTGTGTGTGTGTGTGTGTGCGTGTGCGTGTGTGTGTATGTGTGTGTGTGTGGGTGTGGGTGTGCGTGTGTGTCTGTCTCTGTGTGTGTGTGTGTGCGTGTGTGTGTGTGTCCGGTGTGTGTATGTGGGTGGGTGGGTGGGTGGGTGGGTGTGCGTGTGTGTCTGTCTGTGTGTGTGTGTGTCCGGTGTGTGTGTGTTGGGGGTGGGGGTGGTAGGTGGGAAGGGGCACTTGTGGAAGCCGCGGCGGCGGCTGTCATTAGACCATGCAAGCTTGTAGCAAGTTTCCGTTGTATGGTCTCCCTTAAACGTTCGCCCCTTCCCAATGCCGTTGTAAACTGGAACCATGCACGCACACAACACGCAGACACACACACACTCACACACACTCACACACGCGCGCGCGTGCGTGCACCCCCGTGCGCTACTTAAGCTGTGCTTACTGCCTAGGGTCTTGTTTGAGGAACACCCGTCGCGGAATTTGAAGCGTGGCTGGGCCGGCAACGTTGCCTAGGTTTGCCAGGTTTGCCTAGGCAACGCAACGTTGCCATGACGTTGATGGGTACATCCTGATCTCCTTACCATTTTGGCCGTCCGCCAGTGAAAGGATCGTTCACACTTTGGCGCCAAGCACGCAAGACTTTTTTCACCTCGCCTCGCAGGAGGTCTGCTACTGAGCATGTGATGAATATGCGCTTTGTGTGCGCGTTGTAGCCTGTAGCGCTCTCGCCGCACTCAGACGGGGCATCGGGTAGCCGCAGGTATGCTGTGGATGGACGGATGGACAACTGTCCAGGACCCTCCGAGTGAATAAACAACGGAAGCACCCGCAGGACACCGCATCAGAGCTTTGCACTGCGAGGTTACGAAGCGCGTCCATTCGCATTACGTCTGGGAACCGTAAAGCGGCATGGGGGCCTATCAGGAGGGGTTAGGTCACCGCTGCCCCGGCTGTGTTCCTGGCATGGGACTGGGCATGGGCTGTGGGTCGGAGAAGATAAGGAACTGCTGCATCTCATTCCGGTTCCTGGTGGCTAGGGGACGGGGTAGTCCTTCCCCGTATCGCGCAGCGGGACTTCCGACCGGTTGCAATGTTGTGAAGACCTGAACGGCTCAATTTAGTTGGGTAGTTTAGCGTGGTCGCGGTTGTTAGCGGCCAACTTTTGGAAGCTCAAACTCCATCTGGTACGGTCATTAGTCTCAGCCAAAGCAGTGAACTTCGTTAAAGTGATGCTTAGCCTGCCAGCATTAGGTTCCGCTTTCGGACGAGCGTGTCGATTTCCCGGTGCTGGGAGCCTAGAGGGGCTCAAGTCAGTTTAGGTGGGCGTCTGGTAAATGTGTTTGGATGTGAATTTGCATATCCGGTCTCGTCACATGGGTATGGGGAAGTACTGGTTAGATTGTGAACGGTGATCTCCGCTGCATGCACCGCAGTCCGTTGCCGTCGCTGGGATCGATGCTGCCAGCTGCCCGCCCAATATAGGCGCCGGGTAATCATCTTTGGTAGGCTGTAATAATAATACAAATTGCATGTCACTCCTACACCCCTTCTCACATCATAGGGTTTACCGGTAGAAAAAGCTTGCAGCTTCGCTGATACATTAACATGCGTTCGCACACCTTTTCTCGACAATCTGTGCATAATACTCCTTGTTTTCTTAGACATCGCAATCGGATTTGCTTAACACGCGCGACAGTGTCATCGGGAAGCAGCTCCGGATGGCCCTCGCAGCGTCCAGATACTATGGGCATGAAGCTTCCAAATCAAGCAGACTCGGTGTTTAATCCGAAAGATACAAAGGACCTCCTAACGAGGATACCTGTGCTTGACGCTCCAACGAAATCAGTAGCGGACCTGGATTACTTATCGGTGAGATCGTGATGGTACTCATAATGAATATGTTTTCGTTTCGTGTCATGCATGTACTATCGCGGGACGCTTGCAAATAGGCGTCGTAACCCCCCGGGGCATCACGTCCCCGACAGCTGACGCCAACGAACCCCGCAGGAACTTCTCGCAATCCAACAAAGCGACGGCCCCAAAAACTTGGGCTTCTTCGGGACCCGGAACATGGGGGTAACGCACCAGAAGCTTGTGGAGATTCTTGCATACGCGTATGCGTCGACGGTAAGGTGGATGGAGGGAGCATAGGGTTTGACCTCCGGGCCTTGGGTCATGGGGCGTGGCTGAGGGATAGAATACTCTCGAACCGATTGCTCGCACAGACGCGGTGCCTCTAGGTGCTGTGACAGCTTTAATGAACTTCTAAGCCTCAGTGTCCCAACACGGTAGATCCGAAAGGTGAACCGTTCACCAGCAATTAACCATATTGTAATGTCAGCCTTCGGTTGTACTATCATAGATCACGTGTACACACTTAACACAACAGAAGTACCACTTGTTAGGGCAAGTGCTGGGTCCGGGTGTGACACCGGGGCAGGATCGTGACACTGACCAGGTTATGTACCTGGGCGTCGCTTGCCGTGATGCGTCAGGTGCCCCACTCGCGCCAGCCTTCCTCTTGCAGCGCTATGCAGATGGCGGGCGTGTATTTTTGAGAACAGACAGGTTACTTGTGCTTTGCGTGCAAGCACTAGCCAGCAGTTTTGAGGTCTGGTGCGGCAACACACGTTTGGAACACTCAATGGTTCCCAGGTGCCCTTCAGCTCCCGTCAGCTCCTGGTGATCACAGTGCTGCTGCTACTGCTGCTGCAGCGGCGCCGGCCTGCATGCGACGATATCATTAATGCCAGATTGCCGCTGCTGCTGGGTGCTGCTGCTGCCGGTGCGGGTGCCCTCTTCCCGACTTATCCGTGGCTGCTGGATGTGAATGTGAACGGCAACCGCAGGGGAACCACATCTTCACTTCGGGAGCGACAGGAACCAATGCAGCTGTCATTAAGGGGGCACTTCGAGCCAACTGTCCGGACAAGCTGACGGTGCTGCTGCCGCAGAGCATCCACAAGCAGCCGTATGAGTCACAGGAGCTGCTACAGCAGGTACGGCCTACTCCAGGGCTCGGCTGCGACAGCTGCCTTTGCCGCACTGGAGGAGCCTGTTAATCAGGCTGTGCTGTGCTGTAGTGCGTAAGCGACACACACTTGTACACTTGGCCCACTTGGAAAGGATCAGCGCCCCCTGGGAAGAGCCTGCGTGAGGGCGTTGCGTGCGGGCCTGGAGGAGACCAGAGGAGAGGTCGAAACAGGGCCACTACTTTCGTTCCTTTTGTTGCGGAGAGGCCGTGACCGTTGCTTTTCATGGGGCCGCAAATTGCGTGGGCCAGTGTTTCATGTTTTTGCGTTCGCCGTGTGCCCTTGCGTGTCTGTCTGTTTCTATGCACACGTCTGCTGCCGCAGGTAGAGAACTTGATAGAGATGCCCCAGAACGATCACCTGCCGCTCATGGAGGCCAGCAGGTGAGTTGACGACTCGCGGGCGGAGGAGGAGAGGATAAAGACCCCGGGATAAGGCCCTTGCACTGCGGGTGGACTGTTTTGCCGCCTCTGACCTGATTTACGGGTCATGGCTGTCTGTGATGGGTTCGACCTATCTACCCTACCTACCTGCCGAGCCGAGCCGAGCCGAGCCGAGAAGCATTCCAGACGCTGCATAAAACTGCGAGCACAGGATCTGGTTGGTAAACCTGCTTGTCTGTTCCAAAGAGAGGCAGGCGGACACCGCGCCGTGTCGACAAATGAGCGAGCCCGCGTCGGGAGGCTGGGCAATTCTCCTCTGCTTGTAGTTCGGCTTAGCGTGTATTTCTGTAATGAGGCGGCATTCGCCTGCCTTAATCTGATTTTAGTCATATCTAGCTTTGCAATCATGTGTGTCCTGTCCGTGACGAGCTCTGCTGAGTAGGCCTTTTACGGTAGCGCTACAAGGCAGGACCGCCAAGGCCCAGTAGCACGGACACGCAGTTGGGGAGCACAGTTACAGAACTTTTCCCTTGGTTGAGATACCCCCCACCCCCACGCCCTATCCCCCTATCCCACTCCTCGCCACGTCAATTCATACCGCCGGCCACGCAGGATTTGCAACCGCAAGATCATCTCGCAGATTCAGCAAGTCATCTGCTTCGCCTTCCACGACAGCCGGTTACTGCTGGAAACGTGCCAAGAGGCCAAGGAGATGAAGAAGATTGTCACTCTCTTGTACCTTGACTGATGCGACTGACGGATGGTAAAGGGGTTGCTGAGGTCATCCAACCCTCAGCACCACGCAAAGCCATACGCTTTGGTTTAGGCAGGCCAGTCAGTCGCCTTCATTGGATCTGCTTGCTCGCGCCAATATCCGGCATGCATACCCCCCGATAATATAGGGGCTCTAGTCAAAGAGCAGGTCGCTTAAAAATCCGGATGCAAATCCAGCGCGCATAAGGAAAAACATGTAGTGCGCTGCTTATTGCACGTTTGTATTTTTATTCATTCTCGCCATGGTCACCGTGCGGCGTGTGGTTCCGGACCTAGTGGTGTATGCTCCGCTATGCTCCGCGTGCAACATAGACAGGTCTCGGCAAGGCTTGGAAAACCCGATGGCTCGCAACACGATGGCGCAGCGCGTCGGGCGGGCAGTCGTGTCCAGGCTTTGTAAACTCCCGTCATCACGCCATGCGCGTTGAAGCTATAGATAGGTGAAACATGTGTGCGCCCCAGCGAGAGTGCGTGAGGGCCGAAAGACAGTTTGTAAAGACGGCTTCTTTCCCCAAGACTGAACTCGATTGGGGCAGGCCAGATCCAATCCGCCTACTTACCTGATCTCTTATTCCAAAGCCCAAACATCCAGATTCACGCGCGCAGTCGTACACGGTGTAAAGCAAGCACGCCCTTCCTGCCTTTCCTCTCAAGTGGCGCTCGAGTCTTCGCCCCTACTCTCGTACTCTATCCCTCCCAACACTGCCTTGCTATAGATGATTATTAATGCACAATAGTGACTTCTTATCAGTCTGTGTCCTCTACCCCCTGCCTGCACACCAAGTAGATCACTGTGATGCGAAGCTCGTTAACCCAGATCGCTGCCACAATGCAAATCGCACCTCGAATTATTGTCGCAAGCAGACAATCTTCCTTTATTCATACACGCATACTTCTTATGGACAAAATGTTGATACTGTAACAACGTCGCGCAACTTGCTTCATTTTTTCTAACAACAAGAAGGCTGGACTCTCACCCCAGCCATGTAAGCCATGATGCACACGCACGGACAAGTGTGCACGGGAGGTGGGCGTACTCGCGCCGCTCAGGCTTACACAGCCCGGGTGCTTTGGGAGGCCGCCTAGCAATTATTCTCTTGTGTGAGCTCAGCTGGGCCCTAAGCGCGCTCCCTCCTGGAAATTTTCGCAGCGCCCTACTAGTAGACGTCCTCTCCCTCGGGGTCTCTCGCAGTCATGTTCCGCCGCTATGCACGCACGCGCTTTCTACCCTCGATGTACTTCGCAACACCTCCCATTTTCATGCACCTGCCGCAACTCCACCGCGCCATTGCAACGAGGCAGCCGGACAGCATCATATCCGAGCCGGGCCTCCCGGCCTTTAATTCTTTGCTGCTGCAGTACCCCCCACTTGGCCCCAGAAAACCAACTCTTCACGTCGGAAACCCCCATATCACTCCCACGTACTGTGTGGTGTTATTGACCCATAGCTGCTGTATTGCCAAAGCGCCTATACACACCACCATATTACATCACATCACAAGGCACAGCGACGAACAGCTCTCCGGCTCAGGATTGCCAGGCTGCTGCTCCAGCTGCTGCTGCGACTGTTGTTGTAGGAGCTGTTGCTGCTGCTGTCCCCGCGGCATTTGAAACGAACTCACACCCGACACCGCGCCCGCGCTGCCTTCGCTCCGGGTCACCTGACCCCGGCTTGCCCTGTCGTGGCTCTGCCCCGGCAGCAGCCCGGGGCTGGGTCCGAGCCCTGGACATCCTGATGACCTCCGGTTACCCACCCTGGAGCTGGTGGGGCTCACGGGACTGGGCAAGGCGGAGTAATAGCTGCTGTCGCTGTTCTGAGGCCCCGTCGCTGTCGTCATTGTCAAGGTGCTGGTCGTGGCGCGTCCCGCTGGATGCACCACCACGGGCTCCAAGGTACCTGCCCCTCCGCCCCGCCCGCCGGTCACGGCCCCCAGAACTGGGCTGGACATGCGACACCCTGCACCAGTAATAGTGGTGGCGGTGGTGGTGTGCGCCATAATCGTGCCCGTACTTTCAACGTGCAACGGCTGCCGGCTGACGCTGACGCTGTTCACAGAGTAAGGTACCGGTAGGATACCCCCGGTGGTGGCGGTGGTGGTGGGGGGGGTGATGGTGGTTGGGAGAGTGGGAGTGCTGCCTCCGGCGCGAGTGCATGCGTTCAGCTGCTGTAGCTGTAGCTGTAGCTGTTGCCGATGCGCTTGCAGCTGGAATTGTTGTGTCGTCGATGCTGCCGAAGACGCAGGAGACAGCGCCGCGGCGCCACCGCCGCCTGGCACCGTTGTATGTTGGAAGGCGTTCCACATATTCCCGGTTGAAACGGAACCTCCGAGCATCCGCACAGTATTTTTCTGGTTGGTCGATTGATCCAGCCGGTACTGTCCCATCTGTTGCTGGAGCAGCAGCAGCTGCTGCTGTTGTTGGTGGTGCTGCTGGAGCATGGCCCACTGTTGTTGTTGCTGCTGCTGCTGCTGCTGTTCCTTGCTCTTCCGCTGCTGCTCCCGCACCTGCAGTTCCAGCAGCAGCTGCGAGCGTTGCGCCGCCAACGGAGGTGGCGGCGGCTGTACTGTCACCGCGTTCAAGGTAATCTTGGAGTGGAGGGGGCCCGTCGCCGTGGCGCGTAGCACCTCCCGCAGCCGCGCGGCGATGGTCGGAAAAGAGGGCCGAAGCCGCGGCTCCTGTGATGCGGCGAAGCAAAGCACCTAGTGTCCTCAACACGGATCCACACCTCCCACACTACACGCAGGTCGAAAAATAAACATGAACACTAAGAGTTGCTCATTATAGCCCGGTGAACACTGTGGTCGAACTGCATCGACGTGCGTGCAAACATACATACATATATACATACATACACACCAATACAGCAACACAGTCGTCGTGGTTCATAAAAAACGCACAGCGTACCACCGATACACCCCGCACACACAAGCCAGGTGCATTCCTTCGCGGCTCGGTTCATTTGAACACATACCCGATGCCAGCACAGCGAGATGAGCAGCCTCAGCTCCTTCGGCAGCCTGGCGGGCAGGTCAGGACGCCAGCCACTCCAAGCCACGCGGCCCAGGTACTCCAGGGCGGCCTCCACGTCGCCCGGGGGGATGCCATCCGAAAGCAGCTGTCGAGACATCACCTCATACACCAGACAGCCGAAGGAGAAGACTTCGAGGACCAGAGCGGGGAAATCCGCGCCAGGCCAGACCACCGCACCAGCAAAGGTTTTCCACAGAGGGGAGGGAACGTGTCGAAGGCATGGTGGTGAGCACGTGTGTGTGTGTGTGTGTGTGTGAGAGAGGGGGGGGGGGTTGAGACGGTCGGGCCATCCCGAGCCATGCCACACACATTATCGTGCAAACGGCGCGGAGACGGACAAGGCGACCGGGGACTGCCGGGGGTGTGCGAGGGGGACCCGCCAAGGTGCGGTGACGCGCTGTGGGAAATATGCCTCCCCTGCACGGGCCCCACTCTCCTAATGCAACCCCCATCCCCACCAACACGCGGAGTCCGCTCAACGCCGTCCGCTCCTTAGGCCGCCCCGGGCTCGTACACGGGCCCTGAGCCCCTAGCCCGCGGCCGCCTAAGGAGCGAATCAGTCCTCCTGCACTCACAGCAGCGTCGTTTCCCTCGACATCCCCAGCGCCAATTTCACGGTCTCGGCCCCAGTCCCAATCCCCAAGCCGAGCTGTCGAGACACTACCTAACACCAGCAGCAGCAGCAGCAAGAGCACTCTCACCGTCGGCCTTCTGGTTGTAAGGCAGCTGCCGAGCAACCTCTGCATGAGCGCCACGACAGCCCCCCGGGTCAACAGATGCCCGCATTGTGTCAATGAAGGATCGAGGGGTGCAAAGGAAGACACAACAGGGACAGGGACGAGAAGGCTTAAGAGCTGTGCCAGACGAGGTATTGGCTGCCCACACAGGTAGAGCTTGGTGACACAGCAGCACTAGCAGAAGCAGCAATAGCAGCAGCGGCAGTAGTAGCAGCACAGTAACAAGGAGTGGAACAAACACGGCGGCAATGGCAGTAGCACCACCAGCAGCAGTACGTGCGAACAATGGCAACAGTAACATCATCAGCGAGAATAACGACAGCATTACCAGCGGAGGGTGTTGCAGCTATCTCACGCACCTGGTGCCATGTAGCATACCGACCCGCACTGGCCTGTGTGGGCGTGGGTGTGGGTGTGGGCGTGCGAGACGGAAAGAGAAGGGGAGGAGAGGGGAGAAGTTACTTTAGAGTGTAAATTAAAGCGTGTAAATCCAAGCAGGCCTACCTACGCGCTAAACACGTGAGGGTGCGACATCAAGAGGGGGAAAGCAGACACGGAAAGGCGATGCGAGGAGAGCGGCGACTGAGAGAGGAGCGGCCGCCGAGTGATCTGCCGAGAGGCCGAGACCGCTGGTGGCTGGAGGCCCCACAAAAAAAGCTTCCAGGCTAAAGTCCCCCTTAGAGGCGACTTGAGAACCGGGGAGCGGTCATCGGGACTCCCACACACGTCCTCTTAATAGACAGGAGGCACCGCCCGTCGTACAGGAGCGTGAATATACACACACGCACACACAGACAAAATTACAAAATTATACGCAAACAACTATGGATATTATTGCCCTCCCTCCGTTGGGCATGAAGAGTTTACCGAAACGCGGACGTCGTCTGTCCGCCTCCGCCAGGGTGAACCAAGGCACACCCGGAGGCCACGAGTGAACCCCGCCACTAGTGCCACTGCTGCATCCACTGCTACTACATTTCCGTTCAGTTTCGGAGCATTTGCTTTTCCAGCGTCGCGTACATCTGTCTGTCATCCGTCTGTCCCATATCAACATCGGTACACATGCGTTTTTCTCCAGTCGCACAAGACCTCACCCCAGCCGCAAGCTGTTTGCTGCACACCAGGTCAACACCATCGCCCCCTGACCGGTCGCCCGCTGGCTGATGCATCACGCGGGGCCCTCACCATGTCAGCTGGTCACCTGTAGCCGACATGGGGACCTGGGACTAGTACACTATTTGATAACAAGCGCGTTTGCCGCACGTGCGCCATGTCCACGCCGCAACGGAACCGCAACCTGGCAACCCATATGCGATAGCACACATTCAAAAGGCAGTATGGCTCTGTCCGGGACCTACTTGTAAGCTTGAAAGTCATCTGGTACATGTCCGGCAGATAATCCCGGTGTCCCATACCCATTCGTAACAATCCGTTGAGCTGCTCCATCTTCACCTGGTTGGGTTGGGGTTGGGGTTGGGGTTGGGGTTGGGGGGATTGGTATCGTCAAGGTGAGAAGGGAGGTTCATGGCTCCCCGGGGGACCCCGAGGCAGTGAATTATAACGCGGGTGTCACAGCACGTGACCGGCACACGCGACCGCTGATCTTCTTCGGTGGGCGGAGCCACACGCGACCTGACACGTGACCTGGCCTGAAGACGGCCATAATGCCGCCTCCCTCCCTGCCTGTCCAAGCTCTCGACGCACCTCGATGGCCAACCCAAGCAGTGAGTCACACACCGCACAAGATACCATGTATACAGACCGCCGTACACCTGGCGCCCGCTCCGAAACCATCTGAAAAAGAATCAACTGACATCCCACCCAACCCACACCTCCTAGTGCATCACCCCGGAGCTGTGTTTGTGCACCCGCAACGGGCCACCCCCCCGCACCAACCAACCTGCAAATGTCCCGTCTCGGATAGCCGCGACGATGACGTCATCGTGATGGGCGGCAGGGGCGGGGGCCCCGGGGCCTGAGACAGCGCGCGCCCTTGTTGTTGTTGTCCTTGTTGTTGTTGAGCCACTGCCGATCGGAATCTGTGAGCTCCGGGCCCCTGTCTGGCCAATCCCAAGCCCGAGGGCCCTGGACCCGCAGCGTAGCGGCGACCCTGATGATGCCCGTGGCCTAGGACATCATCGCCGATCTGGCGCTGCGGTCCAGACCAAGAGACCGACGATCGCTGAGGCCGGAGCAGCACCCGTCCCGCGTCCGCCGCCACCATCACCGCCGCCGGGGGCCCCTCAGCTTGTACTGGCGGCTGCGACGCGGATATTGACGACGGCGGCAGCGGCGGCGGCGGCTTCTTGCCTGCTTTCTCCCCCTCTTCGTGCTGATGCGGAGAGCTCCCCCACTCCGGGACACCAACAGCGTTTTCCTCATGCGACGGCAGCTGCATCGGCAGCGGTAGCTGCGGCCGCAGCTGCGCCTGCGCCGCACTCCAAGGCCGTCGCGCTGCCGCTGCCGTCGCCGTCGCCGTCCCGCCGCCGCCTACCTTACCTGCAAACATGCCCCCAGAGCCCTGGTTTGGTCCCACAGCTGCTGCCCCTCCTAGCCACGGGGCCCCCGCCGCTGTGACGACCGCAGACGCCGCCGTCAGTGTGCTTTGGGCCTGTGCCTGGCCCTGGGCTTGGGCCTGGGTTTGAACATGGCCCAGCCCCCGCGCGGCTTTTGCCTGGACGAGCACCTGCGAGCTGCTCACCACCTTCCTGCCCGCAATGAGCTGCTGCTTCTTCTCCTGCTGTCCGCACTGCTGGTACTGCTGTTCCTCGTATCGCTGCTGCTGGTGCGGATGTGGGTCACCCTGGCCTTGGGGGTTCCGGAGCGGGTAGGGGCTGGGGCTGGGGTGGCCGAGGTTCAGCTGCCTGCTGGACGCCGGTGCGCTTCTGGAGGGAGTGCCGCCGGGCGGTTCCGGAGCAGCATTCACGGTGTCTGTGGCTGCGACCTGTGCGGATGAGCTGCACGGCCGCTCCGACAGGGCGGTGACGGCGCCGCCGCCGCCCCCGGGTACGGCGTTACGGACGTCTTCCAGGGTTTGACCCGGGGCGCAGAGGACCTGCGGCGGCGGCACCTTGGATCCAGCGGCGTCCACTGCCTGGGGTGGGGTGGGGTGGGGTGGGGTGGGGTGGGGTGGGGTGGGGTGGGGTGGGGTGGGGTGGGGTGGGGTGGGGTGGGGTGGGGTGGGGTGGGGTGGGGTGGGGTGGGGCGGGGAGAGCAAGTGGGCAACGCAAAGATATTTTCAGGAGGTATTGTGAGAGGTCTTTCCCGACCTCGCTAGCGGCAGTTCCCATCACACTGGGTAGCGGGTGCCGTGGGTGTCCGCTGGCGGGCTGGCGGGCCGGCGCTGGCGGGGCTGGGCTGGGCTGGGCTGGACTGACAGAGCAGGTTAAAAACTGGTGTTTCATGAGGAGGAGGCCTTTACCTCTGTTGTCATGTTCTCTGTCTCCATGGTTCCCTAACTCCCGCGGAATGATGTGCGCCACGTCCCGCACAGAAAACACAGGTCGCTCATCTGTGCGCGTCCCTCACTCCCTCCCTCACCTCCCCCCAGAGGCGCACTTTCTGGTGATGCCTTCTTCCCACCCCACCCCACCGCACCCCACCGGGACCCCACAGACCCCCCTCCCTACCACTGTGAGCCCGAAGTCGGACAGCTTTGCCCGCACCCTGCCGTCCGCATCCCGCTGCAAGAGGATGTTCTCCAGCTGTGGAGGAGGGGGCAGGGCGGAGGGGTGGGTGAGCATCCCCCGAGGTGGGGACCCGGAGGGGGAGGAAAGCGGCCCATTGTCTCAGAGGGTAGTTAGTGGTGCAGTGGTGTTGGTGTGGGTGATGGGGGCCCACTACATCACCGCCACCACCGCCACCGCAAAAGCCATGCCAATCACCCCTCCCCTCACCCAACACACCTCCCCGGGCGACACGAGCCGTCAGCTCCCCCCCACCCCGGGCCCCCGGGCGCACCTTGAGATCGCGGTGTATGAGCAGGGGCTGCTGGCTGTGCAGGAAGGTCATGGCGTCCGCCACATCAATGAGCCACAACAGCCCCTGCACATCGCCGTAGCTGCCAGGGCCGCTGCCAGCGCCGCTGGCAGGCCAGCTCATGCCGGCGACACCGCCGGTGCCGGCGACCGCCGTCTCACCCACTGCTGGCCCCTTCTGTCTGCCTGCAGTAGCAGTAGCAGTAGTAGTAGCAGTAGCAGTAGCCGTTCCGCCTCTGGCCGCAGCGAGGACCTGGTCGAACATATTGCCGTCCTGTTTCAGGTCGTGCAAATTGTCCCCCCGGGGTTGCGAGGAGTGGAGTTCCCACACCGCATGGTCCGAGTTCGTTACCACATGCGGTCCGACCAGAGGCAGTTCGGAGGCATTCAAGGGGGGGGGTGAGGTGGGACAGCAGAGCGGGAGGGTTGTTTTGTTAATCAACGTGTATTATGCATGTATGACCAGTCGGTCAGTCCAGTCGGTTGGCCGCCCTAGGGCCGCTGAGCCGCTGAGCCGCTGAGTCGCTAACAAAGACCCACCGGCATCAGCTCCATGACCAGCGCCCAGCACTTCAACAGCCGCCGCTTCGCAAACCATTCCTGCGCTGCCGACAAGGCCGCTTTCTTGCTGTTCCTGTCCCTGGCGCCACCGCCGCCGCCGCCGCTACTGTCAGGCGTGAGGATGCCGGGCGGCGCCGCCGCGATCAGTGGACCAACTGGTACGGAGCAGAACCCCAGCGCGCGCACGATGAGGCTGCACAAGAGGAACGGGAACGGGGAAACGTACGGGGCCCTTCGGAGGCGCACGCGGAAATAGTTGGAGAAGGAGCCCGAGGGGTTCGTGGGGTCATTATAAAAGGGGGAATGAGGTTAAGGTTTGGTGGGTTGGTTGCTTTCGCACGGACGGGCGGCCCGTACGGCATAAGGTGGGCCCTTCAGGTACGACGGGCCCAGAACGGGAAACGGACTTCTTAACCAGCGGCTAACGGGCACGATCGTCGCGTTATAATTCTACGCACAGCTTCTTATTTGCAGAAAGGAGCAAATGGAAGCCGTCTTTAGCAGACCATGAGAACTTGGCGATCGTTACTTACGAGTGTGGCAGGGCTGTCTGCAAAGCAACCTCCTGGAGAAACTTGCTGTAGATAGCGGGGCGAAAGTGGTTCTCAGGCTTCAGCACTGCCGTAGTAGGGAAACAGCAAAGAGAACGGCGTTACATGCCATTTGGCTACTTGCAGAGATAGCATGGTTTACCTGACGTTATCATGGCCAACATACATATTGTGGGTAACCCTTTTTCCATGTGCATGCTTAGCTTATGATACCGGAGATAGCAGCATTCCACGTACCTTTCACCGCAACAGGCTGAGCAACCCCATCGCTGCGCCTGAGGTTTGCCACAAAAACCAAAGCAAAGCCGCCTTTGCTTACATATTGAAAATCAGTTAAACGGTCCCACGCGATAGTTGAGTCGTGTTCCAAGTCGACAAACGTCCTACGGACGTCCAACTCCATCTTCTATGGCTTATCCATGTGGTTTGCAGTAGTCGGTGCTGATGCACAATGCCGTGCTGATTCGACATTTACCTTTCCGTTCTCATAATTCTATCTAACGGGACGGTTTAGGTGGAGAAGTATCAGCGCTGTGGGCAAACAGCTGGTCATATGTAGCATTACTCTTTACTTAGGAAACCGTGAATGCTGCAGGGATCGCTAAGGTGGTCGACAACGACCCGTACGGGTAGGGCTTCTTTGTCATATGGCCCCGAAAGCCTCATTCCACAAGATTCTCTCTCCTATTATGATGCTGAGGTGTATCTTATACAAGGAAATACAGACGGTATGAAAACGGTATCTCGGTATGTTAGAGACCATCTAATCAATCAATTGCAATGTTGCCTGGGGGCCAATATGGCCGAACATTAAAACTGAACACATTTAAGGATGTCCGGCGAAAGGCTGGTCAGCCAAGCCTTGAAGAAAAAGATTGGGTGGACTTTTGTAGGTCCCTGCCCAAAAGCTTTCTAAGGTATCACAAGCTTATCCGAAGTTGAACTTTAATTTGATAGTTGGGGAAACAAGCATGCTTTTTAGTAACTCGTCCTACACGCATACATATGGATATCCCCTGATGTCCTGTCAGGGGACAGGGGTGTGTGTGTCAACAACCGCAAGGCTACAACGATATCAAAGCCGCATTTCGAAAAGTGATTGAAGATCCCTCCATTTCAAACATCCCAAAAGCCGTGTACGCACTAACTACAGCGCCATATCTGCGCTGCGATGTCGTAAAATTGCCATTACTACAATTTACAATGTGTCACGTAACAAGATAGGAAAAAAGGCATGAAATATTTGTTCGTCGTATGCACTTGTCAGCTATTGTTTGGGCCCCAGTTTCAAGTCGAAGCGCTGATGGATACCCTTAGGACACGTGTCAACGACGACTGGGCGAATGATAGGCTAGATGTGGACCCTAGAGTTTTCGTTACGGACGGTAGGAAGCCCGGCGTGAAGATGGGCCGCCATAAGCACTGGATGGGGCCACCGAAGCCGTACGCGGGTTATATCCCCCCGGCGCATCATCGTGCCCTAATCCGCTTTCGTTTGTGTGTCTCTGACCTGGCGGTTAACAGTGAGAGCAACAGGGCTAGGGAGCACCGCGTGTGCGCTGTGTGTCGTAGTAATGGTGCTATTGAGGATGAGAAACACTTCCTGGTAGAATGTCCGGCGATTATGTCTGCGCGTCAGAAGATCTGGGACCTCGGTGTGCCCGTCAATGCGAACATCCGTGATATCATGCAAGTGGATGATCAGCGTGGTCTTGCAAAGGCTATTTTTGAGATGTCTCGCTCCCGGCATGAGCACCTAACTACCTAACTTTCTCGGCGGTAATAGGCAATTGTGTTTCAGAGTCAAATTGACGCTGTTCTTTCTCATAAACACCCGTTTTCTTCTTGCGTAAAACTTTCCTTTTTTGTTGTTTGTTTTGTTTGCTTCGTTTACTTTTTCTCTTTTTTTCTTTTCCCTATCGACGGCGCTGTCAAAGCGGTTCATGAGCCTCCGGGTTCGTTTGGGCCGTACGAGCTCGCTGAAGCTTGTAACATCCATCCATCCATCCATCCAGTTTCAAGTCAGTCGCACGCGCGCCGGGAGCGTGTGTTGCGTCCCTAGTGTCGTAGTGTGTGTGAAGTTAGTAATTTTGTGGACAGCGGGGAATGATATGCCCTGTGCCTGGGACCCCAGCGCCGACTTGGCCGCTACAGCTAGACGTATTTTCTCATGACACTCCGACGCACGACCTTTCACAGGAGAAGACCGTGCCATCCACGCCATCAATTGCTGTCCCATGTGGCTGTGGAATGCAAGGACCAACCCATGTCCAAAGTTCAATGTTAAGAACTCACCTTAACTATACCTCAATCCGCCGTGCTAGTCCGCAACTAACCGCACCAGTCCAACTTGGCAGCAAGCACATCACCACCGACAGCCGTCCAGATCAGTTCCGAGGCATTCCATGCCGATTTTAAGCCGGTCCAGTCCAAGTAGATCTCACATATAACATAGGCATTTTGAAGAATTGAAAGTCCAACCCAAGATGCAACAAGCAAGCAAGGACAATCCTGACAACATGCAGTATGAATGGAGCGCGATAATAACTGGAGTTGTTGCTGTTATGGCAGCATCAGGTGTACAAATACATTCATCATACCTAATGGCAGATCTCCTTGCTTACGCAAAGGACCGCCTCTGTAACTTAGGGTTTGTACAAAACCCTTAACTTTGCCAACGAAAATATGGCTAGAACAATTGGAAACGAACAGGGCCCGCTTCGCCGGCGGCTGGGTGGCTGGCTAATGTACTCTCGTCTATATCGTTTACGTTGAGTCGTCAAAAAGCATAAAGCACCCCTCTCCATACACCATCCACTTTATGAACAAGCACATCACTTCAGAGCTTCATTGCAAGAGTGTGCTATGTGAAAACAACATTCATAGAGCACCGGTTCACACGCGCGAACACGCACACGTCGCAGAATCTTAGTGACACTCTTATGTGCGTAGAACGACACAAAACATACTACAGCCACATACAGCAACGGATGTGTATCGACATTACATGTGTCGTCGTGCACCGAAGGCGGAGGCGTATGTATGGGCCTGCGCAAGCTGCTCATCAGCGCACCAATACCGTACCAGCTTGGTGCGTGGAAGCGTGTGAAGAGAACGACCCAATTTTGAAATAATGCAAGCGGCTACTCGGGAGCTTCCAACTAGCGGCCCAGCGGGTTACATGCGTAGCTAGCCATCGCATGGGCGTTATAAACAGCGGGGGGGTGGACAGACTCTTTTCCGGGGGTTTATATACGTAGCTGTGCGCACGAAGAATAAGAAGAGGAAGAATGCTGCGGGGAGGACGCAGGAAGTACCCGCGCACCGCGTATGTACATAGATACAGGGAAACAAACACTCAGGGTCTCGAACTGGCTGCATGCATGGATGAATGGATTGCAAAAACGCGTCGGGCGCCGCAAGTAGGGTAGCGATTAGAAGGCAACCAGTTATCTACGTGGGAAAGCATAACGCGTGACGGTCCCCTGGTCAGCAGTTGCATGGGTAGGAAGGTAGGTAGGTAGGTAGGTAGGTAGGTAGGTAGGTAGGTAGGTAGGTAGGTAGGTAGGTAGGTAGGTAGGTAGGTAGGTAGGTAGGTAGGTAGGTAGGTAGGTAGGTAGGTAGGTAGGTAGGTAGGTAGGTAGGTAGGTAGGTAGGTAGGTAGGTAGGTAGGTAGGTAGGTAGGTAGGTGGGTGGGTGGGTGTATAGGATTCCATTGCAGCGATACGTAGCTGTCCGCTGTGCCTGCCTGATTAGGTGGAGGCCTCGAACATGGGGCAGCAGTCCTTGGAGTCGTCGAACAAGATGATGCTGCAGGCAGGCGATGATCCAGCAACGGACATGAGGGTGTCAAAGTTAGCGGTGCACGGGAATAGCACGCAGGCAGAAGAATGGAAACATTCGGCCGCACACATTGACTGGATGGATGGATGGATGGATGGATGGATGGATGGATGGATGGATGGATGGATGGATGGATGGATGGATGGATGGATGGATGGATGGATGGATGGATGGATGGATGGATGGATGGATGGATGGATGGATGGATGGATGGATGGATGGATGGATGGATGGATGGATGGATGGATGGATGGATGGATGGATGGATGGATGGATGGATGGATGGATGGATGGATGGATGGATGGATGGATGGATGGATGGATGGATGGATGGATGGATGGATGGATGGATGCTTGCTTGGTTGCTGACCCCTCAGCCACCCTATCCCTCGTCCGCTGCCCCACCGCCAACAACGCAAAACGACACAGACACATACACACACATACACACACATACACACACATACACACACATACACACACATACACACACATACACACACATACACACACATACACACACATACACACACATACACACACATACACACACATACACACACATACACACACATACACACATACACACATACACACATACAGACACACACAGACACACACACACACACAGACACACAGACACACACACAGACACACACAGACATGAATGCATGCGGACTAACTGCACCGCCATGCACACTACAAGGAGCCCAACGACCCACTTGCAACTTCCGTTGGAGGGGGTCTTGCAAAATGAGCCGATGTCGTAATCACTGCTCAGCTCGAGGCAAATCTTGGCACCGTCAGCCTGGTCTTTGCTCCAGTTGAGGGGTGTGACTTTGAGCGTGTCCTCTCCGGAGGTCGCCCAGCTGGTGGAGATCCAGCGCATGCTGACCGCATCAGCCGGCAGCAACCCGATGGCCCTGATCTTACGGCGGCGCGCATCGTCAGCCAGGATTTCGGCCTTGAGCACGGAGGTTGTCTTACCACATTTGCCCTGCGTTTTCACAAATATTTTCAACGATTGCCATACGTGTACAGGGCACAGCCGACAGGTGGGACAACAGTGGGGAGGGGAGGGGAAGGGGGAAAAGGGGCAGGTAGGGAAGATCGGTGCGATCGCTCGATTATAGCGGTAATGGAAGAGGATATGCATGCGCATTTGGGGGAGTTCAGGCGAGGGACTTCTACGCACGGAAAGCGTAATGGGCTCTGATACGCTATGCACATTCTTAATTGCTGCACCTTCCACAGTTACCAGACGACGTTCAGTCACCGTGTGTCATCGTGATCCGTGGCTCGCTTTCATTGCAAGTGCAAGTGAGAGGCATGAGCAAGGGTTTGGGCCGTACCTGTGGATAGGCCGGCTCACGTACGGCAAGCTGGAAGCAGTACAACGTGGTATTTTCCGTACGACCAGGCATAGTGTTCAGGAATGGGGAGACGTAGAAGGGGGTCGATCCGCGGTCAGTGTTGCAGCTGTGGGGGGGGAGGGATCGCGTGCGGGTTTGTGGAATCGGAAGTCCAACGTCCTCGGACAACCTCCGCATTGCAGCACAGCGGACGAGCAGCAGCAGCTGACACAGCAGCAGCAACAACAACAGTTGCAGCAGCAACAGCAGCAACAGCAGCAACAGCAGCAACAGCAGCAACAGCAGCAACAGCAGCAACAGCAGCAACAGCAGCAACAGCAGCAACAGCAGCAACAGCAGCAACAGCAGCAACAGCAGCAACAGCAGCAACAGCAGCAACAGCAGCAACAGCAGCAACAGCAGCAACAGCAGCAACAGCAGCAACAGCAGCAACAGCAGCAACAGCAGCAACAGCAGCAACAGCAGCAACAGCAGCAACAGCAACAGGCGAAGGATTCAAGGAAAAGCGCAGCACCAGGCAATCCCACCTGCACTTGGGCCAGTTAAGCGACACAGGGTCGCAAGCAGCGAAGGCGAAGCCGGTCACGCAGCCACTATAGGGCAGTCCGTCATCAATCCGCATGGTGACGCTATAATCGTTCCTGTAATACGCCTTGCAGGTGTTGATCAGCGTGCCGTACCAAAAGTGCATGAGCAATTCAAGTACGTCCTGGTAGCTTGCGCCCACTTCGTCGCTGGGGAACTGCCCACACGCTTGAATCAGCTTGTCCGTGCAGCTGGTCAACTGCAGACCAGCCAGGGGGATGTCGGCGGCCACGACTTCGCTTGACACCAGGTCCAGCAATTGCTGGCAGAGGCCCGGCGGAAAAGTCCCGGGGAACACACTCCGACCATAATCCACAAGATCCAATGACACGCAGGTCCGGCAAGGATCCGATACCGCAACTGCCGGCGGCAGCGACGGCGGTGGCGGCGGTGGCGCCACGTATGTCCCACTTTCTGAGATGGGGCAGCAGTCGTTCTGGCTGTCGAATATCGCAATGGAGCAGGTCCCGGCAGCTGCACCGACAGGGGGCTTGCAGAGCTGCTGCATGGTGACGCAGCCGGCGCCCTGGGAGTTGAGGCCCAGGGAAATGCAAACCTCGGCCCCGGCGGCCGTTGTGATGTTGAGGCCCAGCTGCGTGAGGCGGAGCGCGTAGGTGCCGTTAGGTCCATTGACTCCGGGCTCGAAGGCCGGGCCAACTTTGGTTGCAACACCATTCAAGGTGGCGCGGATGTTCGGGTTGTGCACAATGCACTCGGGCGTCACGTCGAGCTGTGCACGTGGGGGGTTTGGGGAAAAGGTGCGGGCGGGGGAGGGTTTCGGCATGGCGGAATATTGGATGGGGTTGGGGCCCCGGATGTCAGATCAGGAGAGAGGGAAAGGGGGCCGGATTGGATGACGCTGGATGGGCGCAGCTTGTGGGAGCGAACACAGCGATGGATGGGTGGGGGTTATGATTAAGCGAGAAGCTTGAAACCACAGGGCGAAGCAAGGCACAGGGCGAGTCCTTTCAGGAGACAAGGGACAGGTTTGCTCGGGTGGCGAAAGCAGTGCATTAGGCTTTCCGCTTGATGTGACGGAAGTGGTGGAAGCGGAAGGGAGGCCCAAGACGTCGGTATTGAAAGAGCGAGGGCCGCTGAGCGGCCGGTCGGGGACAGAAAGGCGGCCAACACACGAAATCAGTTTGATACGTAGTGCGGCTGAGGGCCGTGGTGAGGAGCAAAACCATCCAAAAGCATAATGCAAAGTGAGGAGATGGGCGAGGAGCAGTACTTGCTTGGTGGACCTTGGCGGGCGCTAGAAAGGACGCTCTGAACACATACGCAACTTAGATGGAGAATATCCAATAATATAATGATGCTTACGAGTATTTTTCGAAGGTCAGCGCTGCAGCAGCGGGAGGTGCAACCGGTCGGTGGGGTGGCCTGAATTGTAAAGCAAAAGGTGTTCGGGTCCGGCATCCGCACAGTCGAAGCCACGCTGTAAGCCCCAGGCCTTTTTGTGCATGATACGTAAGGAAAGTTGTTGATGGTGGCAGTATCGGCAACCCTGCGCGAAGCCAAGGGAAGAAGCGAAATGCGTAAAGGTCACGCCGGAACACTTCCGTTACGGCCGTCCCGTAGCCATAATAAGACCTTAATGTTTTAGAATTGATTCGTAAGTAAATGCCAACTGGTATGGACAACACACGACAGCTTGTAGGACTGTCGTTAGGCCAGATGTTTACGCATTCGCATTTATCATTAATTAAATTATTTATTAGTACTTCTGGGATTCCCGATGCAGAGCTACCACAATATAAAAGTGGCCCCGTTGTTCGGAGAGCGCAACACTTGTCGCAGCGATAGCTTACGCGATAACAGTCGCCACAAGGGCTAGCGCCAGGAAGTGGTTTCTTATCATTGCGTCTGCTCCTTGTGCAGCAGTAATTAGTCCCGCTTTGAACCCCGGCAACGTTGGGACTCTGTTCTCAGGTAGCGCCGATCGAGGTAAGAGGGGGGTTTGGAGGTTTTTCAAAAGTAACTATATTATGTGTGATCTAATGATCCCGATACCCAATTAGATTGCTCCCATAAATGCTGGTCGACGCGTACGGCTGATGCAGATGACAATTACAACATTGAAACACACAGCGCGGACAGTATTTTAAGATTCCTGCGTGTTATCTTTGAAGTGTGTAATGTAACACGCATCTGCAGCTTAGGTAACGTGTGCAGTTTGGCATGGCAACGGTTGCAAGGGAACATCGCTTTAATTTATACTGATCACGTTTGTATATTTATAAGTTTTTGCTTATAATTGATTGCCTAAGGTTGATTTCGGTTCAACCTTTCTTCACATTTTTAGTGAGCTATAGTACGATATGTGGATGTCAGCACCTTCCAGCAGCCAGCAGGTATTTCCGCTTGCATAAAATCACATCTTGAAAAAACTGCTTAACTATTACCAGCTGTTTGTCGGAACTGTCCTTGCCCTATTCACGTGCCTACCCGTGCCCGTCGCGTCTCGATGAAAGCGTCCTAGGAACCTGGCGATGGGCCGAAGCAGTAATTAGCTGCATCAGCACAGAGTGAAAGGTTGTGGATGCAAGGTGGCACAGGGCCTGCGTCGAGTTTGCGTGCCCTTGCCCGCAGATTTCCTCCTTCCCATACGCCGTTTGGATACGATATTGGTGCATACTGTTCCTTGCAAAGAAGGAATAAGATATATCTTCAATGCCGTGTTTGTGTGAAAGCTGGTAAGTGCGGCCGACAGGCTTTGTTGTTGCCAACCAGCACTAGAACCCAAGTCATGCACCTCTTCCACATCGCTTCAGTTCCATTCAAGAAGACGGACTCTATTGTCTGTAGCGGCAGCTGTATGTGCATGGGACGTTATAGGCAAGGGAAGCGTAGCTTGTTTTGGGAATTCGATTGCCTATTAAGGGACTGCTTATGCCCATTAGCAAGCCATTCCTTCGAGATGCCGAGATGTAACCTTGTCAGGACTCCCGCTGAATAAAGCACCTCTCCATGTATTGTTCCAAATAAGTAAGTCGATTACAGCTTTAACCGATTCGCCTTCCAAAAAGGCGAGCCGTGCGCGGTAAATAAACACTTTCGACTCTTTCGCCTTGTCAGCAACAGTACCATATGTACACTCCTGCATAAGCAAAAGAAAGCGCTCTTTAATAAATGTGCATTACCTTACGCCCACTACGTTCTTCTCGCCTGGTGACATCGCAGCAGCAACCCAGAGACAGACCGAGCCAAACATGTCCATTACGTTCTTTATTAGCACCCCAGTCGCTCCGTCAGTCGCTCAGGATTTGAGCCAATTCCTGCGGCGTGGACTTCTAAAACTACTTTTGTCGCGTCCAGCTGTTCAGACCACGTCCAGGAAGATGTAACGGTATCTATTGCGACGTATCGCAGAGCGGTGATGATTACCATAAGGTGGCGGGCGCACCGGAAACAATTTCCTTATGTCACACGTCCAGCATTGCATCCTGTCCTGCTAAAACAGAAACACCGCGGGAAGTGTAAATCCCACCGTGACTATCGTCTGCAAGCATACATTAAAAGAGTGCGTCTTTGCACGGGGATGGGGCTGAGTGAGTTAAGACCCCCCCGGACGCAGCTGCGAGACTGAGGCGCCCAAGGGGCCGATCGTAGTTTGGTGCAGCGTGTGACACGGCGGTCTCAAGAAGATATGACAGAAAACTCGCCAAGTGACCTAATGCGTATGAAACAGCACTAAACAGCTGGCCAACCGGCCTCGTACACTGTACAACAACAACAGCAACCAACAACAACAACCGAGGCAACCGCTGTGCAACCCTAACGCAGAGGAAACCTTATCGGTTTCCGCTGCAAGCTGCTGCGCTTTTGCTAAAACCGATGCGTTACGTGGTGGTGGTGGGAAATCTTCATAGAGGGCCCGGGACTGGACCGAAACGAATGGTCCTATTTTTTTCCGCCACAAGGTGGTTCAAATCGTTCAAATTGTTCAAGTTGTTTAAAATTATTGAAATTGCGTGAAATTTGTCTCAGCCGAGGCCAGCTGCACATTCCAACCACATCAGCAGCGCCCAAGTAACGGTACGCAATCAATCGATAACGCTGCACAATTCCTAACCCGCGCTTACTTCAGCTGACGTCTACGGCGCGTTACGCAGCGGGGAATAGGTCCCGCCCGACAGCGACCCGCCTTAACATCCCCCCGCATCCCGTCCGTCATGGAAAGATACACAAAGATGCACATTTTCACACACGAGTCACCTACAGCCTACCTCGCACCCTCCGGACTCCTCTCCTAGCACCTGCCCAAACAGTTGCCTTCGACGCCCACTCGCTCTGTTCACCTGCACTCGCGACACCCGCAACCCCCTGCACCCTCGTCCTCGAGCTGGTTCCCCCGCCCCCGCTCCCTCTCTTGCTCTCGCCCTCACCCTCATCCCATCCTTAACAACCCAAGGATTTTACCTTCTCCCATTTCCGCCGCCCAAGCGCGCCTATAACCCACGTCCCCTTCCTCCTCGGCGTTCACCCCCTCCCCGACAGCTCCTTCGTCAGTTCCTGCAGCACCTCCCCCCCATGCTGCAATCCCAGGGAAAGGTGTCCAGCGCCCTCCACGATACGCAAACCGCCACCCCTACCGCCACCGGGGGTTCCCCGCGACCCGGGTATTGCGGCGTGCAGGTATCTGGCCATGCCCACCGTAACATTAAGGTCCTGGTCGCCCTGGAGAGTGGAAACGCGGACGGGCCCACACGTGGGGGCTTGTGGGAAGTGGGCACTTGCTGTGAGTTAGGTGGACGGACCAGACCACCTGCAACTTGGTGCAGGCTGCAAGCTTTTTAACTTCTGGAGGCTTCAGGTGGCTTATGCAGGCTTAAATTGCAGTAGACCTAGTGTGTAGATTGCCATACCTGCCATATGAAAGTAGGCACCGTGATTCGCTCCAGGGGCAGGTTCCACGGCTCGGAAGTCAGCTTCATGTCCTCCCAGAGCCCTCCCAGTCCCTGAGCAGCCGCCTCCACGAACGAGCGGGACATGAGCTTGGCGAGCTCGGGCCGCTGAGCCATCGCGCGAGTTACCGCTGCCCTGCGGGATTATGAGAGAGCGGGGGAGGAGAGGAGGGGGAATGGAAGGAAGGGGGATAACATGGGACGTCACTTAAGAAATGTGGTGGATGGGAGGGAGGGGAAAGGAGGGGAAAGGAGGGGAAAGGAGGGGAAGGAGTATCACGGAGAGGAAGGGGTGTATATAATTAATTACATGACGCAAGGAATATGTGTGTCAAGGAAAGGGCACAACTTCCGGACATCCTCGTCCAAAGCACCAGCTGCCGTAGTTCGGAATTCAGAAGGCAATGTTGGGAGTCCAGAACAACTGCTTGCAAGCCCAATGATGAGCTCAATGTTGAAGTTCACTGCGACCATATTCCACGCAGCACGACGGTTACTGCAAATCACAACATACGAGCTGACTAAATCCCCAGCCACATATGCAGGAAAACAGGAATAAAGGCAGGCGAATCGACACAGATAGACAGAGAGACAGGCAGACGGGTGGCATCACCTATCCGCGGCGGAGAAGCCCCCAGCATACAGCAACATCGAATTGACGGCGGCGGAAAGCCCAGCTCCTGCGGCGGCGCGGCGACCGCCGCCGCCGCCGCCACTGCCATCACGGGTCCCAGCAGCCGCTGCCGGCGGCGGCGCCGTCACCTCCCCCGCCGCCGACCTCCCATCAGGTCCGTACGGTGGCGAGGACACCGGTGCCGCGGAAGTCGCAGCGGCTGCGGCTCCGTCGTACTCCTCTCCGTCGTTGATGATGACGTCATCAGGGTGGCCGCGGCCAGCGCTGGCGCGGCGGCGCCGTCGCTCCGCCACCTCCATAGGGCCCACACCCATCGCCGCGGAGAGACGCAGCAACACGGTGCCGGCTCCCAGGGTCGCAGCCACCAATGCCGGCGCGTGATTGATGGCTAGAAACCCCAGCCGGTTCCCAAGGCCCATGCCTGCACGTGCACAGTTGCACGCCCACACGACACCCACACACCCAACCCGGCAGGGATACGAGAACCCCGTCGAAAAGCGCTTTTTTGACCAGCGCACCTTGCAACAGGTACAGCCAACCCGGTGTGTATTCTGTTACCCGTGATGGCCATGCACCCTAAAACCACATCTTTCCCTGCCCCCAATCCCCTAAGTATGCAACACCATCCCCACCGTCTCCCCCTCCCTCATCCTACAACACCTGCCGGCTTCATTACACTTTAGCTGCATCAGCCACCTCAGCATCATCCCATTTGCCTCCCCCTCCTAACCTCGTGACCTCCCGGCCCAGGCCCGCTAGCACCCGACCTCACCCTGGAGCAGTCCCGGTGTGCCCCGGGTGGGAGCCATGCTGGCCATCAGAACCACCGCGGAGGTGCGTTCGGGCAGCAGACAGGCACATGCGCAGGCGTAGGGCCCACCCCCTTGGGAGTGGGGGGAGATGGAGGAAGAGCAGCATCAGGAGGAGGAGGTGGCGGAGGAGGAGGAATACATGAAGAAGAGTTTCGGTGCGGGCAAAGAGAGAGACAGGCAGGGCGACTTGGCAAGGACGGGCGAATGAAGGGAGGCTGTGAGTCATGTGATGGAGACTACAAGCGGTGACCTGGGAGGAAGGGGGAAGGGGACAGCCCTCCTCTTTATTGTTATTAGGGTCTAGTTTACTAGACCCTAATAACAATAAAGAGCGGGGGCAAGCAGGGAGGGAGGTGGGTAAGGAGGTGGGAGAGGAGGAGGGAGAGTTGTCATCTGGCGCACTGCGGGTTGCGACTCAGGAGAGACAGGGGATGCCTGACTCCAGATTACGATGATAAGACCCACCTAAGCGCGGCGCATCCCAGGAGCGCAGTACATGCCGTACAGTACGGCACACAGAGGAAGACAGGAAGTCACAGATCGGGTCCCCTTTCCTTGCGTCCTACTGCCTTTTCCTGTGTGGTTTTGTGAATATGACGTCATGCCGTACCGCTCGTCCCCATGAAGGCCACCTTGTCCAGACCGAGTCCATCTAGCAGCTGCCGTACATCGTCCACGATAGACTGGAAGCTGTACGGACCTGGCATTCGTACATTGTTTGCGTGTCACCATGCGTGAGTATGTACCATGAGTAAGGGAGTGGGGGGATTGGGGGTACAAGGGTGCCCAACGGCGAGGTGGGGTCGATACTCTGTCGGGTAGGTAGCCGCTGGCGGGTCTTGTCACCGGTAAACGCGCTATCGGGAGCCTCCACGTCCCCCGGGGACCAACCGATACAACCGTCACAGCCCGTTGGGTCAGTGATTTTACAGATAGGGAGCGGTGCACGGAGGTAGCCGAGAGTGCGCTAGCCGGGAGATGTGTGCATAGTTACGTACGTGCTGCAGTCTCGACCTCGACTATGCAGTTGCCGGCGAACTGCTAAGGTAGATGGTGGATGAGAGTGTACGGCACCTACGAGCCAGGACTGTACTGCCATGTACCCACCGCTACACATGGCTACGCATCCATGTACGGCATGTACGGCGCATAGACCTTAATCCAGCTGCTGAATAGGAAAGACTTGTTGATGACTTTCTTTCTTTCACTAAATAACGGCCTTTCTTGCGACTACACGCGAACGACATTAACATATGCATGCAAGTTTGAGATACGGTATTCGTTCATTAAATTACCCGGGCGGCCTAAAGTGGTTCGCCCGATACCCGGGCGATTGATGGCCAGCAGCCGCAACCCCAGCTGCAGAGCGTGGGGTTGCAGCATCGCCGCCTCGTGCCGGCAGCCTGCAAGATGCGAAGTGCGGGTTCCCGTCAGGAATGACAGATGAGGTAGGCGCCGCGCGGAGATAAGGGGAAGGAGTGGGAGATGCAAGTGATCGGAGAGGAACGCAGGTGACTAGCCCCGGTGAAAGCCCGACCCACTTGGCCAACCGTGGTGGTACACGATGTTGATGCAGTCGCGGTTTGCGGAGCGGGAGGACGCGAGGGGTGTGCCATAGGTCGCGAATTCCAGCAGGCGACCACCGCTGAGGCGGAAAAGCATCGGCTTCGAATGATGGAATGTGGCGAGTTGGGCGATTGATTGTTTGCGAGCTGCAGCTGAGATGGAGATTCTAAAAAATTTCAGGGCAGAGATCGGCCGGCTAAGCGGGAACAAGGTGTGGGGAACGTTTATGAAGACTTTGCCGGTCCTGAATGTATGTTTGCTTTTTATTGGATGAAACAATGCAGCTCTCTTTCAGTCCTGTTTGCAAGATGACATTGCGTCAACAAACCATGGAAAGAACATATATCTATGCCAAATTCGTTTTAACGCGCTTAAATGGACCGAAGGATCGCCAGGTTGCGAAATTTGCAGTGTTCATTGGACGTATTGGGTGGGGTCCAAGAAGGGGTTGCTCCTTATAGCCCGCGGAAAGTCAGGAGGACGTTCCTGTACTGTGACAGCCGTACGCCGTTGTTGTGCAACCGGCCTGACCCTGCACGGTGGTACAGACTGCTTAGCACCTGCTTCGTGTTATATCGCATCCCATGCTAAGGTTTCACGTTCTTGGATTTCCAAGCAAGACGCACCGGAGCTGTGAGCGTACTCGCACTCGATAATGACCCCACTTGACCCATTGAGCCGTCAACTATAACTCGTTATTGGCCATGGGGCTTATAATACCCTGGCAAGCTGGCATACTATTGATTCTATCCGCGAAAGGGTCAGGGAATGAATCTATGCAAATAGCAGTTTTCCTCGTAACTCCCTGACGTTATGATGAGCAACCTAGTACCGGCGTATCGACATGCATCCTTACATCAACTCTGAAGTTATACAGCTAAAACACCCCCAGAACACGTACTACAAGAAGCCCTTGCTTTTTGCATACAGAGCCCAAGAGAATAATGCTGAGTTACTTAAATAACAGAAAGTCTATTTAAGGATGGGTCCGAACGATATGAAACTCGCGGAAGTGGACTCCTAGTACTGTGCGCTGAAGCTCGCGCAGTTTTGTTGCCAAGTCCTGCATATATTGATCATCTAAGAGGATGTGGCTTTGTGGTCTTCGACGCCCGCGGCGCTATGCACTTCCTACGGATGAGGAAACCCCCCGTGGGGCCTTGGACATGCAAAACAGTTCTGTCCCAGGCGTCGAGGAAGCATTTGTGAAGCTTGGGGGAGGAAGGAATCTGGAAGCAAAGGCAGCTGGTGTGCCGTCGGGGGACGCACCACTAAAGCCAATATCGCCACCAACGCCTCCTGCTGGTGTTACCAAACAGTCTGAAGGAGCCCTTGCAAGGAAGCCGCAGACGACTGTAGAGGAACTCCGAGACACCACGGACCACGCAGCGGCTGCTCAAAGCGTTGACACCGCAGTCCTTTATGCGGTCCTAAACCAATTACGCTACCCGGTTACGCTCATAAGCAACGAGTCAGCTGTTATACTGCAGAACGATGCCTCCACGTGAGTTTTTGTTGGAGGTGAAAGGTTACATGGCCAAGCCCATTGAAGTCGATTGGAGCCCCAGTAACAACGGCCAACCAAGATCTCCATGTTTTTTCTCTCACCTCTCGAAAGCAACACATATAATTACCCCGGCTTTACGCAGGCGGCTCTGGGGCGATCTGGTGACTGCCGATAGAGCCAAGTTTACATCATCAGCAAACGCGGGGTTTCCTAGCACAGCATTTGGAGCAAGGAAGTGTTCACCACTTGCCGTGATTTTCGCCTCGGACAGGGATGCTTACGCCGAAGCGCTGCAGGACCTCGAGGAGGTCGGGGTTTGGCGGGGTGAGTCTGAGGGAGCCCTGTCCTATGGATGGGGACGGGTCCTTGTCGTGTCCACCGGAAGATTTCCCGCGGCCGTTCTGAAGTGACCACAGTCCAGTCTCGCGTTCTTGCGCTCCGCACGGTTTGCAACGAACCCACATCATATGGTCATCGTGCCCAACAAACCCACACCTCCTAAGCCGTTTTAGACCGCTGAGCCTATCACCGCTGCTACTACTCCTTCTTATGCATCCTGTTCTAGATGCACACCCAATCTGTTCCCGCTGAGGCAAACCATGACCCCATCCTGTGGTGCGGATGCGCTTGCTGGCCTGAACACGTCTCCTGTCCTACAGTGGAAGGGCTTTCCGCCCTCGTTTTCCTTTTGTGGTTCTCTTTCGTCTAGTTTCCGTGCCGTAGTGCCCTAGCCGTTTTCCGCTGTCCCGTCACTTGTAGGGCTTTTGCAAATACCGCCCACGGAGGTGATGCATCTGCAACCCAGCGCCGCTGAATATGTGGACCGCTTTGACAGTCCCTCGCCGCCGCTTCTAGCCGCACTGCGCTCCCGGGGCCCGCAGCACAGCCCAAGCACAGCCTCCAATTGTTACCGCTACCTTCCCAGCCGAGGGCAGGTGGGACATATGCAAATTGGGTGCACCACACCAGCCACGGTGGTGCCGGCTGCCGCCGCTGAAGGTAATGCTGACAGCTGGGGCCGCTGGGGTACTGCGGCGGCGGCATCAGCGGCGGCATCGGCGGCGGTGGTGCCATCGACATGCCGTGATTCCCCTGTTGTGCCTGCGACGACTCGACCAAGTGGCGGCCGGCAGCACGGCAGCGGCCTGCTCTCTCCCAGCTATGAACCTTCGGTGCCCGACTATGGCGAATCGGACTCCGCCGTACTGGAATCGGACGTGTCGATGTGCTTGGACACTAACACCCCAAGAGTCGGAGGATCATCAGCGCCGCGGTGGTCCTTTGGGCGCGCTCGGTCACAGACAACCGTTTCGGAAGTTCCCGTTGCTATGCAAGCAGAGGCGGTGTCTGTGGGTGTTGCGCTGAGCGCAGCTCCACGGGGGGATGCCGGCGCCGCCCCCTTGAGCTACTTAACTATGGAGCCTCCTCCTACTCAAGCCGCCGTATCCACCGTCATCACAGCGGCCACGGCGGCAGCAGTGGCTGTGGAAAACGGCGGGTTGGAAGCCAGCCTCGCCTGCACCGAGGGGCAAAGCTCATCCCTTACTCGGGGCGCACGTGACGAGTATGCTGTCACCGGCAGCGGCCGCGATCTGGATACAACGTTAAAGTCATCGCCGACACGGGGCCTGGTGTTGACGCCTGCTCGGTCGAATGGCTGCCTCTCCTGGGGCTCCCTTGGTTTCCTGCCGTCCGATGGGGCGGTGCGACTGCATGGCGGCCAGACCACTTGTCCTGAGCATGACGACGACGAGGCCACGGCTGAGTTGGTGGAACCCCTGGGTTCAACCACGGGGATGGCGTCGGCGCCGCCAGATCCGCAACAACGGCTCCAGCGGGATGGCGGCACCGGCGATAGGACATCGTTGACGTCGGCAGGCGGCCCAATCGTGAGTGTGGGGAAACTGACGGAGGCGCTGGCGGTAGCACAGCATGCGTCATCGCCACCGTGCATGACTGGCAGCACCCCAACTGCGTCGGTGTATTTCACTGAGCCGTCGACGCGGCTCGTTAACTGGCTGGGAGGAGGCGGCTGCACCAAGGACGCGAGTCCCAAGCCGGCGGGGATTGCGAAGGCGCCCAAGAGTCTTGACGCAACGCCACCGGCACCGGGAGCGGAAGGCATCGCAGCAGGACGCTCGGCTGCGTCTGCAAGGCGGCTCAAGGGTCCTGGGGGCACCTTGTCACGAGCGGGGGCCGAGCTGGGCCATGGGGATGGAGGTCCGGCAATGCTCTTAGGGCCTGGTAGTCAGTCGCCCTCACATCACCACCAGATGTTGATGGCGGAGGGACTGAACATGAGCGCACTGGGCACGCTGGTCAAGGGACGTTCACGGAGGCTGCCGCGGCGGAACATGTCGGCTGCGGTCCTGCTCACTTCCAGCACATCCATCTCAACCGTGCCGCGGCCACAGCAGCAGCGCCAGTACTTGCGGCTGCAGGCCAACACGGACGATAACAGAACGGAGCAACTGTCGCAAATGTCGCTGGTGAGCGAGGCAACGAGCAAGGATAACAGCATGGCAGCCGCTGGGCGTGCCGCCGGTGGCGGTGGGCGCGGCAGCAGCATATTGCTCGTGTGTGGCGACAGTAACGCAGGCGGCTCCTCGGCTTCTAATGCATTCGACCGCAGCCACGCTGCGCCACAGACCCTGGACATTTCCATCTCGCACCGCGCATTGGCCGCCCGGCGCGCCAACTCGCTGTCGCCTTGCGGACTCCAACTCCGCTCTTCCGTATTGCTGGACACAGCTGATGCGGTGGCGGCTGCCGCCGCCGCCGCTGGCTCTGACGGCTGCGACGGCAGCGGCAGCACCGCTGACGCAGCCGCGTCCTGCCGAGCTCTGCCTGCCTATGGAGTCCTGGCTGCCGGCGACGACGCTTACGGTCGCCGTGCCGCCAGCGGTGCCGTGCTCCGTAATACAGAACGCACCAACGGTGGCTCCGGGACCCACCACAGCGGTGTGCACAGTCGGGGACCCGGCGTTGCCAGCGCTTCGTACACATCACATGTGGTCTCTGTCGGCAGCCGTGGCGACTCGACCGGCCTCCTCTTTCCCTCCTCCGCCAACAACATCAACAACAACACAGTCAACACGCGATCCACTTCCGCCATGCACCGCTTGGTGAACATGGCTTTTACCGTGGCGGCAAGCCAGCCGCTGTCTGGGGCCGGCTCGCCAACGCGCAACAGGGCCCTTCTCGAGACTGTCAGCATTGGCTGTAATGCGATTCAGGACGCCATCGGCGCTGGGGCCTTGACCGGCGCTAACGTCGTCGCGGGCGTCGGTGGTGAACCATGGCTATCATCAACTTCACAGGTGCTCAGCATTGAGCCAAGGCCAACGGTACCAGCGCCAGTGGCGGGGCAAGAGTCCGCCGACACCGGGCCCAAGGCGGACAGGTCGCCTGGCTCGACGGTGAGCAGCTTTCCCCTTTCCGGATCGCGTGGACTGCCCACACACTTTGGCGTCAGCGTCAGCCTGCCGGTGCACCTGCCGCCGCCCAACTTGCCGCGGCTTCCGGTGCTGCAGCTGCAGCCGAAACAGCCATCGTTTAGCGAGGGCGTGCAAGAGGAAACGGCTGTGCTGTTCCGCAACATGCAGCCGCCATCGCCGCGTAGCGCCTGCAGTGGCAGCCACCCCAACAGCGATACCGGCTCGCACCTGAGCTCACGCAATGCAGTCTCGCTGGCCAAGCCTGATCCCCTTGACCTGTCCAACGCTTCCCAACGTAGCAGCAGCCCGGTGCTGGCAGCAGCTCTGGCGCTGGGCACGCCTCGCGTTGCACATCTCGCGGCGATTCGGCCTGGCGGTGGCGGCGGTGGCGGCGGCGGCGGCGGCGGCGGCGGCAACGAGCTGACCTTTGGGAACAACGCCCCAGCCAGGCTATCTGTGTCAGCCATGGAGCGGCTGCTGGATACGCGGCGCAGCGGCGGGACCGGCGGCAGTTGCGGCACCGCATCGGGACCGGCGTTGCCTACGGATGCGGATCCCATGGATACGCAGACCAGCGCCGCCGCGAGCATTGGCGGGAACTGGAACGGCGGGGTATCGGCGCGTGGGAATCTGGTTGCGGGCGCTGGCTCTAGGACTAGCCTGCAACTGAGCTCTCTGCAGTCTTTAGGCAAGGCAGGCCAAGACCGGCCATCAACGGCGGCGGCGGTAGGAGCAGTGCGCCATACCACTGAGCAATATACCGCGACTCAGCATGTTACACCCCATGCTCGTTGGTACGAAGTCACGTAAGTGTAAGCCCGCTTTCGTTCCGCTTTCCTCGGAGGGAAGCGGTGCTCCACACCCGTGTCCCTACCTGGCCTTAAATCCCCCCATTCGCTACCGAAACTGTCCTGGGGCCTTACCATCGTACCGCTGACCCCTGCGGGTTTGCCTCCCTTCTTCGCCCACTACGGGTTCGCCCTCTTCTCCACGGGGGGCAGCATCGCAAACTCATGCAAACTCGCAAGTTTGTGTAACCTTGTGTAACTTCGATGCCTGTGTGTGCTGGGTGCAGGCTGAGCAAGTTTACACACCCCACCCTCAAGACACCTGTCATCATGATGGTCCAGGTGGGAAACCGCTCCGAAACCGCAGCAAGGCCGCTCCAATTTCGCGATACCATGCGTTTGCTTTGCTTTCCGAAACCCAATCCCGACTTCCGTCCGTGACGTCTTGCAGCGGCTGTCATGTGTCCTTTTGCCTCCTCTCCCGCTTTGTGCACCCCCCTTGTCTTCCGCCCTCCCTCCCTCGATGCTTCTTGTGTTTCTTTTGCTTGTGTTCGCTTTGTCTTCCCCCTTCCCGCCGCGCTGCCTCGGCTTTCCGATGCCGTTACCCTTCTTCCCCTTAAACCTTTTTGTCCCGCGCTCTGTCGCTCTATGCCTCTTGTCGCTCTTTCTACCGGTTCCGAAGAACGACGTGTCCGCTCGCGTGTGGGCTGAGCGGCAAGTGGCTATCGTAATGGAGGCGGAGCATTCCCTGCTGGAGAACATTTTCCCGACACACGGTGAGATGGACACATACTGGGAGAGAGACAAACACACACACGCGCACGCACACACATGCGCACGCACATACACACGCACGCACGCGCGTGCACGTCCCCGTCGATTTGCCCCGACTCCCAGCCAAGCATCCCAGCACCGGCCAGGACCGGCTCGCAACCCTGCATACATAACCCTACATAAGCTACCCGAGCTGCATTCCAAAGCCTTGAAAGCCCAACCCGACTTTGACCCCCTCCCCGGGCCTTCGTATGTCCCTAACGTTTCCCGCTGCCCGTTGTTTCTCTTCATGAATCAAGTTCCAAGCCTCTCTTGTCCCTTGGAACAGTTTGACAATTTACCTGTACCTGCCACGCATACTGACGGCTTCTTTGTCATGCGCCTTGTTGGTTGTTTCGTTTCTTTTTTCCGCTTTGCTAACTCTCTAACGCATTTTCTCATTGAACGTTTCCACCATGTAAATTCTCATGTGTGTTGGCCTCCCTCCCGCAGTCCTGCAACACATCGCTGCCACGGCGGCCCAGGCGGCCCAGGAGGCGGAAGACGCCCCCTGGACCGCCTTGGCCGTCGCCCGCGGTACGCGGCCCAGTTGCGCTGGTGGTGGGAGTATCGGCGCAGCGGCGGCAGCTGGGGCTTGGGTCGAGATTGGGCCGGCAGCCGCAGCAGCGTTTGGTGGGGCGCAGAGGGCCGCGGCGGCAGCCACAGCAGCAGCAGGAGAAAGAGCGCCCTACCTGGGCTCCCCCCCGCCGGCGCCGGTACCCTGTGCTGTGCCGCACATCACGGGTGACACGTTTCTGCACCTGGCCACCTCCCACAGCGCCCTCACGTTGCTCTTCTGTGACATCCAGGTCGGTCGGTGGTCGCACCGGTGTGTGTGGGTGAAGAGATGTGTTCTCTTAGGAAGCGGGTAAGGAGAGGTATGCACCTAGACCCGCACGAAGCTCCCCCTGCTCTTTACCCTGATGAGTTCCACTGCACCCTCGATGACCTCTACTGCACTGGGAAGGGGAAAGAGCCCCTAGGAGGTCTCAGCCTCAGCCCACGGGGGACTCTGTTGTATCCGGGGGGGCATATCGCGGGATTTGCATCCACCGATCGGTTCTTTTCTGAAACGTCGTGGTATAACCAGACCCTCACCTCTCTCCGCATGTGTCTATCCCGCCTGTGGATGTGTATCTCCCCCCTAGGGTTTCACCACCATGTGCAACTCCGTGAAGCCCGCCACCGTCATGTCCTTCCTCAACGACCTCTACACGCGCCTGGACGCCATGCTGGACGCGTTCGGAGTGTACAAGGTGGAGACCATCGGCGATTGCTACGTGGCGGCGGGGGGCCTTATGAAGGTGGACGAGGAGACGGGTGCAGTGACGGTACGGTCGGACGATGTGGATCCATACCATGCGCACCGTACCGTACAGTTTGCCAAGGTAGGAGGGCTGCGGGTAGGAGGGTGCCATTGCTACGTCACTTTTAATTAATCGGGGCTTGACATGTGAGAGTCGCAAAGGCAATGCAACGTCTTTATCCAACGCGTATCCCCACCTGCCCACTTCTCCTATAGGCTCTCCTCCACGCCGCCAGTGCCGTACGTCTTCCCACCAGCGGCGAGCCTGTACGGCTGCGTGTGGGTATCCACAGCGGCCCCGCGATGAGCGGAGTGGTGGGCACCCGCATGCCGCGGTTCTGTCTGTTTGGCGACACCATCAACACCGCCTCCCGCATGGAAAGCACGGGGGTGCCGGGGGCAATACACGTCAGCAAGGCCACACGCGATCTTGTACCGGATGAGCCCTGGGAGCCCACCGGCGGCGTGCAGGTGAGGAGGTTACCGCAAAGCGGGGGTAATGGCGGGTGCGGGGGGGGCCCAAGTCGGGAGCACCAGGAGGTGATGTACCTGACACAAGGATGACTGCATACGCTGTGCATGGAAGCCACGAAGTTCTCGGCAATACGCTCGATTTCTCGCGCTGCGCGCTCTACGTGTCTGCCACATCATTGCAGAGCTTGCTTTTACGGGCTCCCGAAGTGAAGGGCTAATGTGAATCCCGTTCTCAATCACCGAACTGAGGGCCCAAAGATTAACCGCCAACCGTAGCAACACCGGTGGTGACGATAGGCAAACATGGTAACGGCCGACTGTTGCGGCTCTACGGTGCTGCGCATTGAAGATCTGCTTTCCATTTCTCACTGTCAGAGCTCCTTCCCTTGTGGGGTTAGTGCATTGCAACGTGGGGCTGGAGGAACCCTGAGCCTACTGAGCCTACCGGGGCACCGCTACCGTGAATCCTGAACTCTGTTCCTTGGCTCCTCCTTGGCTTCCCCTCACAGGCTTTGCGGAGTGTTTCTGTGCAGTTTATTGATGAACGGAACGGGCTTCTTCCTTGATTACATGCTGCATACATCAGTGCATACATCTTCCATTCCAAACCATATTGTTGCCTTGCTGCACCTCCTTGCTCCTGCACCTCCTTGCCTCCACAACCACACGTCTCTCCGCCACGCGCCGGGTTTTGAGGTCTGGACAGTTCTGCTCTTGTTTCCATATCCGTGTGTTTATTGAGCTCCCCCTCTCTCCCTGTCGTGTCGTGTCGCGCTACAGGCCAAGGGCAAGGGCCTTATGGAGACCTTTGTGCTGCGGCCTATGGACGAGATGTGACGGTGAGGCGAATTATCGGCGCGCGCGGAATAGGAGGAGGAGAAGGAGGAGGTGGTGGGGGCACGATGCTTGTGTTGTCGGTCGTGGTCGTGGTCATGGTGGCGACAGAGCAGCCGCCTGTTCTTCTTGGCACTGGTGCTGGTGGTGGTTTCCAAGCGTGAAACTCAATCTCAGGCACGGCAACCTGAAGTACGGAGTGCCGTGGGCGGAGGGATGGGACAGTGGGCTAACCCATTGAGCCCGGCGCGTCCGTTCCTTTTCCGAGATAGCTCGGGAGGTGATGTGTTTTGCAGTTGGTTTATCACTTGGTAGTAAAGGGGTTGCGCATTGCCCTGAAGACACCGACGGACGGACCGACAGACGTACGTACGGACGGACGGACGGAGACCTAGGGAGTGCAGCAGTGTAGGAGGGTCAAAAGGTGACTCCTGGCTGGCCCCTCGATGTGACCCTCTCCGGGGCTGTTTGATCACTTGTCCCCAAGATCGCTGTCTGTGGGTCATATTAGAGTTGCGGCAGAGCTGGCTGCTTGTGATATGGTGGTTACGATTGGCACGATGTGGTGGTGGTGGTGGTAGTAGCGTGCATCCTTTACGCAACGGTATGGCAGCTGCATCGTTGTCGTCATCATCATCATCATCATCATCATCACCATCATCATCATCATCATGGTCACCACCACCGCCATCATTATCTGCTCTTGCGCCTGCCACTGCCGGCGGTGCTGGTGCTGGTGCTGGTGCTTGATCTGGGGGGCTCTTGGCTGCGCTTTCGTAAGTTCAATTCCGTTCTTACACTACTTTCATACCCAGTCCGAGCACGTCGACGTCTTGGAGTCGTTTTTACCGGATCGTCGAGTAGTTGTATGTTTTTTGAGGATACTGCTATATTGCAGGGGGGTGCTGTGGCTGGTGGCTGCTGCGCGTGCCTAGGTACTTTGGTTTTTGGGGGGTGCGGAGGGGGGTTGGGATTGAGAAGGAAAGCGAACGTTGGCCGTGGGTCTCTTCTTGTTTCATGCGTGCAAACCGTAAAACGAGAGCGGAACGCGCGTGCGTACTTTGTACACCTCCATGTATGCGTGTATGTACGTACGTAGTACATCTGTGAATCTGTTTGCATGCATGAAGGCCTGGCTACTACAGGAAGGGGACGCATGAGAGGGCTGTGTTGCATCCTGTGTCTGTCTCATGCTTCCTCGTGCGCATGCGTATTTGTGTATGTGCGGGACTGTCTTGTGGAAAATTTCGGGAAAGGCGGAGATCGATTAGCACCAGGACTCAGGACTCAGGACGCAGGACCCGTGTACAGGTGGATTTTGTCGCGACTTCGGCCGAAGGCTTTGGGGGCACGGCTTCTCTTTTTGCACAGTTGTGTAGATTACGCGTGTTTGTGTGTGTGTTTGTGTGTGTGTGTGTTCTTGCGTGCAAGAGGAAGAAAGAGAGGGTGTGTCTGCGCGCGTGAGAGATATGAGAGCGAGAGAATGAGTGACGGGAAAACGAAGAAAAAACAAGAGAGCCCGGGAGGGACCTCCAATTGTTTATATCGTTTTGTTGTTGTTGTGGGATATCGCCCATGGGTTGTCGGTAGGTGTGTGCGCAATCAGCGATGACCGCCAGTGGCGCGTACGTATATTATAAAGAAGAAGAAGAGGGGCAAGCGGCCAACGAAGGGGCCCGTGGCGTTACTATTTGATAATTGCCGCTCACACTGCGGAGGGCGAGGAAAGGTCAGCCTACATCGCGGAGAGAACAAAATCAGCTTTTCTATGGTGGCGCTGTTTAGACGTGTGTGCATGTCTCTGTGTAGAGCACCGTCCGACTCGCTGTCTCGCGCCGATAAACTGCGTGGTTAGTAGTGAGGGGGTTGCGTGTGTGTGGGGGGGGAGGGTGGGGGAAAGGGGAAGGATGAATTGAAGGGCAGTCAAATGCCTGGGGGGAGGCGTCGGAGATGAGGTGAAGACGGGTTAAGGAGATGGGGAGGGAGGAGGGGGATGAGGGAGATGAGGTGAGGCTCCTGATGAAGGGCGAACATTTGATTGTCGCCAGTACGGACTGTTCCGCATCTACTGGACTGTTCCGCCGAGCTGGCCAACAGCAGCAGCTGCGTGTAGGGGGTCGCTTCTTGGATTGGGGGAGTGGCGAAGAAGGGAGAGGAAAGAATAAAGAGGAAGACCCTTAGAGGAGGGAGGGCTTTGCTGCAAGTTGTGTAGGATAATAGGAAAGGAAGGGCTTCCCTCGGGCGCCCTCGGGCAGCCTCTCCCACGCACGCGCTCTCTTCATGGCCGTGCCGCCCCCCTCAGGCTTCCATTTTTGGTTACCTTTCTGGTTACTGTGGCTAGGGCTGCAGCGTCGACAGTGACTGCAGTGCGCGGCATTGGGTCGGCGGTGCCGCAACATTGTCACGGTGGCGGATGCCTCTCGCTGAGGCGTACACCGCTGCTGAGCCGGCTTTCCATACGCCGGCTTCCGGTTGTATCTCAAATCATCATTGTTACTGCTTGTGAGGTGGTGGGCTACATGTGGTGGAATTTAAATACACGTTCTGTAGTTATGTAGATATGTGGTTGGGATTCTTCTAGGGGGGATCGTCGGCAGAGCGGGACGAGTGGTTCACGAGATTGCTGGGAATCGGCGACCCGGCAGAGGTATCTGGTGTGCACTTATTGGGATTCGTGTCACTTGTTGTATCGGTTGGATTTCGCTTTGCTGTCCCGGAGACCTCCTGCTCACGTTGCTGCTGCTGTTGTTGTTGTTGTTGTTCTGATATGTTATGCTATGACTGCTGAACTTGAAAGCGTTGAAATGACTGCTGGGGCTGAAATGTGGGTGAGTGGGAAGAGAGGCCCGGGGGAGCTGCACACATATCCTCCGGCAGCGGTATTCGCTGCCTAGGCGGCCACACACAGGATGGCATCATGGGCCTGAAACGATCGAAGTTTGCCCTTTACGACCGAAGTGCTGCTTGCGCTGTGTCTGGAATGGCGGGGGGCGGGAGAACCATGTGGGCGAACGGACGGAGAGCGGTCGGCATTGGGGGAGGGGGGGAGCCGAGGCCCCACCTGTGTGTGTGCGTGTGTGTGTGTCTTTCCCCCTGTCTCTATTTGTGCAGAGTTGGAGGGCGGTATATTGGTATCACACTGCGGTTCTTTGTTGCCCCTTGCGTACGTGTGTGATGATGAGGTGGACTGAGGAACTGACTGAGTGTATATGCGCTCGGCATTTGCACTGGCACTCACACACTTATATTGCTGTACTCACGTTGCATTTCAGTTGGGAGTGGTTTCCGTTGGGAGGGAAATGCACTGCCGTACTGCTGCATCTTACGTGTTGCATGTGCGTACGTCTGTATCCTAAGGGTATCTTATACATATTGTATAGTATACATTATATCATATTTATATTTATATACGTTCAAATGCACGGAACGGACCTGGAAAGCTGCGATTGAAAGCCGCATTCCCGCCACCGTTCCGGACGCGTTGAGCCCCGCAGCGTAGCGCCGTTCAACACTGAGCTTTCCACGCCAAAGTCCTGGGACATGCAATTGTTGACAATGTGGTTCGTCACGCCGTCCAGTGTCTATTCCCCTGATCGTGTGCGTCTGTGCGGAGCTATGTGTGTTTGCACGATTTCCGAGGAAACGTGGCGCATACGCAGCGTGTTTATATATACATACATATGCAGGTGGCCACGAGAGTTTGCGCCTTTATGGGGACTACGCAGAGTCGCTTCTGCGGTAATGGGAAGTGGTGGTGAAGTGGCGGTGAATGTGTTGACGTGGCTTGGGGTGACATGGTATAGTGTGATATGTTCCGTCCTTTATGGAAATAGATTGTGAGTGGCCCTGCTGCCCGTTTTGTCTGTTTGCCCGTGTGAACTTATTCCTTGTTTTGTGTCGTGTAGCTATTTCTGCCGGTGCGGGCTGCGGCCGCTTTCCGATTGCAAAGGCGCGGCACTTTCGGCACGCATGTGTGTGTGCGTCTCACGCCTTTCTCCTTGCATGCAGCCACCGTGTATCTGTGTTGTAGTCCAGCTCACCCCCTGGGTGCTGTGCCCTGTGGGTCCTGCAGCAGTGGCAAAGGCGGCGAGGAGGAGCTTTCGGGGTGCGCCTGCGGCACGACGGAGGCCCTCAGGATGTCTAGTACTTTTCTGTTACCGCACTCTCCTCTCCCTCCCTCCTCTCCTCCCTCCTCTCCCTCCCTCCTCTCCTCCCTCCTCTCCCTCCCTCCTCTCCCTCCCTCCTCTCCCGCCCTCCTCTCCCGCCCTCCTCTCCCGCCCTCCTCTCCCGCCCTCCTCTCCCGCCCTCCTCTCCCTCCTCTCCCTCCTCTCCCTCCTCTCCCTCCTCTCCCTCCTCTCCCTCCTCTCCCTCCTCTCCCTCCTCTCCCTCCTCTCCCTCCTCTCCCTCCTCTCCCTCCTCTCCCTCCTCTCCCTCCTCTCCCTCCTCTCCCTCCTCTCCCTCCTCTCCCTCCTCTCCCTCCTCTCCCTCCTCTCCCTCCTCTCCCTCCCTCCGGGCTGTGGGGCATCAGCCGGCGATGTAGCAGTAGGAACAATGGCTGATGGTGGCGGTTCTTACGCTGCCCGGACTGACGGATGGTTCAGTACTATGTATGCATGCAGCTCGGTTGGAGGACGGACAGGGGTGACGCGGGGCGCTGCAGCCGCAGGGTACTGCTGCTGCCACGTTGTCTGAGGCAGCTGCTGCGGAAGGTGGTATGTGGTTGATTTTTTTTGACGGCCGATCTGGCGGCGGAAGCGACCCACACGTCGGACCCGTCGGAAAGGGAGTGGCTCTGATGGCTCTCGTCTTCTCATGGCCCGCGCAGCTTTTGTTACGGGTGGAGTGGACGCGGGCTATTGCCTGTGTGCGTGTGTGCGTCATAAGTATGTTGTACAGACAATTAGGTTTTGTCGCCGGGGCTTTTGTTCTGCCTTGTCGTCTTGTCTTTGTCACTAGCCGCCGGCAGGACGATGCTGCCGGAGTGGTGGTGATCGGGACGATGGAAGTGCGGATGACCCTGCAAAGTGCCTGAACGGGAACCTGGAGGTGGGGCCCGAGGCGGAGGCGCGGGGGTTCGTGGGCCGAGTGTGACGGTGTGTTTTGAATGATCTGAGCCGCGATGAGGGAAACAGCGTTTCATGCGTGTGCATGGTGGCGGTTTGAGCACACGGGGGTCCAAGTGGTGGTGGTGGTGCTGTTCCTGCTTTGGCGCTGTTGCCGTTGCGCTGAAATGGACGGGAAGTAAGAGAGAAGAAATTCTTATTACGTTGGCTAGTGGATGGTTGGTAGAGCAGTTCGTAATTCGTCCTAATCGGTACTTTTCCCGATTTAGCTGATTTAGATGGTGCTGAAGGGAAAGTACTATTTAACGGATGAGGCAGGATGCTTTGGCACGTGGCACGTGGCACGAGAAGTGCGCGGGGTCGCAGGGGGGACAAGAGGTAGAGGAAGAGCTGTCGGGCCAGGCACGGCCGTACTGTTGCAAACCATGCAAATGAATAAACAGGTCAGTTCAGCGCCCCACATCTCTTGAGCCCGTAACGGTCAAGGGGTGCACGTGCATTACATCAGCTAGTAGTTGCGGTGCATCTGACTGTCTGTCCGTCTGTCTGTGCATATTCTTGTGCGCGTATATATTTTTTCGGCACGGTTTCAGGCTAATAATACTAATAGGTTCTTTTGTGGCGGCGACCAGCATACTCCATATGTCCATTCCAGTTGTGTTTTGGTACGCGGCCCCATTGCAACGCCCGAGGCGATATGACCCAGCTGTCTCGCCGTGTCATGAACTGCCCAGTCGCGTCGTATCGGATATAATGTAGGCTTATGTCCCACACCCATAGAGATGCGGGATCATCTATGTGGGAGTTTCAGTGTAGTGCTTGCGTGGCTCTCTTCATGTGCAGCCCCTCATATCGTTCATAGTTTGGGTGGTTCCCAATGAGGCTCGTTCCGGCGACGGCATTGTCGTGCACGGGATGATATTCGGCCCGACATTGTTGCAGTACTAGATACTAATGTAGGAGCTCGGCGCCTGGAAAAAGTGCGCTTTCGCACTGGCGGAAATTATACTACAATAAACAGACACTTCTGTCTACCTGCCTGTCCGTGCGTATACATTTGTGACGCATATTGGCTGTTGTGATGTTGCACTTGTTCGGCACAAGGCGATTTGGGCTTTGCTGCCGATGTGCGCGACCGCCGAGAGGTCTCCATAAAGCAAGCGGTTGCAATCATGCGCGGTTGCGATAGTATGTTAAGCATCATGTCGGCCAATTGGTGACCATGGCGGTAATTGGAGCTTCGCAGTGAATCCCGTTTTGTTCATTGGTACAGGACGCAACCTCTTCGCGTACTTCGTCAGGTTCGACTCGTTTTTGCGCCGCTGTTCACCGCCACCGCTAATATCATCCGTGTGGCGCTTAGCGGCATTTATGTGCGTGTGAGTGTATGTGTGCGTTACACCTCGGTTGCGTTACCCAGAGAGGTGTAACGAGCCCATTGTAAATTCAACTACCCTTTGGTCGTTTTGGCCGGGGATTGGCACGATGCGACCCGATGAAGTGAAGATCCTCTTAACAGTCGCAACGGGCAGACAACCCTGTCATACCACGTGGCCCCTTTTAGCATGTAGCTCTACCTACCGCAAGCACTAGATGGCCACCAGAGACGCAGGTGCTGGACCCACAGGGCACATCCCACAGCAACAAGCCGCATCCGTGTAAACAGCAGCGCGCCGTTGCTAACGAACAACATACCTCGCACTAATACGTCCGCTCGAACGGACTTTCCAATATGCCTCCCCCCTCCTAGTAAAACACCCTGCACAGCTCTTGCGGGTCAAGGAAAGGTCTATGTCTCCTCATCCTCGTACGCCTTTACCGTTCCCCTCTCTTTTCCCCTGTTTTTACATGTCTCCTGCCTCCTGCACTGGCCCCTCAAGAGTCCTCCACCTGCCCCCTGCATCGACACCATAAACTCCCGGCAAGTTGCAAGCCCTGACGTGAGCGGGTGCATACCCGGATGCCATACCTGTATCCAGCATCTTCCCCTTTATCTTGGGTGCAATTGTTGCAGCGGTCCCCCACCCTACCCTCACTTAAACCTCCTCGCCTTATCTCCCGCCGAACCTCCGCATCCTCAGTCTGTCACCCTCCCGCCCGCCGCGTCTCAAAAGTCATTGAACACCGCAATCATCTCATCCAGGTGTTGCAGGCTGGTCTCCATGACCTCCGACATGCGCTTCAGGCGGTTCACCGCCTGGCGCTGGGCCGTTGTCAGGGTGAAGTTGACGGTCTTGGCCTCCTTGGCAGACTCCAACAGACCCAGAAGCTGCAGAGATAGTGGCAGCAGGCGAATGACGTGAGGGAGCAGCAGGGGACGGAGGGGGGGGGCCAAGGATTCCAAGACCGACCGCGGACACATGTGGGTGGTGGGAGCAGTGGAGCAGGGACGGCCCGCATATGGTGGCTTCGAAGGGGCCAGTTTAGAGACAGCATGTTGCACTCCGAAGTGGGAAGGGCGATTGGGGAGGATGTTGACGGGATAAGGAACAGCGGGGAGGGAAGATGTTTAAGACTGTTGGTGGAAAGCTGGTTTTACCGCACAGCCAAAATTCACGCACCCACCGTCAGCGGTGAGCGCGACCGGATACACGGGTGTGTCAGGATCAGGAAGCTTGCCATGCAGCTTAAAGCATGGTCGACCCACCGTGCACCGTCGACCCCCCGAGTAAAGCCGACCCGACCCGACCCGACCCAGCGCACCTCCTTCTCCTTCTCCATCTCGAACTTCAGTCGCTGATGCACCCGCCCCGTGGCTCTGAACAGCTGCCCCGCGGTGGCCTCGCAGATGGCAGTAACGGACACCCGCCAGGTGTAGAAGCTGCGACTGGGGGCGCGGTCCGCGGACTTGGGGATGTCCTGCAGCAGCACGAAGCCCCCCGCCAACATGCGGTACAGCAGCTCCCGCGTGTCCTTTTGAGGCAACATGGCCAGATCAGCAATCTGCTTCTGCTCCAACTGGCCCCGCAGAGCCAGCAGCCGGAAGACTCGTAAACCCGCTATGTCGTACCGGGACTTGACTACGGCCTCGATCTGCTTCAGCCTTCAAGTGAAGGACGTGTGTGTGACGCGGTGGGAGGTGAAGGGTGTGTGTGTGTGGTGCGGGGGGGAGGAAGAGGATGTGAAACGGGGGGAAGTCGGGGTTTGTGGGGAACCCGAAAGGGAAGTGTTCGGGGGCCAAATCCTCTGGTCATTTGGTTTAGGATTGGTTGAAGGAGGACGACGAGGAAGAGTGGACTGTGTGTTGGGCGTTGTGAGGCATCAAGTTAGGGTTTCGTGTCATTAGGGTTTGTTGTCGTCAACAAACCCCACGGATTAGTAAGATGTGGTACTGGTAATGGGGTATGTGGCAGCAGGGGCGGCGTGTACTAGTCAACAGGAGGAGCAATCGCCGTAGCCCCGTGGCTGCGGTTGTGGTTGTGTATGTGGCTGCGGTGGCACTGCGTAGCTCTACGTAGCAGAACGGCCGCAGCGGTCACCCAAACTTATCGCCAAACCGTACAGCCCTCCGGGCCATTTGGTGCGCAAAGCGCTCGGGAAGAAAAGTAAAGCATATAAAACTCTAAAAGTCTGAAACAGCACTGTGCAACAAATCAAGGCCTCCCGTTCCCTATACGAGCGGCCACCCGGGATAGGAGCCGGCTATAGGCCTATGTGCCCCCCACACCTACATGATGAGGTCGATGACGCGTTGCGAATTGATGACGTACATGGGGGAGCCCTGGCGGCGGTCAGCGGGTAAAGCGGTTAGGTCGGTTGGGTGGCGGGGACACGGGTCCGAATCCATATATTCCAGACGCATATACGGCGTAATAGCAAGCAGCCCTTTTTCGCCTCGGCTGTATCATGCGGGGCGCTTATCCGTCACATTCGCTGAGAGCTTCGAAGAGCTTCGAAGAGAGCTTCGAAGGCCGCGCCATTTCGCTTTGGCTACCTCCCTGCTGCCAATGCTACACATAGTCGCACGTAATAATTTAATTTTATGTTTGATTGGTCGAATTTTTGGTGGGTTTATATGTGCTTCAACCCTAAGCTGCTTAAAGCCCTGACAGTACTGTACCTGCCCTTCCGACATGGAGGCGTATTACGCTTGGACGCTTTGTTTGCAGCAAAGCAAGGGTTGGGGATGTAAGGAGGCGGTAAGGCGGGGTCCCACGCTCGCAGGTAAACAGTTGACTTGCTTTGCGGTCCTCGAGACGTCGTCGCGCTGAGTCGAGAACTGGTGAGGGAGGTCGACGAAGGCGCCTCTGAGGAAACTTCCCTCACCTTCCCTCACCTTCGCTCACTAGGTGCTGAAATGCTGAAACACTTTCAACAAAATAAAGTGTTTCAGTAAAAAGCTGTGTGCTCCACCAGTCAAACCCTTTGAGGTCCAATCACGTACCAACCCCCCTGCTGCTGCAGGCGGCCCACCTGCATCCCGGTGGCCGCGAGGGAAAACATCTCAAACGGGTCGCTAGCCAATGTACGGAGTACGGCAGACACCGGCTGCTGCGGCAGAGCCTCCAGTACACCTGACATGTATTTGAAACCAGGGGAACGGCAAAAATGAGACGTTGAACCGGCGGATGAGGGGATGTCAGGAAGCATTTGCAGGCTGCCATCGAAATCACCATCGCCATGATCAGAGTTGGTTATTACCCAGAGCCCAGGCTTTGTTAATTTTTCTTTCGTTAGTGAGTCAGTTAGTTAGTTGAAAAAATTATCGACGCGGAGGTGCACTGCGGAGCGCCCCGAGATGGGGTGGCCCCAGTTCGGCCAAACACGTTCGTTCGTTCCACGGGCAGCTTCCCTATTTCCCCCCCCCGCCCCTTTTTATGCCCTCCCTCACCCCCCCTTGCCGTGGGTGGTCCCAACCTCCCTCTCCTCATTCCCCCCTAGATGCCGTACCCTCCCCAACCCCCTCCATCGGCCCCAGCCCCTAGGGGGCCGTACACACACAAAACACACCCGCTCAACCCCCCCACCTGCCGTCGTGAGTCTCCCCACGGTGGTCTCAATCTCACCCTCACTCAGCGGCACACTGCGCTCCTCCTGCGAACAGGCGGGGGTTAGGGTTTTAGGAGAAGGGGGGAAAAGAAATGTATGCAAAAGGGAAGCGGGGGAGGGGGTGCGCATGCCAAGGTCAAAGGGGGGGAAAAGGGAGAAGGGGGAGCGACAGGGGCCGGCGACCCGACAGCCAAGGATTCAGAGCCATTACCACTGCAACACGAAACCGACAACGCAAAAGGAAGGAGGCGACGAATGCAACCTTGCCAAGAATCCCTCCTTCCGCTCCCACTCCCCACCTTCGAGTGGAAGCAATGCGGCTACCTGACGACGACGATCCTCCCCCCCCCCCCACACACACACCCCATCCAGTCCCATGTTCAAGGATAACAACAACACCCTCCCGCGAACCCCGAACCCCGGTAACCCAACCCAACACGACAAGGCGATGACCTAACCTGCCACCCACGCAGCCACCCACCCGCCTACTGATAAGCTTCAGGCCAGCACCTGCCCTTCCGGGCCCTGAGAACACGGCCCCACCCACCCACCCACCCAAGTAGAACTGCTCCGCGGTCTGCTCAGTGCCCACTGAGCATTGAGGTAGAGGGGGCCCCAAAACCTTTAATGTAAGCGTTATTAGGGTAATTACAATTACGCCCTTCCACCTCTTTCTCCCCCCCATCCCCCCCCCCCACCTTGACGGAGGCCTCATGCGGCCGCGCGGTGGCCAACATGGCGGTCACCACCGCCGCCGCGTCCTCGTCGAACTTCTCCCGAATGAGACCCACCATCGCCTGATGCCTGAGCACCGGGGCAGGAGATGGGAGCGACGGGAGGGACGGGAGGAGGATTTCTGTGTTTGTCTCTGTATGTGTGTGTGTATCTACCGGGGCCGGGGGGGGGATGGAGGAGAAGAAGCATGAGGACGGGGATGATACCTTGATGATCACGATGGAAGCAAGGACACCCACTCCACCTCCCCTGTCCCCTCCCCTCCCTTCCCCCTACCTGAACACCCGGTTAAACTCGTCATTGTTCACCCGCCACAACACCACGGGAGGCTCAGCAGCAGCCACAGGCGAGGAGGGACCCGCCCCTCCTCCCGCTGCCCCGCCGCCACTGGACCGCCCTGCCCCTGGCCCTGCCCCTGGCCCTGCCCCGGGGGTGGAGGTGACGACGTCCGCTCGGGCAGTGCCAGCTCGTATCTGCCAGATACGGAAGGAAGCGGGGGGGGGTGATGAAAGTGGTGGGGGTGGGGGCGGGGGGGTCATATGATGCAAGATATTCAGTATGAATGGAATGCCACAAGACAGACACCGAATCCGTATTCCAACAGAAATCGAGAGCCCTTGTCGACCCTTTTTTGTACCCCTCTCGTCGAACCCCTCGACCCACCCCCCAAACCCCAAATCCCACTGCCCCCCGGCCCCACCCGGGCCTTCTTCGCCGGTGGAGCCGACTTCGGGACTGCCAACAGCTCCAACTCATCCTCGGCTCGCCGCTTCACACCGCCACCACCACCGGTGGCTCCATCGCCGCCGCCACCGCCGTCCGCGGCGGCTTCGGCGCCGCCGCCAAGCGCTGCCGCCGCCGCCGCATTTCCCCCTCCTGCCGTCGTCGTTCCGAACATCTGCAGCGCCAGGTCAGCGGGCACCTTGAACCTCGCCTTCTCGATGGCCAACTCCTCAAGTGTACGACTGGCGGCTCCCTGCTCAGCAGCGAATGCCTCGCCGCCCCCTGAGGGCCCCGGGCGGGCGGCGTGTCGGAATTATAGGGTTTTTCCAAGGTCTTAGGTTTTGGGTTTTGGGGGAATGCGCAACCGGTGGCAAGTGGTTGACGTGTTTTACGGGTTTCGGGGCGAGGTGGGGAAATGAGTTGTCGACAAGATGATGACTGTAGATACCTCTCTCTCTCTCTCTCTCTCTCTCTCTGCCGTACCAGCCCCACCAACACTTTGGCCGGGGCCTCACCTCCCCCGCTTTAACCCTCCCCACATAAACCTCCGCTCAACGCTCAACACCCCGATCCCAACCCCGGGACCACCCGCCTGTGTGTATGTATGTATGTATGTATGTATGTATGTATGTATGTATGTATGCTCAGGACGTCCCCTCCCCTGTCACTAAGCCCCCGGGATGCCCCTCACTCCCCGACCCACCTGCCGGTTTCTTCCTGGCTTTGACGCTGTTGGGGTGGGGCCTGATGGTGGGCGGGGGGGCGTTGCACAGCGGGGCGCGCTCCACGTAGTGGGCCTTATCAGGCGGGGCAACGCGAGGTGGGGCCAGGGCCGGGGGCGGGGACGCGGGGGCGCGGGGAAAGCGGGGTGCTATTTCCGGCGGGTGACGAGGGGTTGCGGCATTAGATTGGGTTGCTTGGGGGGAAAGATAAAGATTGCTGGAGCTTAGGTTAGCCTAACCCCTGTCCGCTTTTTCCCCCGCTCTTCCCCCCCCAACAAACACACACGCAGGCCCGTCCCGACAGCTTTCTTCCCGTCCCGGCTATCCCTGCTCCGAAACCCCTCCTCCCCCCAGCAGAACCCCCTTTGAGCTCCTTTCCCCTCCATGGTACGACGTCTCCACCCCCAGTGCCACCTAGTGCCACCTAACCCGCCACCTCCCACCTCCTCCCCCTTCTCCGCACCCCACCTCTCCCCACCACATCGCCCCAACCCGCCTCACCTGCACCAGCGATATGAAGGTGTTTCGGATCGTGTCCGCCACCTCCTCCTGGGCCTTACCCATCCTGGCAGCCACACCGCCCAACACCTGGTCCATCCTGCAGCCAACATTCCCGGGGGCCCCCCGCACACGCAAAACCCACACGCATGATCATCATCCGTACCACCAGCAGCAGCAGCAGCAGCAGATGCGTCGGTCACCGATGACCCTGTACACCGCCTTCGTCCTCATGACTCTCAGGACGACAAAAAGAACACACGCGCATGTACATACAAACAGGCAAACAGGGGTTAGGCATAAGCGTGGGAAGGGGGGAAGGGGAAAGGACTCCCCCACCAGGGGGAGAAGGCTGTCATCCGTCCCTGGATTGGACCCCCACTCTGCGAACCAAGAGGCCAAAAAGCAGCAGTAGCAGTAGCAGTAGCAGTAACAGGTTATCACAAGCAGCAGTAGCAGCAGTAGTCTCAAGGTGCTGCTGCTACTCTCCAAGCGCACCCACCTGAGTCGCCCATCCTGTGAAAGAAGATGAGGAAAGAAAGGGAACGGGAAACGGGGGGCCATGTGGTGAGCAGATTGCTGATGGGGCGGGCAGATCCGGGCATGCCATGGCGGGGGTAAGACAATGCCGCTGATAACAAGTGTGTGTGTACGTACGTGCGCATGCATGCATGTGTGTAAGGATACCGAATTCAGCACCAGGACAGGGGCCGGGTGTTGCACGCACATACATACACAAACACATACACCGGAAATGAAGAGGACGGGACAGGCGAATGGCGCCCGCCCCGACCCTTCACTCCACGAATAACAATCACACGCGCACGCGCATACATACAGACGGCTCAGTTCACGGGCACACACGGACAAAGGGAGGGAAGAGATGATGGGGGCGCCCTCGCACGCACCTGAAGTAGCTGCGCCACAATGTGCTCGGCCACCTCGCCCGCTTCATCCCGGATGTGAAGCAGGAAGCGAGAGTGCCTGTGATGCAGCCAGAAGGACAGACAGACAGAGCGACAGACAGAGCGACAGTCATGCAGGCCGACGGGTACGTACTCGTTTAGATTGGCAGAAAGGCTTGCCGTGAGGCAGTAAGAAGGTCTTGCAACATATGAACGCGGAGGGAAGAGAGAAATGTAAGTGGAATGGGAATGTGCCCTGGACGCCGACAGACCCTCTCCTTGTTTCTCCCTTAGCTGCCAGGAGATCCCCTCCGCTCCAAAACTGGAAACGGAACACTTCCGCCGCCGCCTTGTGTGGCCCTCCTCCTCCTCCCCCGCCCCCTCCTCCTCCTCCTCCCCCGCCCCCTCCTCCTCCTCCTCCCCCGCCCCCTCCTCCTTCCAGTTAATGAAAAACAAAACATCGAAGGGAGGGAGGCCAGGAGGTAAGATCATGCGCGTTCCCCCCCCCCCTGTACATCCAGCACCAGACCAAACCGTGGACGTGCATTACCGCCCCACGTGCGAAGATACCTCTAAACGGCAACTCCCATCCCGCACTCTCCTTCCTCTCCTGCCCCACTTTGGTAGTGAGTCGGCGCCGAACCGTTCCCTCCCACCACCTCCTGCCCAGGTCCTGGCCCAGCCCCCCGTCCCGCCCCATTCCCCATCGCCATCACCCCACCACAAAAGCCCCACAGCACCTGATGATTTGAAGCACGCGACCCAGATCACATTCGTAGACATGGAAGCTGGGGCGCGCGCCACGGAAGGACTCCTCGCCTGGCTGCAGGTAGACGCTGACGCAGTTCTGCTGAATGAGGATCAGCAGTGCCTGCTTTACCAACGAGGCCGACAGGCCAGTGCCACGAATGATTTCGCCGAGGGGTAGCTGTCCCTTAGCGGCGAGGTATTTAAAAACACCCTGGGCGGCGCGGTGCAGGGGAAGTGGGTGATGGCAGCAGCAGCAGCAGCCAAAGTGAAGTTGGAAATTGACAGAAGTGCAGACAGCGGGCATTAAAAGTTATCGTAGTGTTGAGTAGCAGAAACAAAGACTAGGCGGCTCGGCGCAGGCACAGCGACTGGGTACGATGAGGTGGCGTGGCAAATGGCTCCCTCTTACCCCAACTGCGTCGCCATATTGCTCCTGGACAAGTCTGATAGCTAAGTCACATGCAAACTGCTTGCGAGACGACATCCGTCCCTAACAGCTTTTTTCTCGGCTTCCAATCGCGCCGACAGCGGCACAAATCTTTACGTAAACGGGTCCTTGGGGTCTTGCCAAGCAATTTGCGTAGCAATCATCGATCTCATGTTGCAAAAGATTGGAATAAGCCGTCAAGAACGTACCGAAAGCGTACCGAAATTATGTATCTAATAATGACATTGTAAGGTAAACATTTCTATTCATATACTATATGCGTGTAGAAATTATGACCTGTGTGCTGATAGCATCACCAAATTTTCAAAAACCAATGTCCTTTTTCATTGAGTTAAAGTTGGTCGTTTATCAGTTTGAGCTAACTTTTGCAACCTTTTATGACTGTTGACCGTTGATGATACCTGACCCGACCTTTTAGCAAGGTTACATCTTATTCGTACAAAGCTAATGGTTCATGCATGCAATTCCCCATTATGGCCGCGGCAGCTTTTATATGACATCTTTGATTCTTCGTGATTTGCTGACAGGTTTAAGAGTTGTTTACCCGAGCACAACACACGATTGTAGTTTGCACGATATGTCGGAAGTTAACGCATACTGTTAGCCCTCTTCCAATGTGGCCGAGATCGTTTGCATGACGCACGATGCATTTCTCCGTGTCTTACAAGACATAGTACAGAAAGACCTCAAAATCATCAGCACATATGCCAAACGTATTGACACATGAGGCACCGTTTGCAGGTGCGCGCTGCTTCCGCACGTCCCTGCAAAGATCTGTTGGCGCGTCCAACCCGAGCCAGAGCCAGCATAGACAATGGGCTGCAGCATTTAACCTACACACCCCTACGAAATCATAACGTCAGCCCGCCAGCACGTGGTTCACGCCCAAGGCAGGACAAGACGCTCCCTCACTACACATACGAAAATGTTTGGCCGCAGCAGAACATACTCTGTACGTGACAGACACTCAACTCCCCAGAATTACAAACTCGACCTCATGCTCCCGAGTCCACCAGCAAGACAGCGTAAACATTCAGCCAAAACGTCAATCGCAGCCCCGCAATATCTCCAACTCTAGCACGCCATTTACAGGGTCGGCACGCGGTCCTCGTTGCCCAGGACGGTCAACAGGTTGTAGCCGAAGGGATCCTGGACGTGCTTGATCCAGTTGGTGTACGGGCCCTCGCCGGTCACGTACGACTGAATGGCGAAGGCCTGTGAGCAGCAGCAAGAGCAAACAATGAATCAAGTAATCCCCATTCACAGCATGCATGCACTGAAGTATTCCCCATTCATGAACTGCATGCATGCAATTTGCGACTCAGATTGGAACGACAAACCCAGATCATTTATAAAGATCATTGGTGCTTACCAGGACGGAGACCATAGCCAGACGGCCGTTCTTGATCTCCTTGACCTTAAGCTCCTGGAACACCTCGGGGTCGTCAGCCAGGCCCAGAGGGTCGAACGGGCCGCCCGGGTAGATGGAGTCCAGGCCCTCGAAGACAGAGCTGTCAAACTTGCCGATGCCTACAGTACCACAGCCAGCAACCGCAATTGAGAAGGCATAGCCCTGATACGGCGACCCAAAACTCTGAAGCGCTTCCACTATTTTCACAGTTTATGCAGTTTTTACCTGGCGAGTAGCCAGCGGGGCCAGTGCCATTGCGGCGGTAGAACTCGACGGCGCCCATCAGGCCGACCTCGATGGCAATAACGGCGAACAGAGGCAGAGGGTTCGACACAATGCCCCACGGCACAGCGAAGTAGTTCAGGGTGCCGCCGTTCAGCATCTCAGCGCCAGTCTCAAACCAGACGCCACCCTTAATGTTGGCGCCGTTGGCCTGCAGGCCCTCCGGGATGAGGATACCAGCGGCGGCAAGCATCGCCCAGCGTGCGTGCAGCAGCTCGTACTCGCGGTACTTAGCGACGGTCTCGGTATCCTTGCCCAGGCCCAGAGGGTCGTAGCCGTAGCTGCGGAAACATGAGATAAGGATTAGCTAAGACGTTGCAAACTACGGTGTGGAAACTAAGCTTGCTGCGTACAGCGTTGTTAGTCAGGGGTAGCTACGTGCGTTGGCAGACTGCGTTCAAACATAACTTTTGTTACTTGTACACGCAATGAAGCAAACGCTGAACCAGGAAAGAGAAATCGAATCTACAAAGACCCCAAGCTTACGACCCCAACAATGAAGATCCTCATGCAATTCCAGGATCCGTCTTTATAGATGATTACGCAAATATCGCGGCTATTATTGGATATGTGAACTGCAGATAGTACAGTGCAGTGCTCCCCAGCCGCAGCTCGCATTCCGCAATACTCACTCGCCAGCCAGCTCGCCGTTCAGGTAAGCAGGGACCTCCGAGCGGTCGTAGAGGCCGCTAGGCAGGAACAGAACACGGTCGGGGCCTGCAAGTAGGGACGGCGCCAACAAATCTCAACCCGGTCCGCCCACTATGCATACAGATATGCAAGCATAGACAAATACAAACCGCAAAACAATGTATTGCGTTAACAATAGGATAATCAAAGCGTTGTGATTAGCTGTTGAGTGCTACAAGGCGCAAGCTTCGACATCGCAGGCTGAACCCAGAATATGACTCTTTCTTGATCAAAACTCACCATACCACTTGTCGAGGTTGACCGCGCCACCCTGGCCGCCCAGCCAGCCCTTGGTAGCCTTGCCCGAAGGCTTGACGACCTTGGTCGAGCTGGTGCCCTTCTTGGCCGGGGCCGAAGCGGCAGTCTTCTTGAACAGAGCCTGGATCTGCATTTTGACTGGCTACTGTTTAGAACACACAAGAAGAGAAGGGCAGCGCAAGTGTCCATACCAGCGCTGCTGCGCCCATAAAAGGGTGTTCCTTGCTGTGATCGAGGGCCCTATGCGTACGACGTGACCTCTTCCGTCAGGACCGCTTCCTGTACCTGTGTGCATTAGGTTATAAAAGTTTGTGCATTACTCTCTTAGCTTATTTATAATGATGGGCAAGTGAAGAGCTCTGAAGCTTCGGGTACAGGATGACACTGCTTGTATGGCATTCTTTCGGATTTGCGTGGCTAAATCAAATAGCTTACATGATTTTGCAAACCACTTGCAAAAGCAAGTATACACCCCTGAAACTGAATGGGCCACTACGTGAGAAATGTAGTACCCCTTTACGTATGATACTGATATGGATTGCTCCCTTTTAGTTTTCTTCGTAGTCGCTGTTTACATGCATGAAGCGTTGTAGAAGGATTCCTAGCAAAGCATTACTTCCAGACAGGTTGTCTTGTTAACGCACAGTACAAGTACGCTGGAGTAAAGTTACGAGGCTCGAGGGAGTTATGTTACCTGCAAACGACCCTGTCCAAGGAGGGATTTTGTTCACAACCACAATCATTAGCGAAGCTGTGACAGGGAGATGCTTTTGGCTAATGTCATGTTTCTACAGGAGTGTTGGGGTGTTACGCTGTGGGGCGGCTCACGGCTCACCCCGAAAAAGGACGAGCACCGGGGGCCCTGACCGGGCCGAAACACAGCGCAGGGGCGGGTGCGCGGCTCTACGTAGTGTTGTTTAACTGTCAGAGAAGCCCATGAGAATACCTTATATAAAAATGCACTAAATGTGTTCTGCACGCCTTCTATTGTAATTTCCAAGAAGGCACAAACTCCAAGGCGAACCATGGGCCTGTTCGTTCGTTACTAAAGCGTTTCACTAAAAGATTCTTCTGTCCACATGTAACACATTGCCCTTCATGCGTGTTCAACAATATCATTACATGCGTCTAATTCGCCATCTTCAGTTCATTTCATCATAGAAATTTCCTTCATTGACTGAACTCCGATGACATCGTGATGATGATAGCAATGACTACATAAGCGCTCATCCCTCAGCAGGACGCCGGCTGCCCACCACTCACGGCATCACTCACGGCCGCGCGCGCTTCCTCCGCTTCCACTCAAACTCGCTGCACCTCCCGTCAGCGACCTCCTACTCGGGAACAGCTCAATCCACGTGTCACGACGGCTCGTGATCCGCCCAGCGGCGCTTCCTACCGCCCTTACACAATTACTAAATGATGTCCGCCAGTCTTTGACCGACCGACCACCATCTTCTCCTTCGAACCCCCTAGATCACTCAAGATGGCAACTGGAATCGCCGAGTGGACTGTCGGTCAACACACTGCCCGCAGGGTACACCGCGCACGACGCAACGAAATACCGTAAAGACTGACGAAAACTCCTTTCCTGCCTGCCTGAACTCCCCAACACAGTCCCAAGCTCTACTACTATAAGCCGACACCGCTAGCGGAGGCTCGCCCGCTCTCAGTCTGTCTCTCCCCGTCTCTTTTCGGCCCACCGCGTTCTCTGATCCGGCCGACCCCCCAACCGACTCACGGCTCTCCCCCGGCCGCGCCGCATCCCAGACTCCTTCCCCTCCCTGCCTCTTTTCCCTCCCCTCCCTCCCCCTGCCTCTCCCCAACACACCAACACACAAGAACACTCACCCACATACACACACACCTCTTGCACACGTCATCATCTATCTCACCACCCAATGACCAAAGTCGCAAAAGGGGCTAAAACCCCCTCCCCTTCCAGCCGCCGCCAGCCGCCGCCGCCGCCGCCACGTCAACGACGTTAGCGGGATAGATGGGGAGAGGGGGCCCCCTCTCACCACCCCTACCACCCACCACCACCACCACAGCACTACCTCTCAGCGAACCCCATATCCCGCGGCCAAACCGGGAAAGCTCTCTTGTACAGCGCCATACACACCGTGTCACGTTGCTGCAGGGGCGAGTCAAACAGGCATTTCATCGTCCCGTGTGTGCCCAAAGGCTCCGTTATACGACCCCGCCTGCCGTACTTGGTGAATAGCTGGGGAACGAGAAAGGGGGGCCAGGCGGCGGGTGTACGTCGGCGTCGAGAGGAATGAAGCGGAACGGGAGGGGGAAACATATGAACGGGGGGGGGGGCCAGAGGGGAGCAGGGTTTGTGAAAAACACGTGTCTCTGCAGAGGGATAACAGGGGAGGAGGGAGGGAAAGGTGGAGAGAGAGATCGGGAAGACGGATGAAGACGGACATTGGTAGGGTGGAGGACGATCGGGGAATTCGTTCGAATGCGGAATGTTCAAAGAACAACCCCCTCCGTATGGACAGACAGACAGATAGACAGAGACAAGACGCACCTCGACGGGTTTGAACCAGCGCACGTCGTCAGGATTGTGGAACAGGAATCGAACCGTGGCTCGCCGGCGGTGCACGCGAACTGGCACACCTGCAGATTGGGGAGGGGGTAAAAGAGGGAGGGCAGGCTGGTACGAGGGGGATCCCAAGGGAAGAAACACACACATACGCACACGTACACACACACACATGCACGCATGCACGCGCAGGATGAGAACAAGGAAAAAAGAAAGAAGAAGAAGAAGAAGGATAAAATAAAACACACACACGCGCCTGTCAGGATTATGCGCTTGAGGTTGATGCGGTCCGGGTCGCAGTTGCGGAGATTGCCCACGGCGGCCAATTGGGCGGGAGCTGAGGCTGAGGGTGACGACGATGATGCGGCGGTCGCAGCCACCTGGGACCCCGGACCAGACCCCCCACTCATCAATCCCGAGCCGGTGGGGGCCGGAGGCAGCTTGAACGCCAGCAGCGGCAGAGGGGGATACATGATCGGGGCGTACACGGACGCCACCACATGATGACCTGTACGGCAGTACGGCAGGACCAAGCGGAAAAAAGACAGCAAAGAACACCATAACCGCCTGATTATGATGATGATGATGATGGTGAGGGAAATGGCCAAAAAACGCAGGAAAAGCATTAAAAGTGGAGCTCTAGTGGGAAAAAATGGAGGGGAAAAACCCTGTGACTGCACACACACACACACACATACACACTTCGAACCTCAGGAGCCGCGCGCCCCCCCACCCTCCTCTACACCAAGAACCCAATCCTACTGCACCTCCTCCTCTTTTCCCCCCGCCCAGAAAAACACACCCCGTCCGTGCCCCACCTCAGCCACCCAGCCCCCCTTGCTCGTCCCTCACCCGCATGCAGGAACTTCTCCGTACGGTGCTTATCCGCCCCCGGGTCGTCCGAGGACAGCACGGGCCGGGCGGTGAAGGACCTGAGGCCCGTCACGAACAGCAGCTCCTCCTTGTTGGCGATGGGGGCGGTGTAGCCGGAGGCCTGATGCCAAGGAAGGGCGGGTAGGGAACGGAAGGTGGGGAAGGGAAGAGGGGGAAAAGACGAACCACGAGCGAATGAAGCTGCTGCCAAGGAAAGAGTGCTGCGGAAGAGGGGAAAGGGCCTGTGGGGGGTGTTGTGCGACGAGGTTTGGGGGCCGTTGGAAGGGGGCTTCGGGAGGAGAGTGAGTGTACGACATGCATTCGTCCCAACGTACGGGCTCAAACCATCCCAAGCCCGCCTCAAGCCAAAGCTCTAAGCAGCTGCAGAAACCCACCGAAACATTCTCGCGAACGCATCTACATACGCACGAACGCACCTACGTACATAAATACGTACATACATGCATACATTCATATAGCATGTATAGGCCTCACCTTGCGCAGCGCAAAGTTGACAACGCTGAGCTTGGCCTCGTGCTGAAGCAAACCGAACACGGTCAGCGGTACGGCAG